GGAACTGGAGTTGTTGTGGCTGCAGTTGTGGTGGTTGGAGCAAGCATTGTTGTGGTAAGACCAGGAGTTGTTGTAGCTGCAGTTGTGGTGGTTGGAGCTGGGCTTGTGGTGGTTGGAGCTAGAGTTGTGGTAGTGGGATCTGGAGTTGCAGTGGTTGGAGATGGAATTGTAATAGTTGGAGGCGGAGTTATAATAGATTGACCTAGAGTTGTAGTGGTTGGAGCAGGAGTTGTGGTGGTTGGAGCCGGAGTTGGTGTGGCTGCAATTGTGGTGGTTGTAGCGGGAGTTATGGTGGCTGCAGTTGTGGTGGTTGGAGCCAGAGTTGTGGTAGTTGGATATGGAGTTCTAGTGGTTGGACCAGTTTTGTAGCTGCAGTTGTGGTGGTTGGAGCTGGGCTTGTAGTGGTTGGAGCTAGAGTTGTGGTAGTGGGATCTGGAGTTGCAGTGGTTGGAGATGGAATTGTAGTAGTTGGAGGCGGAGTTATAATAGATTGACCTAGAGTTGTAGTGGTTGGAGCAGGAGTTGTGGTGGTTGGAGCTGGACTTGTGGTGACTGCAGTTTTGGTGGTTGGAGCGGAGTTATAGTAGTTGGAACTGGAGTTGAGTTGGACCCGGGGTTGGGGTGTGCACCCGGAGTTGTGGTTCGTAGTTGGGTAGTTGGAGCCAGAGTTGAGAAGTTGGAGCCGCAGTTGCAGTGGTTGGAGCCCAGTTGTGGTGGTTGGAGAAGAGTTGTGGTGGTTGGATCTGGAGATGTAGTGGTAGGAGCCGGACTTGTGGTTGCGCAGTTGTGCTGGTTGGAGCTGGAGTGTAGTAGTTGGAGCCAGAGTTGTACTCGTTGGACCCGGAGTTGGGGTTGTTGGACCCGGAGTGGGTGGTGCAGTTGTGGTGGTGGAGCAGAATGTGGTGGTGGGAATGTTGTGGTGGTTGGAGCCGGAGTTGTGGTGGTTGCAGTTGTGGTAGTTGGAGCTGGAGTTGTTGTGGTTGGAGCTAGAGCTTTGGTAGTGGGATCTGGTTTTGCAGTGGTTGAAGCTGGAGTTGTAGTGGCTGCAGTTGTGGTGGTTGGAGCCGGAGTTGTTGTGGCTACAGTTGTGTTGGTTGGAGCCAGAGTTGTGGTAGTTGGAGCCGGAGTTGTGGTGGCTGCAGTTGTGGTAGTTGGAGCTGGAGATTTTGTGGTTGCAACTTGATTCGTGGTGGTTGGAGCTGCACTTGTGGTGGCTGCAGTCGTGGTGGTTGGAGCTGGAGTTGTAGTAGTTGGAACTGTAGTTGTAGTCATTGGACCTGGGGTTGGGGTTGTTGCACCTGGAGTTGTTGTTTCTGTAGTTGTGGTGATTGGAGCTAGAGTTGTCGTGGTTTGAGTTCCAGGTGTGTTGGTTGGAGCCGGCGTTGTTGTGGTCTGAACCGGAGTTATGTTGGTCGTAGTTTTGGTGGTTGGAGCTGGAGTTTTTGTGGTTGGACCAGGAGTTATAGTAGTTTTAGCTGGAGTTATAGTTGATGGAACTGGAGTTGTTGTGGCTGCAGTTGTGGTAGTTGGAGCTGGAGTAGTAGTTGGATCCAGCCGTGGGTTGAAGCCCGAGTTGTGTGGTGGAGCAGGAGTTAAGTAGTGGACGAGTTGCAGTGGTTGGAGCCGGGTCGTGGAGCAGTGTGGTAGTTGGAGCGGAGTTGTAGTAGTGGAGCCAGAGTTGAGTGGTGGAGCCCAGTTGGGTGGTGGGACGGCGTTGTTTTGGTCGACCCAGACTGTGGTGGTTGGAGCAGGAGTGTGGTGGTTGGATCTGGAGTTGTAGTAGTTGGAGCCAGAGAGAGTCCTTAGACCGTTTGTTGTGGTAGCTGCAGTTGTGGTGGTTGGAGCTGGAGTTGTGGTGGTTGGAGGTAAACTTGTGGTAGTGAGACTGGAGTTGCAGTGGTTGGAGTCGGAGTTGTGGTGGCGCAGTGGGTGGTTAGAGCAGTGTGGTGGTTGGAGTCAGAGTTGTGGTGGTTGGAGCCGGAGTGTGATGGTGCAGTTGTGGTAGTGGAGCTGGAGTTGTCGGGTTGGAGCTAGAGTTTGGTAGTGGGATCTGGATTTGCAGTGGTTAAGCGGAGTTGTAGTGGCGCAGTTTGGTGGTGGATATGTAATGGTAGTAGTTAGAGCCGGAGTTATAATAGATTGAGTGAGTGTTGTAGTGGTTGGAGCAGGAGTTGTGGTGGTTGGAGCTGGAGTTGTGGTGGTTTCAATGTGGTGGCTGCAGTCTAGTGGTGGAAGGCGGAGTTGTTGTTGCTGGAGCGGGCGTTGTTGAGGTTAGACCCAGAGTTGTGTGGAAACCGGACTTATGGAGGCGCAGCCAGTGGTGAAGGTGGATGGAGTAGTTGGAGCTGGAGTTCTTGTGGTTAGACCTGGAGTAGCTGTAGCTGCAGTTGTGGTGGTCGGAGCTGGGGTTGTGGTGGTTGGAGCAGAGTTGTGGTAGTGGGATCTGGAGTTACAGTTGTTGGACCCGGAGTTGTGTTAGCTGCAGTTGTGGTTGTTTGACCTGAAGTGGTAGTGGTTGGAGCCAGAGCATTGGTAGTTGGATCTGGAGTTGTAGCAGTCGGAGCTGGAGTTGTAGTGGTTGGAACCGGAGTTGGGTTTGTTGGACTCACTGTTGTGGTTATTTCAGTTGTGTTGTTTGGAGCCCGAGTTGTGGTAGTTGGATCTGGACTTGTATTGGTTGGAGCCGGAGTTGTGGTCGTGGTTGCTCCCGTTGTGGTTGGAGCTGGAGTTGTAGTAGTTGGAACCAGAGTTATAGTAGTTTGAGTTGGAGTTATAGTGGATAGAGTTTTATTTGTGATGGCTGCAATTGTGGTGGTTGGAGTCGGAGTTGTAGTAGTTGGAGCTGGAGTTGTGGTGGTTGGAGCTGGGGTTGTGGTGGTTGGAGATAGAATGGTAGCAGTTGGAGCTGGAGTTATAATAGATTGATTAAGAGTTGTAATTGTTGGAGCAGGAGTTGTTGTGGTCTGACCCAGACTTGTGTTGTTTGGAGCCAGAGTTGTAATTGTTTGAGCAGGAGATGTTGTGGTTGCAGTCTTGGTAGCTGGAGCTGGAGTTGTAGTAGTTGGAGCCGGAGTTGTAGTGGTTACAGTTGTGGTGGTTGGAGCTGGGGTTGTGGTGGTTGGAGCTGGAGTTGTAGTAGTTGGAGCAGGAGTCTTTGGGGTTGCAGTTGTGGTAGTTGGAGCCGGAGTTGTGGTGGTTGGAGATGGGGTTGTGGTGGTTGGAGCTGGAGTTGTAATAGTTGTAGCAGGAGTCTTTGTGGTTGCAGTTGTGGTAGTTGGAGCTGAAGGTGTGGTTGCTGCCGTTGTTGTGGTTGGAGCTGGGTTGCAGTACTTGGTGCTGGAGCTTGTTGTGGTTAGACCTGGAGTTGTGGCAGCTGGGGTTGTGGTGGTTGGAGCTGGGGTTGTGGTGGTTGGAGCTAGAGTTGTGGTAGTGGGATCTGGAGTTGCAGTGGTTGAAGCTTGAGTGTCAGTTGTGGTGGTTGGAGATGGAATGGTAGTAGTTGGAGCTGGAGTTATAATAGATTTAGTGAGAGTTGTAGTGGTTGGAGCAGGAGTTGTTGTGGTCTGACCCAGACTTGTGGTGGTTGGAGCCAGAGTTGTGGTAGCTGCAGTTGTGGTGGTTGGAGCTGGAGTTTTGGTAGTGGGATCTGGAGTTGCAGTGGTTGAAGCTGGAGTTGCGGTTGTTGTGGTTAGAGATGGAATGCAGTAGTTGGGGCTGGAGTTATAATAGATTGAGTCAGAGTTGTAGTTGATGGAGCAGGAGTTGTTGTGGTCTGACCCAGACTTGTGGTGGTTGGATCTGGGGTTGTGGTGGTTGGAGCTAGAGTTGTGGTAGTGGGATCTGGAGTTGCAGTGGTTGGAGCCCGAGTTGTTTTAGCTGCAGTTGTGGTGGTTGGAGATGGGGTTGTGGTTGTTGGAGCTGGAGTTGTAGTGGTCAAAGCTGGACTTGTGGTGTCGGAGCCGGTGTAGTTGTGGTTAGACCTGGAGTTGTTGTGGATGGACCTTGACTTGGGGTGGTTGGACCCGGAGTTATAGTGGTTGGAGCTAGAGTTGTGGAAGTTGGATCTGTAGTTGTAGTGGTTAGAGCCGGAGCCTGGTGGATGCAGTTCTGATAGTTGGAGCTGGAATTGTAATAGTTGGAGCAGGAGATGTTGTGGTTGCAGTTGTGGTTGCCGTTTTGGTAGTTGGAGGCAGGGTTGTGGTGGTTGCATTTGTGGTGGTTGGAGATGGGGTTGTGGTGGTTCGAGCTGGAGTTGCAGTAGTTGGAGCAGGAGTCTTGTGGTTGCAGTTGTGGTAGTTGGAGCTGGAGTTGTAGTAGGTTGAGTCGGAGTTGTGGTTGCTGCCGTTGTTGTGGTTTCAGCTGGAGTTGTAGTAGGTGGAGCTGGAGTTATATTAGTTTGAGTTGGAGTTGTAGTGGATAGAGCTTTATTTGTGGTGGCTGCAGTTGTGGTGGTTGGAGCTGGAGTTGTGGTGGTTGGAGCCCTTGTTGTTGTGGCTAGACCTGGACTTGTGTAGCTGTAGTTGTGGTGGTTGGAGCTGGAATTGCAGTAGTTGGTGCTGGAGTTGGTGTGGTTAGACCTGGAGTTGTGGTACCTGGGGTTGTGGTGGTTAGACCTGGAGTTGTGGTACCTGGGGTTGTGGTGGTTGGAGCTGGGGTTTTGGTGGTTGGACCCAGAGTTGTGGTAGTGGGATCTGGAGTTGTTGTGGTTGGAGCTAGAGCTTTGGTAGTGGGATCTGGTTTTGCAGTGGTTGAAGCTGGAGTTGTAGTGGCTGCAGTTGTGTTGGTTGCAGATGGAATGGTAGTAGTTTGAGCCGGAGTTATAATAGATTGAGTGAGAGTTGTAGTGGTTGGACCAGGAGTTGTGGTGGTTGGAGCCGGAGTTGTGGTGGTTTGAGCCGGAGTTGGTGTGGCTTCAGTTGGGGTAGTTGAAGCAGGAGTTGTAGTAGTTGGAGCTGAAATTGAAGTAGTTTGTGCCGGAGTTGCTGTGGTTGGAGCAGGAGTTGTGGTGGCTGCAGTTGTGGTGGTTGGAGCAAGCGTTGTTGTGGTTAGACCAGGAGTTGTGGTAGCTGCAGTTGTGGTGGTTGGAGGTGGGCTTGTGGTGGTTGTAGCGGGAGTTATGGTGGCTGCAGTTGTGTTGGTTGGAGCCAGAGTTGTGGTAGTTGGATATGGAGTTGTAGTGGTCGGAGCTGGAGTTGTGGTGGCTGTGGTTGTGTTGGTTGGAGCCAGAGTTGTGGTAGTTGGATATGGAGTTGTAGTGGTTGGAGCTGGACTTGTTTTGGCTGCAGTTGTGGTGGTTGGAGCCGGAGTTGTTGTGGCTACAGTTGTGTTGGTTGGAGCCAGAGTTGTGGTAGTTGGAGCCGGAGTTGTGGTGTCTGCAGTTATGGTAGTTGGAGCTGGAGTTGTTGTGGTTCCAACTTGATTCGTGGTGGTTGGAGCTGGACTTGTGGTGGCTGCAGTTTTGGTGGTTGGAGCTGGAGTTGTAGTCATTGGACCCGGGGTTGGGGTTGTTGCACCCGGAGTTGTGGTTTCTGTAGTTGTGGTAGTTGGAGCTGGAGTTGTAGAAGTTGGAGCCGCAGTTGCAGTGGTTGGAGCTCCAGTTGTGGTGGTTGGAGAAGGAGTTGTGGTGGTTGGATCTGGAGATGTAGTGGTAGGAGCCGGACTTGTGGTTGCTGCAGTTGTGCTGGTTGGAGCTGGAGTTGTAGTAGTTGGAACCAGAGTTGTACTCGTTGGACCCAGAGTTGGGGTTGTTGGACCCGGAGTTGTGGTGGTTGCAGTTGTGGTGGTTGGAGCTAGAATTGTGGTGGTTGGAGTAAGAGTTGTGGTGGTTGGAGCCAGAGTTGTGGTTGTTGCAGTTGTCGTAGTTGGAGCTGGAGTTGTTGTGGTTGAAGCTAGAGCTTTGGTAGTGGGATCTGGAGTTGTGGTGGATGGAGCCGGAGTTGTGGTGGTTGGAGCAGGAGTTGTAGTGGTTTGAGTTGGAGTTGTGGTGGTTGGAGCCAGAGTTGGTGTGTCTGCAATTGTGGTGGTTTTAGTAGGAGTTATGGTGGCTGCAGTTGGGGTGGTTGGAGCCAGAGTTGTGGTAGTTGGATATGGAGTTGTAGTGGTTGGAGCTGGACTTGGTTTGGCTGCAGTTGTGGTGGTTGGAGCAGGAGTTGTAGTGGTATGAGTTGGATTTGTTTTGGTTGGAGCCGGAGTTTGTGTGGCTGCAATTGTGGTGGTTGTAGTGGGAGTTATGGTGGCTTCAATTGTGGTGGTTGTAGTGGGAGTTATGGTGGCTGCAGTTTTCGTGGTTGGAGCCAGAGTTGTGGTAGTTGGATATGGAGTTGTAGTGGTTGCAGTTGTGGTAGTTGGAGCTGGAGTTGTTGTGGTTGGAGCTAGAGCTTTGGTAGTGGGATCTGGTTTTGCAGTGGTTGAAGCTGGAGTTGTAGTGGCTGCAGTTGTGTTGGTTGCAGATGGAATGGTAGTAGTTTGAGCCGGAGTTATAATAGATTGAGTGAGAGTTGTAGTGGTTGGACCAGGAGTTGTGGTGGTTGGAGCCGGAGTTGTGGTGGTTTGAGCCGGAGTTGGTGTGGCTGCAGTTTGGGTAGTTGAAGCAGGAGTTGTAGTAGTTGGAGCTGAAATTGAAGTAGTTTGTGCCGGAGTTGCTGTGGTTGGAGCAGGAGTTGAGGTGGTTGGAGCCGGAGTTGGTGTGGCTGCAATTGTGGTGGTTGTAGTGGGAGTCTTGGTGGCTGCAGTTGTGGTGGTTGGAGCCAGAGTTGTGGTAGTTTGATATGGAGTTGTAGTGGTTGGAGCTGGAATTGTTTTGGCTTCAGTTGTGGTGGTTGGAGCAGGAGTTGTAGTGGTTTGAGTTGGAGTTGTGGTGGTTGGAGCTGGAATTGTTTTGGCTTCAGTTGTGGTGGTTGGAGCAGGAGTTGTAGTGATTTGAGTTGGAGTTGTGGTGGTAAGAGCAAGAGTTGGTGTGGCTGCAATTGTGGTGGTTTTAGTAGGAGTTATGGTGGCTGCAGTTGTGGTGGTTGGAGCCAGAGTTGTGGTAGTTTGATATGGAGTTGTAGTGGTTGGAGCTGGAGTTGTTTTGGCTCCAGTTGTGGTGGTTGGAGCAGGAGTTGTAGTGGTTTGAGTTGGAGTTATGGTGGTTGGAGCCAGAGTTATCGTGGCTGCAATTGTGGTGGTTGTAGCGGGAGTTATGGTGGCTGTAGTTGTGGTGGTTGGACCCAGAGTTGTGGTAGTTGTATATGGAGTTGTAGTGGTTGGAGCTGGACTTGTTTTGGCTGCAGTTGTGGTGGTTGGAGCCGGAGTTGTTGTGGCTACAATTGTGTTGGTTGGAGCCAGAGTTGTGGTAGTTGGAGCCGGAGTTGTGGTGTCTGCAGTTGTGGTAGTTGGAGCTGGAGTTGTTGTGGTTCCAACTTGATTTGTGGTGGTTGGAGCTGGACTTGTGGTGGCTGCAGTTGTGGTGGTTGGAGCTGGAGTTGTAGTAGTTGGAACTGGAGTTGTAGTCATTGGACCCGGGGTTGGGGTTGTTTCACCCGGAGTTGTGGTTTCTGTAGTTGTGGTAGTTGGAGCTGGAGTTGTAGAAGTTGGAGCCGCAGTTGCAGTGGTTGGAGCTACAGTTGTGGTGGTTGGAGAAGGAGTTGTGGTGGTTGGATCTGGAGATGTAGTGGTAGGAGCAGGACTTGTGGTTGCTGCAGTTGTGCTGGTTGGAGCTGGAGTTGTAGTAGTTGGAGCCAGAGTTTTACTCGTTGGACCCAGAGTTGGGGTTGTTGGACCCGGAGTTGTGGTGGTTGCAGTTGTGGTCATTGGAGCTAGAATTGTGGTGGTTGGAGTAAGAGTTGTGGTAGTTGGATATGGAGTTGTAGTGGTTGGAGCTGGACTTGGTTTGGCTGCAGTTGTGGTGGTTGGAGCAGGAGTTGTAGTGGTTTGAGTTGGAGTTGTGGTGGCTGGAGCCGGAGTTTGTGTGGCTGCAATTGTGGTGGTTGTAGTGGGAGTTATGGTGGCTGCAGTTGTCGTGGTTGGAGCCAGAGTTGTGGTGGTTGGAGCTGGAGTTGTGGTGGTTGGAGCCGGAGTTGGTGTGGCTGCAATTGTGGTGGTTGGAGCCAGAGTTATGGTGGCTGCAGTTGTGGTGGTTGGAGCCAGAGTTGTGGTAGTTGGATATGGAGTTGTAGTGGTTGGAGCTGGACTTGTTTTGGCTGCTGTTGTGGTGGTTGGAGCCGGAGTTGTTGTGGCTACAGTTGTGTTGGTTGGAGCCAGAGTTGTGGTAGTTGGAGCCGGAGTTGTGGTGTCTGCAGTTGTGGTAGTTGGAGCTGGAGTTGTTGTGGTTCCAACTTGATTCGCGGTGGTTGGAGCTGGACTTGTGGTGGCTGCAGTTTTGGTGGTTGGAGCTGGAGTTGTAGTAGTTGGAACTGGAGTTGTAGTCATTGGACCTGGGGTTGGGGTTGTTGCACCCGGAGTTGTGGTTTCTGTAGTTGTGGTAGTTGGAGCTGGAGTTGTAGAAGTTGGAGCCGCAGTTGCAGTGGTTGGAGCTCCAGTTGTGGTGGTTGGAGAAGGAGTTGTCGTGGTTGGATCTGGAGATGTAGTGGTAGGAGCTGGACTTGTGGTTGCTGCAGTTGTGCTGGTTGGAGCTGGAGTTGTAGTGGTTGGAGCCAGAGTTGTACTCGTTGGACCAGGAGTTGGGGTTGTTGGACCCGGAGTTGTGGTGGTTGCAGTTGCGGTGGTTGGAGCTAGAATTGGGGTGGTTGGAGTAAGAGTTGTGGTGGTTGGAGCCGGAGTTGTGGTGGTTGCAGTTGTGGTAGTTGGAGCTGGAGTTGTTGTGGTTGGAGCTAGAGCTTTGGTAGTGGGATCTGGTTTTGCAGTGGTTGAAGCTGGAGTTGTAGTGGCTGCAGTTGTGTTTGTTGCAGATGGAATGGTAGTAGTTTGAGCCGGAGTTATAATAGATTGAGTGAGAGTTGCTGTGGTTGGAGCAGAAGTTGTGGTGGTTGGAGCTGGAGTTGTGGTGGTTGGAGCCGGAGTTGGTGTGGCTGCAATTGTGGTGGTTGTAGTGGGAGACTTGGTGGCTGCAGTTGTGGTGGTTGGAGCCAGAGTTGTGGTAGTTTGATATGGAGTTGTAGTGGTTGGAGCTGGAGTTGTTTTGGCTCCAGTTGTGGTGGTTGGAGCAGGAGTTGTAGTGGTTTGAGTTGGAGTTATGGTGGTTGGAGCCAGAGTTATAGTGGCTGCAATTGTAGTGGTTGTAGCGGGAGTTATGGTGGCTGCAGTTGTGGTGGTTGGACCCAGAGTTGTGGTAGTTGGATATGGAGTGGTAGTGGTTGGAGCTGGACTTGTTTTGGCTGCAGTTGTGGTGGTTGGAGCCAGAGTTGTTGTGGCTACAATTGTGTTGGTTGGAGCCAGAGTTGTGGTAGTTGGAGCCGGAGTTGTGGTGTCTGCAGTTGTGGTAGTTGGAGCTGGATTTGTTGTGGTTCCAACTTGATTTGTGGTGGTTGGAGCTGGACTTGTGGTGGCTGCAGTTGTGGTGGTTGGAGCTGGAGTTGTAGTAGTTGGAACTGGAGTTGTAGTCATTGGACCCGGGGTTGGGGTTGTTTCACCCGGAGTTGTGGTTTCTGTAGTTGTGGTAGTTGGAGCTGGAGTTGTAGAAGTTGGAGCCGCAGTTGCAGTGGTTGGAGCTACAGTTGTGGTGGTTGGAGAAGGAGTTGTGGTGGTTGGATCTGGAGATGTAGTGGTAGGAGCAGGACTTGTGGTTGCTGCAGTTGTGCTGGTTGGAGCTGGAGTTGTAGTAGTTGGAGCCAGAGTTTTACTCGTTGGACCCGGAGTTGGGGTTGTTGGACCCGGAGTTGTGGTGGTTGCAGTTGTGGTCATTGGAGCTAGAATTGTGGTGGTTGGAGTAAGAGTTGTGGTAGTTGGATATGGAGTTGTAGTGGTTGGAGCTGGACTTGGTTTGGCTGCAGTTGTGGTGGTTGGAGCAGGAGTTGTAGTGGTTTGAGTTGGAGTTGTGGTGGCTGGAGCCGGAGTTTGTGTGGCTGCAATTCTGGTGGTTTTAGTGGGAGTTATGGTGGCTGCAGTTGTCGTGGTTGGAGCCAGAGTTGTGGTGGTTGGAGCTGGAGATGTAGTGGTTGGAGCCGGACTTGTGGTTGCTGCAGTTGTGCTGGTTGGAGCTGGAGTTGTAGTAGTTGGAGCCAGAGTTGTACTCGTTGGACCCGGAGTTGGGGTTGTTGGACCCGGAGTTGTGGTGGTTGCAGTTGTGGTGGTTGGAGCTAGAATTGTGGTGGTTGGAGTAAGAGTTGTGGTGGTTGGAGCCGGAGTTGTGGTGGTTGCAGTTGTGGTAGTTGTAGTGGGAGACTTGGTGGCTGCAGTTGTGGTGGTTGGAGCCAGAGTTGTGGTAGTTTGATATGGAGTTGTAGTGGTTGGAGCTGGACTTGGTTTGGCTGCAGTTGTGGTGGTTGGAGCAGGAGTTGTAGTGGTTTGAGTTGGAGTTGTGGTGGTTGGAGCCGGAGTTTGTGTGGCTGCAATTGTGGTGGTTGTAGTGGGAGTTATGGTGGCTGCAGTTGTGGTGGTCGGAGCCAGAGTTGTGGTAGTTGAATATGGAGTTGTAGTGGTTGGAGCTGGACTTGTTTTGGCTGCAGTTGTGGTGGTTGGAGCAGGAGTTTTAGTGGTTTGAGTTGGAGTTGTGGTGGTTGGAGCCGGAGTTGTTGTGGCTACAGTTGTGTTGGTTGGAGCCAGAGTTGTGGTAGTTGGAGCCGGAGTTGTGGTGGCTGCAGTTGTGGTAATTGGAGCTGGAGTTGTTGTGGTTGCAACTTGATTTGTGGTGGTTGGAGCTGGACTTGTGGTGGCTGCAGTTGTGGTGGTTGGAGCTGGAGTTTTTGTGGTTAGACCAGGAGTTATATTAGTTTTAGCTGGAGTTGTAGTGGATGGAGCTGGAGTTGTGGTGGCTGCAGTTGTGGTGGTTGGAGCAAGCGTTGTTGTGGTTAGACCAGGAGTTGTGGTAGCTGCAGTTGTGGTGGTTGTAGCGGGAGTTACGGTGGCTGCAGTTGTGTTGGTTGGAGCCAGAGTTGTGGTAGTTGGATATGGAGTTGTAGTGGTTGGAGCTGGACTTGTTTTGGCTGCAGTTGTGGTGGTTGGAGCCGGAGTTGTTGTGGCTACAGTTGTGTTGGTTGGAGCCAGAGTTGTGGTTGTTGGAGCCGGAGTTGTGGTGGCTGCAGTTGTGGTAGTTGGAGCTGGAGATGTTGTGGTTGCAACTTGATTCGTGGTGGTTGGAGCTGCACTTGTGGTGGCTGCAGTCGTGGTGGTTGCAGCTGGAGTTGTAGTAGTTGGAACTGGAGTTGTAGTCATTGGACCCGGGGTTGGGGTTGTTGCCCCTGGAGTTGTTGTTTCTGTAGTTGTGGTGATTGGAGCTAGAGTTGTCGTGGTTTGAGTTCCAGGTGTGTTGGTGGGAGCCGGCGTTGTTGTGGTCTGAACCGGAGTTATGTTGGTTGCAGTTTTGGTGGTTGGAGCTGGAGTTTTTGTGGTTGGACCAGGAGTTATAGTAGTTTTAGCTGGAGTTATAGTTGATGGAACTGGAGTTGTTGTGGCTGCAGTTGTGGTGGTTGGAGCAAGCGTTGTTGTGGTTAGACCAGGAGTTGTTGTAGCTGCAGTTGTGGTGGTTGGAGCTGAGCTTGTGGTGGTTGGAGCTAGAGTTGTGGTAGTGGGATCTGGAGTTGCAGTGGTTGGAGATGGAATTGTAGTAGTTGGAGGCGGAGTTATAATAGATTGACCTAGAGTTGTAGTGGTTTGAGCAGGAGTTGTGGTGGTTGGAGCTGGAGTTGTGGTGGTTGGAGCCGGAGTTGGTGTGGTTGCAATTGTGGTGGTTGTAGCGGGAGTTATGGTGGCTGCAGTTGTGGTGGTTGGAGCCAGAGTTGTGGTAGTTGGATATGGAGTTCTAGTGGTTAGACCAGGAGTTGTTGTAGCTGCAGTTGTGGTGGTTGGAGCTGGGCTTGTGGTGGTTGGAGCTAGAGTTGTGGTAGTGGGATCTGGAGTTGCAGTGGTTGGAGATGGAATTGTAGTAGTTGGAGGCGGAGTTATGATAGATTGACCTAGAGTTGTAGTGGTTGGAGCAGGAGTTGTGGTGGTTGGAGCTGGACTTGTGGTGACTGCAGTTTTGGTGGTTGGAGCTGGAGTTATAGTAGTTGGAACTGGAGTTGTAGTTATTGGACCCGGGGTTGGGGTTGTTGCACCCGGAGTTGTGGTTTCTGTAGTTGTGGTAGTTGGAGCCAGAGTTGTAGAAGTTGGAGCCGCAGTTGCAGTGGTTGGAGCTCCAGTTGTGGTGGTTGGAGAATGAGTTGTGGTGGTTGGATCTGGAGATGTAGTGGTAGGAGCCGGACTTGTGGTTGCTGCAGTTGTGCTGGTTGGAGCTGGAGTTGTAGTAGTTGGAGCCAGAGTTGTACTCGTTGGACCCGGAGTTGGGGTTGTTGGACCCGGAGTTGTGGTGGTTGCAGTTGTGGTGGTTGGAGCTAGAATTGTGGTGGTTGGAGTAATTGTTGTGGTGGTTGGAGCCGGAGTTGTGGTGGTTGCAGTTGTGGTAGTTGGAGCTGGAGTTGTTGTGGTTGGAGCTAGAGGTTTGGTAGTGGGATCTGGTTTTGCAGTGGTTGAAGCTGGAGTTGTAGTGGCTGCAGTTGTGGTGGTTGGAGCCGGAGTTGTTGTGGCTACAGTTGTGTTGGTTGGAGCCAGAGTTGTGGTAGTTGGAGCCGGAGTTGTGGTGGCTGCAGTTGTGGTAGTTGGAGCTGGAGATGTTGTGGTTGCAACTTGATTCGTGGTGGTTGGAGCTGCACTTGTGGTGGCTGCAGTCGTGGTGGTTGCAGCTGGAGTTGTAGTAGTTGGAACTGGAGTTGTAGTCATTGGACCTGGGGTTGGGGTTGTTGCACCTGGAGTTGTTGTTTCTGTAGTTGTGGTGATTGGAGCTAGAGTTGTCGTGGTTTGAGTTCCAGGTGTGTTGGTTGGAGCCGGCGTTGTTGTGGTCTGAACCGGAGTTATGTTGGTCGTAGTTTTGGTGGTTGGAGCTGGAGTTTTTGTGGTTGGACCAGGAGTTATAGTAGTTTTAGCTGGAGTTATAGTTGATGGAACTGGAGTTGTTGTGGCTGCAGTTGTGGTAGTTGGAGCTGGAGTTGTAGTAGTTGGATCCAGCCTCGTTGTGGTTGAAGCCCGAGTTGTGGTGGTTGGAGCAGGAGTTATAGTAGTTGGATCTGTAGTTGCAGTGGTTGGAGCCGGAGTTCTCGTGGATGCAGTTGTGGTAGTTGGAGCTGGAGTTGTAGTAGTTGGAGCCAGAGTTGTAGTGGTTGGAGCTCCAGTTGTGGTGGTTGGAGACGGCGTTGTTTTGGTCTGACCCAGACTTGTGGTGGTTGGAGCAGGAGTTGTGGTGGTTGGATCTGGAGTTGTAGTAGTTGGAGCCAGAGATGTAGTCCTTAGACCGTTTGTTGTGGTAGCTGCAGTTGTGGTGGTTGGAGCTGGAGTTGTGGTGGTTGGAGGTAAACTTGTGGTAGTGAGATCTGGAGTTGCAGTGGTTGGAGTCGGAGTTGTGGTGGCTGCAGTTGTGGTGGTTAGAGCTAGAATTGTGGTGGTTGGAGTCAGAGTTGTGGTGGTTGGAGCCGGAGTTGTGATGGTTGCAGTTGTGGTAGTTGGAGCTGGAGTTGTCGTGGTTGGAGCTAGAGTTTTGGTAGTGGGATCTGGATTTGCAGTGGTTGAAGCGGGAGTTGTAGTGGCTGCAGTTTTGGTGGTTGGATATGTAATGGTAGTAGTTAGAGCCGGAGTTATAATAGATTGAGTGAGTGTTGTAGTGGTTGGAGCAGGAGTTGTGGTGGTTGGAGCTGGAGTTGTGGTGGTTGCAATTGTGGTGGCTGCAGTCTTAGTGGTGGAAGGCGGAGTTGTTGTTGCTGGAGCGGGCGTTGTTGAGGTTAGACCCAGAGTTGTTGTGGATATACCTGGACTTATGGAGGCTGCAGCTCTAGTGGTTGAAGGTGGAATGGTAGTAGTTGGAGCTGGAGTTCTTGTGGTTAGACCTGGAGTAGCTGTAGCTGCAGTTGTGGTGGTCGGAGCTGGGGTTGTGGTGGTTGGAGCTAGAGTTGTGGTAGTGGGATCTGGAGTTACAGTTGTTGGACCCGGAGTTGTGTTAGCTGCAGTTGTGGTGGTTTGACCTGAAGTGGTAGTGGTTGGAGCCAGAGCATTGGTAGTTGGATCTGGAGTTGTAGCAGTCGGAGCTGGAGTTGTAGTGGTTGGACCCGGAGTTGGGTTTGTTGGACTCACTGTTGTGGTTATTTCAGTTGTGTTGTTTGGAGCCCGAGTTGTGGTAGTTGGATCTGGACTTGTATTGGTTGGAGCCGGAGTTGTGGTCGTGGTTGCTCCCGTTGTGGTTGGAGCTGGAGTTGTAGTAGTTGGAACCAGAGTTATAGTAGTTTGAGTTGGAGTTATAGTGGATAGAGTTTTATTTGTGATGGCTGCAATTGTGGTGGTTGGAGTCGGAGTTGTAGTAGTTGGAGCTGGAGTTGTGGTGGTTGGAGCTGGGGTTGTGGTGGTTGGAGATAGAATGGTAGCAGTTGGAGCTGGAGTTATAATAGATTGATTAAGAGTTGTAATTGTTGGAGCAGGAGTTGTTGTGGTCTGACCCAGACTTGTGTTGTTTGGAGCCAGAGTTGTAATTGTTTGAGCAGGAGATGTTGTGGTTGCAGTCTTGGTAGCTGGAGCTGGAGTTGTAGTAGTTGGAGCCGGAGTTGTAGTGGTTACAGTTGTGGTGGTTGGAGCTGGGGTTGTGGTGGTTGGAGCTGGAGTTGTAGTAGTTGGAGCAGGAGTCTTTGGGGTTGCAGTTGTGGTAGTTGGAGCCGGAGTTGTGGTGGTTGGAGATGGGGTTGTGGTGGTTGGAGCTGGAGTTGTAATAGTTGTAGCAGGAGTCTTTGTGGTTGCAGTTGTGGTAGTTGGAGCTGAAGGTGTGGTTGCTGCCGTTGTTGTGGTTGGAGCTGGAGTTGCAGTACTTGGTGCTGGAGTTGTTGTGGTTAGACCTGGAGTTGTGGCAGCTGGGGTTGTGGTGGTTGGAGCTGGGGTTGTGGTGGTTGGAGCTAGAGTTGTGGTAGTGGGATCTGGAGTTGCAGTGGTTGAAGCTTGAGTGTCAGTTGTGGTGGTTGGAGATGGAATGGTAGTAGTTGGAGCTGGAGTTATAATAGATTTAGTGAGAGTTGTAGTGGTTGGAGCAGGAGTTGTTGTGGTCTGACCCAGACTTCTGGTGGTTGGAGCCAGAGTTGTGGTAGCTGCAGTTGTGGTGGTTGGAGCTGGAGTTTTGGTAGTGGGATCTGGAGTTGCAGTGGTTGAAGCTGGAGTTGCGGTTGTTGTGGTTAGAGATGGAATTGCAGTAGTTGGGGCTGGAGTTATAATAGATTGAGTCAGAGTTGTAGTTGATGGAGCAGGAGTTGTTGTGGTGTGACCCAGACTTGTGGTGGTTGGATCTGGGGTTGTGGTGGTTGGAGCTAGAGTTGTGGTAGTGGGATCTGGAGTTGCAGTGGTTGGAGCCCGAGTTGTTTTAGCTGCAGTTGTGGTGGTTGGAGTTGGGGTTGTGGTTGTTGGAGCTGGAGTTGTAGTGGTCAAAGCTGGACTTGTGGTGTTCGGAGCCGGTGTAGTTGTGGTTAGACCTGGAGTTGTTGTGGATGGACCTTGACTTGGGGTGGTTGGACCCGGAGTTATAGTGGTTGGAGCTAGAGTTGTGGAAGTTGGATCTGTAGTTGTAGTGGTTAGAGCCGGAGCTCTGGTGGATGCAGTTCTGATAGTTGGAGCTGGAATTGTAATAGTTGGAGCAGGAGATGTTGTGGTTGCAGTTGTGGTTGCCGTTTTGGTAGTTGGAGGCAGGGTTGTGGTGGTTGCATTTGTGGTGGTTGGAGATGGGGTTGTGGTGGTTCGAGCTGGAGTTGCAGTAGTTGGAGCAGGAGTCTTTGTGGTTGCAGTTGTGGTAGTTGGAGCTGGAGTTGTAGTAGGTTGAGTCGGAGTTGTGGTTGCTGCCGTTGTTGTGGTTTCAGCTGGAGTTGTAGTAGGTGGAGCTGGAGTTAAATTAGTTTGAGTTGGAGTTGTAGTGGATAGAGCTTTATTTGTGGTGGCTGCAGTTGTGGTGGTTGGAGCTGGAGTTGTGGTGGTTGGAGCCCTTGTTGTTGTGGCTAGACCTGGACTTGTAGTAGCTGTAGTTGTGGTGGTTGGAGCTGGAATTGCAGTAGTTGGTGCTGGAGTTGGTGTGGTTAGACCTGGAGTTGTGGTACCTGGGGTTGTGGTGGTTAGACCTGGAGTTGTGGTACCTGGGGTTGTGGTGGTTGGAGCTGGGGTTGTGGTGGTTGGACCTAGAGTTGTGGTAGTGGGATCTGGAGTTGCAGTGGTTGGAGCTGGAGTTCTGGTAGCTGTAGTCGTGGTGGTTGGAGTTGGAGTTTTGGTAGTGGTATCTGGAGTTGCAGTGTTTAAAGCTTGAGTTGCAGTTGTGGTGGTTGGAGAAAGAATGGTAGTAGTTGGAGCTGGAGTTATAATAGATTGAGTAAGAGTTGTAATTGTTGGAGCAGGAGTTGTTGTGGTCTGACCCAGACTTGTTGTGGTTGGATCCAGAGTTGTAATAGTTGGAGCAGGAGATGTTGTGGTTGCAGTTGTGGTAGCTGGAGCTGGAGTTGTCGTAGTTGGAGCCGGAGTTGTGGTGGTTGCAGTTGTGGTGGTTGGAGCTGGGGTTGTGGTGGTTGGAGCAGGAGTCTTTGTGGTTGCAGTTGTGGTAGTTGGAGTCGGAGTTCTGGTGGATGCAGTTCTGGTAGTTGGAGCTTGAGTTGTAGGAGTTGGAGCGGGAGTTGTAGTGGTAGGAGACAGAGTTGTGGTGGTTGGAGATCCAGTTGTGGTGGTTGGAGCCACAGTTGTGGTGGTTGGAGCTGGAGTTGTGCTGGCTGCAGTTGTGGTATTTGGAGCAGGAGTTGTGCTGGTTGGAGCCGGCGTAGTTGTGGTTAGACCTGGAGTTGTTGTTGATGGACCTTGACTTGGGGTGGTTGGACCCGGAGTTGTAGTGGTTGGAGCTAGAGTTGTCGAAGTTGGATCTGGAGTCGTAGTGTTTAGAGCCGGAGATGTCGTGGATTCAGTTGTGGTAGTTGGATCTGGAGTTGTAGTAGTTGGAGCAGGAGTCATAGTAGTTTGATTTGGAGTTGTAGTGGATGGAGCTGTATTTGTGGTGGCTGCAGCTGTGGTTGTTGGAGTCTGAGTTGTAGTGGTTGGAGCTGGAGTTGTGGTGGTTGAAGCCGGTTTTGTTGTGGTTAGACCTGGACTTTTGGTAGCTGCAGTTGTGGTGGTTGGAGCTGGAGTTGTAGTAGTTGGAGCAGGAGTTGTTGTGGTTGCAGTTGGAGCTGAAGTTATAGTAGTTGGCGCCGGAGATTTAGTGGTTGGAGTTGGATTTGGGGTTGTTGCAAACGGAGTTGTGGTGGCTGAAGTTGTGGTGGTTGGAGGTAGAGTTGTGGTGGTTGGAGCTGGAGTTGTAGTTGTTGGAGCTGGCGTTGTTGTGGTTGCAGTTGTGGTGGTTGGAGCTGGGGTTGTGGTGGTTGGAGCAGGAGTCTTTGTGGTTGCAGTTGTGGTAGTTGGAGCTGGAGTTGTGGTGGTTGCAGTTGTTGTGGTTGGAGATGGGGTTGTGGTGGTTGGAGCCAGAGTTGTAGTAGATGTAGCAGGAGTCTTTGTGGTTGCAGTTGTGGTAGTTGGAGCTGAAGTTGTGGTTGCTGCCGTTGTTGTGGTTGGAGCTGGAGTTGCAGTAGTTGGTGCCGGAGTTGTTGTGGTTAGACCTGGAGTTTTGGCAGCTGAGGTTGTGGTGGTTGCAGCTGGGGTTGTGGTGGTTGGAGCTAGAGTTGTGGTAGTGGGATCTGGAGTTGCAGTGGTTGAAGCTGGAGTTTCAGTTGTGGTAGTTGGAGATGGAATGGTAGTAGTTAGAGCTGGAGTTATAATAGATTGAGTGAGAGTTGTAGTGGTTGGAGCAGGAGTTGTTGTGGTCTGACCCAGACTTGTGGTGGTTGGAGCCAGAGTTGTGGTAACTGCAGTTGTGGTGGTTGGAGCTGGAGTTTTGGTAGTGGAATCTGGAGTTGCAGTGGTTGAAGCTGGAGTTGCAGTTGTTGTGGTTAGAGATGGAATGGCAGTAGTTGGGGCTGGAGTTATAATAGATTGAGTCAGAGTTGTAGTTGTTATAGCAGGAGTTGTTGTGGTCTGACCCAGACTTGTGGTGGTTGGAGCCAGAGTTGTAGTGGTTGGAGCTGGAGTTGTAATAGTTGGAGCAGGAGATGTTTTTGTTGCAGTTGTGGTAGCAGGAGCTGAAGTTGCGGTAGTTGGAGCCGGATTTTTGGTGGTTGCAGTTGTGGTGGTTGGAGCTGGGCTTGTGGTGGTTGGAGCTGGAGTTGTAGTAATTGGAGCATGAGTCTTTGTGGTTGCAGTTGTGGTAGTTGGAGCGCGAGTTGTGTTGTTTGCAGTTGTGGTGGTTGGAGATGGGGTTGTGGTTGTTGGAGCTGGAGTTGTAGTGGTTGGAGCAGGTTTTGTAGTAGTTGGATTCGGAGTTGTTGTGGTGGGAGCCAGTGTTGTTGTGGTTAGACCTGGACTTGTGGTACCTGCAGTTGTGGTGGTTGGAGTCTGAGTTGTAGTGGTTGGTGCTGGAGTTGTTGTGGTTAGACCTGGAGTTGTGGTACCTGGGGTTGTGGTGGTTGGAGCTGGGGTTGTGGTAGTTGGAGCTTGAGTTGTGGTAGTGGGATCTGGAGTTGCAGTGGTTGGAGCCGGAGTTGTGGTAGCTGCAGTTGTGATGGTTGGAGATGGGGTTGTGGTTGTTGGAGTTGGAGTTTTGGTAGTGGAATCTGGAGTTGCAGTGGTTGAAGCTGGAGTTGCAGTTGTTGTGGTTAGAGATGGAATGGCAGTAGTTGGGGCTGGAGTTATAATAGATTGAGTCAGAGTTGTAGTTGTTGTAGCAGGAGTTGTTGTGGTCTGACCCAGACTTGTGGTGGTTGGAGCCAGAGTTGTAGTGGTTGGAGCTGGAGTTGTAATAGTTGGAGCAGGAGATGTTTTTGTTGCAGTTGTGGTAGCAGGAGCTGAAGTTGCGGTAGTTGGAGCCGGATTTTTGGTGGTTGCAGTTGTGGTGGTTGGAGCTGGGCTTGTGGTGGTTGGAGCTGGAGTTGTAGTAATTGGAGCATGAGTCTTTGTGGTTGCAGTTGTGGTAGTTGGAGCTGGAGTTGTGTTGTTTGCAGTTGTGGTGGTTGGAGATGGGGTTGTGGTTGTTGGAGCTGGAGTTGTAGTGGTTGGAGCAGGTTTTGTAGTAGTTGGATTCGGAGTTGTTGTGGTGGGAGCCGGTGTTGTTGTGGTTAGACCTGGACTTGTGGTACCTGCAGTTGTGGTGGTTGGAGTCTGAGTTGTAGTGGTTGGTGCTGGAGTTGTTGTGGTTAGACCTGGAGTTGTGGTACCTGGGGTTGTGGTGGTTGGAGCTGGGGTTGTGGTAGTTGGAGCTTGAGTTGTGGTAGTGGGATCTGGAGTTGCAGTGGTTGGAGCCGGAGTTGTGGTAGCTGCAGTTGTGATGGTTGGAGATGGGGTTGTGGTTGTTGGAGTTGGAGTTGTAGTAGTTCGAGCAGGAGTCTTTGTGGTTGCAGTTGTGGTAGTTGGAGCTGGAGTTGTAGTAGGTGGAGCCAGAGTTGTAGTGGTCGGAACCTGACTTGTGGTGTTTGGAGCCGGTGTAGTTGTGGTTAGACCTGGAGTTGTTGTGGATGGACCTTGACTTGTGGTGGTTGGACCCAGAGTTGTAGTGGTTGGAGCTAGAGTTCCTGAAGTTGGATCTGGAGTTGTAGTTTTTAGAGTCGGAGTTCTGGTGGATGCAGTTCTGGTAGTTGGAGCTTGAGTTGTAGGAGTTGGAGCGGGAGTTGTAATGGTAGGAGACAGAGTTGTTGTGGTTGGAGATCCAGTTGTGGTGGTTGGAGCCACAGTTGTGGTGGTTGGAGCTGGAGTTGTGCTGGCTGAAGTTGTGGTAGTTAGAGCAGGAGTTGTGCTGGTTGGAGCCGGCGTAGTTGTGGTTAGACCTGGAGTTGTTGTCGATGGACCTTGACTTGGGGTGGTTGGACCCGGAGTTGTAGTGGTTGGAGCTAGAGTTGTCGAAGTTGGATCTAGAGTCGTAGTGTTTAGAGCCGGAGATGTCGTGGATTCAGTTGTGGTAGTTGGATCTGGAGTTGTAGTAGTTGGAGCAGGAGTCATAGTAGTTTGATTTGGAGTTGTAGTGGATGGAGCTGTATTTGTGGTGGCTGCAGCTGTGGTTGTTGGAGTCTGAGTTGTAGTGGTTGGAGCTGGAGTTGTGGTGGTTGAAGCCGGAGATTTAGTGGTTGGAGTTGGATTTGGGGTTGTTGCAAACGGAATTGTGGTGGCTGAAGTTGTGGTGGTTGGAGGTAGAGTTGTGGTGGTTGGAGCTGGAGTTGTAGTTGTTGGAGCCGGCGTTGTTGTGGTTGCAACTTGACTTGTGGTTGTTGGAGCTGGACTTGTGGTGGTTTGAGCTGGAGTTGTAGTTGTTAGAGCTGGACTGGTATTCATTGGACCCGAAGTTTTTGTGGCTGCAGTTGTGGTGGTTGGAGCTAGAGTTGTGGTGGTTGGAGCTAGAGTGTTAGTGGTTGGAGCTGGACTTGTTGTTTCTGCAGTTGTGGTGATTGGAGAAGGAGTTGTGGAAGTTGGATCTGGAGTCGTAGTGGTTGGAGCCGGAGTTCTCGTGGATTCAGCTGTGATAGTTGGAGCTGGAGTTTTAGTAGTTGGAGTCGGAGTTGTAGTGGTTGGAGCTCCACTTGTGGTGGTTTGAGCTTGAGTTGTAGTAGTTGGAGCCGGAGTTATAGTAGTTTCAGTTGGAGTTTTCGTGGATAGAGCTTTATTTTTGGTAGCTGCAGTTGTGGTGGTTGGAGCTGGGGTTGTGGTGGTTGGAGTTAGAGTTGTGGTAGTGGGATCTGAAGTTGCAGTGGTTGGAGCCGGAGTTGTTGTAGGTGCAGTTGTGGTGGTTGGAGCTGTAGTTGTGGTGGTTGGTGCTAGAGTTGTGGGGGTTTGAGCTCCAGTTGTGGTGGTTGGAACCGGCGTTGTTGTGGTCTGATCCAGACTTGTGGTGGTTGGAGCCAGAGTTGTGGTGGTTGGATCTGGAGTTGGAGCGGTTGGGGTCGGACTTGTGGTGCCTGCAGTTGTGGTCGTCGGAGCTGGAGTTGTGGTGGTTGGAGCCTGCGTTGTTGTGGTCTGATCCAGACTTGTGGTGGTTGGAGCCAGAGTTGTGGTGGTTGGATCTGGAGTTGTAGCGGTTGGGGTCGGACTTGTGGTGCCTGCAGTTGTGGTGGTTGGAGCTGGAGTTGTGGCGGTTGGAGCTAGAGTTGTGGTAGTGGGATCTGAAGTTTCAGTGGTTGGAGCTAGACTTGTGGTTGTTGGTGTTAGAGTTGTGGTGGTTGGAGCACCAGTTGTGGTGGTTGGAGCCGGCGTTGTTGTGGTCTGATCCAGACTTGTGGTGGTTGGAGCCAGAGTTGTGGGAGCTGCAGTTCTCGTGGTTGGAGCTAGAGTTGTGGTGGTTGGAGTCGGAGTTGTGGTAGGTGCAGTTGTGTTGGTTGGAGCTGGAGTTGTGGTGGTTGGAGCCGGAGTTGTAGTAGGTGCCGTTGTGTTGGTTGGAGCTGGAGTTGTGGTGGTTGGACCCTGTGTTGTTGTTGTCTGATCCAGACTTGTGGTGGTTGGATCTGGAGTTGGAGCAGTTGGGGTCGGACTTGTGGTTGTTGGTGTTAGAGTTGTGGTGGTTGGAGCACCAGTTGTGGTGGTTGGAGCCGGCGTTGTTGTGGTCTGATCCAGACTTGTGGTGGTTGGAGCCAGAGTTGTGGGATCTGCACTTCTCGTGGTTGGAGCTGGAGTTGTAGTGGTTGGAGCTGGAGTTGTGGTAGGTGCAGTTGTGTTGGTTGGAGCTGGAGTTGTGGTGGTTGGAGCCGGAGTTGTAGTAGGTGCAGTTGTGTTGGTTGGAGCTGGAGTTGTGGTGGTTGGACCCTGTGTTGTTGTGGTCTGATCCAGACTTGTGGTGGTTGGAGCCAGAGTTGCGGTGGTTGGATCTGGAGTTGTAGCGGTTGGAGTCGGACTTGTGGTGCCTACAGTTGTGGTGGTTGGAGCTGGAGTTGTGGCGGTTCGACCTAGAGTTGTGGTAGTGGGATCTGAAGTTGCAGTGGTTGGAGCTCGACTTGTGGTTGTTGGTGCTAGAGTTGTGGTGGTTGGAGCACCAGTTGTGGTGGTTGGAGCTGGCGTTGTTGTGGTCTGATCCAGATTTGTGGTGGTTGGAGCCAGAGTTGTGGTAGCTGCACTTGTCGTGGTTAGAGCTGGAGTTGTGGTGGTTGGAGTCGGAGTTGTGGTAGGTGCAGTTGTGTTGGTTGGAGCTGGAGTTTTGGTGGTTGGAGCCGGAGTAGTGGTAGGTGCAGTTGTGTTGGTTGGAGCCGGTGTTGTTGTGGTCTGATCCAGACTTGTGGTGGTTGGAGCCAGAGTTGCGGTGGTTGGATCTGGAGTTGTAGCGGTTGGGGTCGGACTTGTGGTGCCTGCAGTTGTGGTGGTTGGAGCTGGAGTTGTGGCGGTTGGAGCTAGAGTTGTGGTAGTGGGATCTGAAGTTTCAGTGGTTGGAGCTAGACTTGTGGTTGTTGGTGTTAGAGTTGTGGTGGTTGGAGCACCAGTTGTGGTGGTTGGAGCCGGCGTTGTTGTGGTCTGATCCAGACTCGTGGTGGTTGGAGCCAGAGTTGTGGGAGCTGCACTTCTCGTGGTTGGAGCTAGAGTTGTGGTGGTTGGAGTCGGAGTTGTGGTAGGTGCAGTTGTGTTGGTTGGAGCTGGAGTTGTGGTGGTTGGAGCCGGAGTTGTAGTAGGTGCAGTTGTGTTGGTTGGAGCTGGAGTTGTGGTGGTTGGACCCTGTGTTGTTGTTGTCTGATCCAGACTTGTGGTGGTTGGAGCCAGAGTTGTGGTGGTTGGATCTGGAGTTGGAGCGGTTGGGGTCGGACTTGTGGTTGTTGGTGTTAGAGTTGTGGTGGTTGGAGCACCAGTTGTGGTGGTTGGAGCCGGCGTTGTTGTGGTCTGATCCAGACTTGTGGTGGTTGGAGCCAGAGTTGTGGGATCTGCACTTCTCGTGGTTGGAGCTGGAGTTGTAGTGGTTGGAGCCGGAGTTGTGGTAGGTGCAGTTGTGTTGGTTGGAGCTGGAGTTGTGGTGGTTGGAGCCGGAGTTGTAGTAGGTGCAGTTGTGTTGGTTGGAGCTGGAGTTGTGGTGGTTGGACCCTGTGTTGTTGTGGTCTGATCCAGACTTGTGGTAGTTGGAGCCAGAGTTGCGGTGGTTGGATCTGGAGTTGTAGCGGTTGGAGTCAGACTTGTGGTGCCTACAGTTGTGGTGGTTGGAGCTGGAGTTGTGGCGGTTCGACCTAGAGTTGTGGTAGTGGGATCTGAAGTTGCAGTGGTTGGAGCTCGACTTGTGGTTGTTGGTGCTAGAGTTGTGGTGGTTGGAGCACCAGTTGTGGTGGTTGGAGCTGGCGTTGTTGTGGTCTGATCCAGATTTGTGGTGGTTGGAGCCAGAGTTGTGGTAGCTGCACTTGTCGTGGTTAGAGCTGGAGTTGTGGTGGTTGGAGTCGGAGTTGTGGTAGGTGCAGTTGTGTTGGTTGGAGCTGGAGTTTTGGTGGTTGGAGCCGGAGTAGTGGTAGGTGCAGTTGTGTTGGTTGGAGCCGGTGTTGTTGTGGTCTGATCCAGACTTGTGGTGGTTGGAGCCAGAGTTGTTGTTGTTGGATCTGGAATTTTAGTGGTTGGGGTCGGAGTTGTGGTGCCTGTAGTTGTGGTGGTCGGAGCTGGAGTTGTAGTAGTTGGAGCTGGAGTTGTAGTGGCTGGGGTCGGAGTTGTGGTGCCTGTAGTTGTGGTGCCTGTAGTTGTGGTGGTTGGAGTCGGAGTTGTAGTGGTTGGAGCTGGAGTTGTGGCAGTTGGAGCCGGTGTTGTTGTGGCTACAGTTGTGGTGGTTGGAGTCGGAGTTGTAGTGGTTGGACCTGGAGTCGTGGCGGTTGGAGCCGGTGTTGTTGTGGCTAAACCTGGACTTGTAGTAGCTGCAGTTGTGGTGGTTGGAGCTCCAGTTGTAGTAGTTGGTGCTGGAGTTGTTGTGGTTAGACCTGGAGTTGTGGTAGCTTCAGTTGTGGTGGTTGGAGCTGTGGTTGTGGTGGTTGGAGCTAGAGTTGTTGTAGTGGGATCTGAAGTTGCAGTGCTTGGAGTGGGTGTTGTGGTAGGTGCAGTTGTGTTAGTTGTAGCTGGAGTTGTGGTGGTTGAAGCTCCAGTTGTGGTTGTTGGTGCTAGAGTTGTGGTGGTTGGAGCTCCAGTTGTGGTGGTTGGAGCCGGCGTTGTTGTGGTCTGATCCAGACTTGTGGTGGTTGGAGCCAGAGTTGTGGTGGCTGGATCTGGAGTTGTAGCGGTTGGGGTCGGACTTGTGGTGCCTTCAGTTGTGGTGGTATGAGCTGGAGTTGTGGCGGTTGGAGCTAGAATTGTGGTAGTGGGATCTGAGGTTGTGGTTGTTGGATCTGGAGTTGTGGTGGTTGGAGCTGGAGTTGTGGCAGTTGGAGCTGGACTTGTGGTTGTTGGAGCTCCAGTTGTGGTTGTTGGATCTGGAGTTGTAGCGGTTGGGCTCGGACTTGTGGTGCCTGCAGTTGTGGTTGTCGGAGCTGGAGTTGTGGTAGTTGAAGCCAGAGTTGTAGTCGCTGGACCCGGAGTTGGTGTTGTAGGACCCAGAGTTGTGGTTATTTCAGTTGTGTTGTTTTGAGCCAGAGTTGTGGTAGCTGGATCTGGAGTTGTATTGGTTGGAGTCGGAGTTGTGGTTGCTCCCGTTGTTGTCGTTGGAGCTGGAGTTTTAGTAGTTGGAGCCGGAGTTATAGTAGTTTGAGTTGGAGTTGTAGTGGATAGAGCTTTATTTGTGGTGGCTGCAGTTGTGGCGGTTGGAGCCGGTGTTGTTGTGGCTAGACCTGGACTTGTAGTAGCTGCAGTTGTGGTGGTTGGAGCGGGAGTTGTAGTAGTTGGTGCTGGAGTTGTTGTGGTTAGAGCTGGGGTTGTGGTAGTTGGAGCTGGAGTTGTAGTCGTTGGACCCGGAGTTTGGGTTGTTGGATCTGACGTTGTTGTGGTTGCAGTTGTGGTGGTTGGAGTCAGAGTTGTGGTAGTTGGATCCTGAGTTCTAGTGGTTGGAACCGGACTTGTGCTGACTGCAGTCGTTGTGGTTTGAGCTGGAGTTCTAGTAGTTAGAGCCGGAGTTGTGGTGGCTGCAGTTGTGGTAGTTGGAGCTGGAGTTGTGGTGGTTGGAGCTGGAGTTTTGGTAGCGGGATCTGGAGTTGCAGTGGTTGAAGCCGGAGTTGTAGTGGCAGCAGTTTTGGTGGTTGGATTTGGAATGGTAGTAATTTGAGCAGGAGTTATAATAGATTGAGCCACAGTTGTAATGGTTGGAGCAGGAGTTGTTGTGGTTGGAACTGGAGTTGTGGTGGTAAGACCCAGAGTTGTGGTGGTTGGAGCCGGAGTTGTTGTGGTTGGAACTTGACTTGTGGTGGTTGGACCTGAAGTGGTGGTGGTTGGAGCCAGAGTTGTGGTGGTTACAGCCGTGGTCGTTGGAGCCACATTTGTGGACATTGGAGATAGAGTTGTGGTAGGTGGATCCGCAGTTGTAGTGGTTGGAGCCAGAGTTGTTGTAGTTGGAGCCGGACTTGTGGTTGCTCTAGTTGTAGTGCTTGGAGGAGGAGTAGTTGTGGTTGGACCCTGGGTTGTAGTGGTTGGAGCCGGAGTCTTGGTGGATGCAGTTGTGGTTTTTTGAGCTAATATAAAAAAAAAAGTCAGAAAAATAATCAAATCATTCCATGTCTTTCCATGGCTATCTGATACGGGTGCTTTCACGAAGGAATGCAAACAACATGATCCATTATCTTTTGGATTTTCAGTTTATATAACTTTGACCTATTTTTACTTTAGCCCAGACCATCAGCTCAAACTGCCTCTTTACACATATTTCAGTCATTTATAACATTTTCTTCACTGTTGTAAATGTTGATTTAGAGCTATATATGCACCTTCAATCCTGATTGATTGTTGTTTGGGTCTTGTTCACAATCAGATGTACTTTTTTTTTGGAATATTACATTTTCATTGTACAACAACAATTAAACCAATACTGCTACAAAGAAAAAAAACAGCTGTATCAGCTATATTTAACCCATACATATAGTACATATTTTATTAGATTAATTTACAATCATCACAGGATGATTCAGGCTAACAGTTATACATGTATGCATGTGTAGAATTATTATTATTCTCATTGTATTAGAGTTTGTAGCAAGGAATAAATATGCTCCATTTTTATTCCAACATTTACACTGTTTAAACCAATTATACTACAATTAATATTTAGATTTTTTTTAAATGATAGATCATTGTCATTGGAATATTTTGTTGAATGTCAAATATAAAACACTGAGTGAAGTGCTTAACATCCTGTACACTCTCAGTCAATATGGCATATTAGAAAGTAAAATACAAACATCAAAAGCCATACAAATATTATTTATAAATAAACTTGTAATCAGTAGTTACCTTGTCCAGAGGATGCATGTAAATATCCAAGCAAAAAGATCCAACAAAGGATTTTTCTGTCCATACTGAATGGTGTTACTTACACATCTCTGGGTACAGACAGTATTTAGTCTGAGATGGCACTAAATTACTCCTCCCTCAGCTGTAGAGGGAGTGACATCGCACAGGTGACAGGGGCTTCTCTTATGTAACCTGAAAAACCAGGTAAGTCACAGCTAACACAGGTTTACAAAATATAGGACTCTACAAAGTAATTCATGTATAACTAATTCAATAGTCATGAGCTTTGTGTGTGCACTGATTTTCATACATATAGGTAAAACATGCCTTGAGGGCTGCGTTCAGGGGCAAAGTCAAGCCATTGTGCCAAACCCATATTGGAGACCCAAAAATATGTACATTATAAACTGAAGTATCCTAATCACTGAAAATTGCTAATTACAAAAACAGAGTAGATAAACATGAGTCTTTCTCAGGACTGTTATGGATGTGGAAGTTATGCATGCTGTGTAGAAACATATGGCCTTGTGTTTTGAGCTCAAATAAATAAGTTAATGTAGATATGAATTAAGTCATTCATATAAGGTTGAGTACCTAAATAATATTAAAAAGAAACAACTTGCTCAATACAAGAAAATCTGGAATTTTAATCTGGCTTGTTTCTAGAAGGGCTGTTTTACAGTTAATGAGCTAGATGAGCAATATAGAGTAATGAACTATTGAAATGTTATTTTATAGACTCAAATTCTAATAGTTAGTGCTGAGAAAAAAGCAGATAATTTAGTGAAATCAGTGGCCAGTATAGTTCCTACATTGAACTTGTTTCTCCCAACAGTTTCATTGTAACACACCCCGTGCAAGCTCTTTCGTCCATGTGTATTATTTTTTACCAAGGATTATACAGACAACACACCATCGGACACAAAACTGTCGGAATAATAATAGTGGAAAATGCCTGTCGCAATTTCCTAAAGTTAAAGTTAATGACTTCAAATAGACTGTTTTGTCTGACCATCAGTCCAAAGCCCAAAAATACTCAGTTAATCATTTAAGCAGAGAAAAGCAGAAATATTTTGTCACTTTTGCTTGAAAAATGACTGAAAGAATAAATCCATACTCAAAGTAGTTGCAGAATATTTTTCTGTTGGTTGACTAATCAACTAACTGACTGACTGTTTGTCCTCTGCGTAGTTTCATTGTCTGTTTGCGACTTGACGCCCCTTTTTATTGCTTCTTGCAGCCTGTGGCTCTAGTGGCTTCTGTGAACTTGATGTTTGAGGAGGGTCTGTGACCAAAAAGTTGTATCTCCAATATACTCAGTGCTAATAGTGTGTGGGATTTCATCTTCTTATGCACCTGTCTTTTTGTCTCTGACAAAAGATTATTCACTGAAGAGCCTCTGCTGGTGTGTGTGCAGCAGGGGAGAGGAGCAGGATAGCCCTGTCTGGAGCTATTCATTGCCTGGGAGGTTGTGTCCATCATCATCAAGAAGAAGAGGAGGAGGAGGAGAAGGAGGACGAGGAGGAGGACGAGGAGGAGGCTGCAGGTGCGTTGGTTTGACCACATATCTCCAGCTTTGTCCACACTGAACTGTTAAAATTCTGCAAATATCTCTGTCCACGCTAAAATGCTTAAACAATAGCAAAAGAGTTCAATCATGTCATCTTTATCCTCTTTTCAGTTTCAAACAACAAATCATTGTATCATAGCCAACCTTACCACTACACTCCTGCCAATACACAATCACTGAAGACAGTATGTTTAAAACGTTAAAAATAAGTCTCAACTGATTTATATTAAACTGTAGGAATGGTCAGAAGGCTCGTGCAAGTGCGCACAATTTCACAAAATCTGACGAAAAGGCGCAGTATGCATGTTTCCTGTTTTGTGTGTACACAGATTTCTACACCTACATATAGTACACAGAGTTTTATGAATCTGGCCCCTGGAGTTGGTGGTAGGGCAACAGTTTGCTGTCAGCCATGTCATAAACCCTGAATGAGACTGAAACCACTCCTGTTCCCCTCAGCTCTACAGCTCTCCTCAGCTCATTGTTTGGGGTTTCTGGCCAGTGTTTCTGTTTTGGTTCAGCCTCCTCAGCGTCGTCTTCAGCACGACCTACCCAGCGTCAAATGACAGACACATTTCATGACTGGCTGATGAATACAGTGAAGTAAGCAGCAGCTAAAGAGACAGATATGTCCCTCAGGAGACTAACAACAAAGCTATAAAGAGAGTGATTATTAGACTTAGATTGACCAGCTGTCCAGAAACACAACTCCAAATGAATGCTAATGTAGCTCTGTCTGCTGCATGTGTAAATACTCAGCTGTTTACTATCAGCACATACTGTACTGTGTTCACAGCTAGTTTCCGCTGCAATTCAAATTGTACAACATGTATGAATCTTACAATCAAGCGTATGCAGACTGACTCACTCTTGCATACTCACAACTTCAGTGTTGTTTCCATCAGTAGTGCCTCTTATGCCAGTCTAGCATTGCACGGAGGCCTGTTAACCCTGTAAGTTTACACAATAAGGTCACACAGACTCACAGGCATTTGGTACAGGCAGTGAGGGTGCAACATCTTTACCATAAAGGACATCTGCTGTACTTATTTTATCCAAAAAAACTTTCTAAATGATCTGTTTTGTTTTTGTATGCATTATTGTTAGAAGCAAGCAATCACACGTCTTGCTCAGCAATCTTTTTTCAATTATTTAAAGTGTGACTGCTGCTCTTTAATTCATAATTATTCTTATTCTTTTTATTCTTCCGTACTTCTTTTGGACCGCATCTACTCGCACAGTTTTATCTGAGGTCTGTACTGTTTTATTTAGAATTTTTTTTTTATGAGTACTTATGATTACTTGTTAAACATGAAATAAAATGGACTAAAACTCCCATCTGGGTTTGTCGAACTGCTTCAGACTATTCACAGAACATTATAGGGCTACACAGGTGTTTTCAGTGGGCTGATTTCAGGTTGAACTCCATATGCTCATGGGTTGAATCTAGATCTAAAAAATGCCTGGCCACCCCAGCTGCCACCTCAGTTTGGTGTAAAATGCTTTCAAATTGAACACATTAATTTAAATTCATTTAAGAATTTGTGTTACATTAACACATTTAATTAATTTAATTTAATTATTTAATTAATTGAATGATCTGTTACGGCCATGTTTTAGAGACACATTAAGTGATAAGTTTCAATAAAAAAAAAAAAGATGACGATTTTGAAATAAAACTATTTATTGAGTTCTAAAGCCACCTTTAGATATTTCTATTCAATGCTTTACTCATGCGCCTCATATGACTGGTAGCTCCTGAAAAAGTTGCAATTTTTTTTTTAATTAATTTATTTTTGTTTTTCTTGCTAAAAATATAATTGAATGGTGTGTCTGAGCAAAATGTATCAAATCAAATGGATTTAAGAGATTTTGAATATGGCAACGGCTGTGTGTTCAGATGATGTGACCATAAGGCTAGATCCTTCAAACCTCGCTGTTTTTGGCTTCATTGCTGAAACACACATGCGCATTAAGACAGGAATGGTATACAGTCATCGGAAAAGAAAGCATGGGTTGAAAGGACAGCCCACCAACAGCGGGTGCTGTCATTCCAGGAGGGGAGAAGGAGAGCCAGATAGGAGCCATGCTGGCCCAGCTTGGAATTGAGGCTGCTTCTGGCTAATGTTTTGGATGATATGCTGGCCAAACAATGGGAAATCAGATCTGTTTTGCCCACATCTTTACAGAGACCCGCTCCATCAACATCCCGAGTGTTGATTCGACAGGTGAACCGTGTTTGGCGCCGACAGTGCACAAGACCACCCTGCGTTTAGCATGAAGGAACTACACTTTCATTTTGATATTCAGCCTTTACTTGATTCCTGAAAGTAATGTTTTTTAGTGCAAGTATGTTGATTTGGGAGATTTTCAAAGCAAATATTGATATATGTTACTGTCTGCGATCAAATAGGCATATATTTCTGCCTTTCCTTAAAGTCTCCATGCCACCTTCTGGACACCCCATGAATATTTCTCTAGATCTGCCCCTGCATATACTATAACTAACAATGATGAAGTTGTAGAGTATTCGACCTTAACCATAATCCAGGGGTCAGCAACCTTAACAATCTAAAGAGCCATTTTTGACAGAAAACCTGTCTGGAGGCGTGAAACGTATTAGAGCCTTATGCTAATCTCTCGCTGCAGATCAAACATAGTGTTAAGCCAGCAGCATTGGTGGTGAAAGGAAACAAATCTGTCCATGCACTATTAAATTCTCTGTTTTCCCTCAAGACTTGGATTTGGAATCCATAGCTAGCCTAGCATGGGAAACTCAAGAATAGTGGCCACCACTATTGAGTATTTTAGTTTGGCAAAATATAGAAGAAAAGGCACCAGGTCAGGAAGTAATGTATGACGCACATTTAGTTGTGTTTTGTTAAAATGTTAGTTTTATCTGGTGGTAATGGCTAAACATTTTTACAATTGGAGAATGTAAGATTCTCTTTTGGTCTACATCAATGATAAATGTAAAAAAAATGAAGATGCCACTTCCATATTTTTTTTCCCACCAAGCCACAGGCAGCCACTAGAGAAGGGCTAAAGAGTCGCAGGTTGCCTACCCCTGACCTAATCTATGTGAGTGCTGAACTATGTATGTTTTGAAACAAAAAAATTAACCTTTCCTTAGTTCAGACACGGCTTTACCTGACCTGGTATGACAAGGAACATTACCATGTTACCATGTAACCTAATCAAGGCCCTGTTCCATTCAGGTCAAACAGAGTCAGGGTGCCGCTATTGTGCATATGATGTCACTGGAAAGGGTCTGCTACACTTCAGTAAATGGAACATTAAATCATCATTAGTAAGTAAGTTAGTGGTTGATGTTAGCAACTGTTATTCTAGAGTTCTTGGGTTATATTAAAAAATAAACAATTGTGCAAGAGTAAACTTTGAATTTATATGAAGGTATATGTAGGACCAGTGGTGTTCTGCCAAAGCTGGAATAAAGGTGGACACTGACCTCTAGTGGGATAGAAAAACTTCACATAGTCTACATGAAATATACATTAAACAGTGTATTTAAGTGGTTTTTATTTTCTATATTTTCAGACTTGAGTAGTAACTGCTGGTATTTTCATCTCATAGGAGGGCCACTTCAACGTTACTGCAATAGTACTACAGTGCAATATTCTTAAAATATTTCCATTACTATGATACTTTTATTTGCAAACAGCAGTTTCTCTTTTATCTCAATACCTTTATATCATCTTTGTTGTTCACAGTCAAACAACAAATGAAACAAACAAAGGGGCGGGGCAAACTTCAAACTGGAGGGAAAGTGGCAGGAAGTGAAGTGGTCTGAAGGGATAGGAGAGGTGAGTAACAAATTAAAACAAGAAACATGATGGACTGAATGAATAAACAAGAGCAACACCAAAATAACAAAAAGAAAGGCACTTCAAATAGTAGATATCTCTTTATTAACATTTCAAAATGGCATAATATTACATAAAATAACAAAACAGCTCATCTTGTGTTATAAATCTAGTGTTAAATCTAAGGACAACCAGAAAGTTTGTAATGGTTTAGGTATGAAAGTGCAGAAATTATCATATAGCCTTAAGTGAAAGTGATTGTAGCTACAGACAATGTCACTAAATAATATATTTTTACTTTATTTAAAGTCTAATTAATATCATACAAAATAAACAATAATTAAGTACAAAAATAATCTTTTGGAAAAATATTTAAATTGATAAGAAATACATCTACATTCTGTCTGCAAGTGTAAAAATAATAAAAACACGGCTGCAGCCTAACAGGAGGAGAATAAACAGACTGGCCAAAGTTCAGGATCACAAATAGCTTATCCCTCTTAAATATGTCATTTGTATATGTTCCACACCTAGTAAACTCAATAACAGGAGAGGGAAGTATACCAAATGGACAAAAGACCGATAAAGAGGGCAAATAGCCAAAACCAAACAAATACACACTTAATCATTAATATACGTCTCAAGCCCATTTAACCTGCACACAGAATCTTAGACTTCCTCCTCTGTACTGAAATATTTCTTGGTTTTATTTCACAGCACATCACAAGATACATGTAGGGCTTTCATATTCAGATTTTCCAATCAATTGGAAAGCCACATTCTAAGCTTAATAAATCAATCCTTGATGGCACAAGATAACACACGTTCAGTAGCCATTACTATGCATTTTGTCCCTAATACTTGAAAGACTTAATTTCCCTGATTTGGGGTACAATCACAATCGTCATACACTTGGTATGAGGCACTTACCAAGGTTAATTGTTGCCAATGGTTTGCGTGAAACAGTTCCTTATTGGTATATAATAAAAGGGAGTGGGTGAGAGAGAAACATAGTTAACTAGTTTCCTGGATACCAGCCTCGTCAGTGTGGCTGCTCCTCCATTTACGGAGCATGGGAATTATTGACACCACTTAAAAACCTCTTTGACAGGTCAGACTGCTTTGTTTGAGCTTCCCATTGTGCCATGCAAATAATTTGACCCTTGAGCCACATACACATTGCCACTATTCACATTCCTGTGAAATACAGCGTATTACTACAACGGTATGTGACAATACTGTTTGGGATTATCAATTGCTGTCTTTCTACATTCACTTTGGACTATTTCTGTTCACATGAATCTATGGGGCAACTCTTACCCTTCGGATGTTTGTCACTGTTACTGTGTGGGCTGTTCCATTTAGGAGCTGGTCAAAAAACTAAAAATGGAGAGAAAACACAGAGAAGATATATTTCATCCCCTTCATCCCGTCCTTTATATTGCATGTATTCATTATCATTGATAAAGTTTTACACTTTCTGTTTGACATACCTGTTTAACATGTTCAGTGATGGTTCCATTGCTGACCTCTCCAATAGAAGTTATCTTTATCTGTAGATGTGCCAATGAATTCAAGCCTGTAGGGATTAAAAAACATCATGTTTGGAAATTAATAAAATAACAAATTTGGGACTTTTGTATTTCAGTACAAACAGAATTCCTGTTAAATGCATGTCCTTGAACATACAGTTAAAGCAGTTTTATTATTAATATTAAAGGTATATAGAATTGGGATCTGTTTTTTTGGAAATAAACTTTAGGATGAATTCATTTTGAGTACAATTCATCAAGAATCACATTTCTATGGCCACTGGAATCAAAGAGTTATAGGAATATATAAGAATTGTGTGGCTTAGTCATTTTATACAATTTGAGGAAAATTTTGTGTTTTTTTTTTACCAAACAATACGGGGGTCAACAAAGGATTGCATAGATCCTTATGTCAAAATTGAATGAAACTGTCAAGGTGAACTTAGTCCTTCACTTGTTGCTTTTAAGTACACATAGATTAAATATACCAAAGAATTGCACTGTGGTCAGGAGGTTTGAAGAGAAAAGAAAAATAGAAAGGGAAAAAGGAGGGAGTCTGGGAGTCACATACCTTGGGATATATCTATTGGGGATGTGGTGGCTGAAATAGTGGTTGCCTGAGTGAGAGTTGTGGTGGATGTAGATGTAGTTGTTGAAGACAATGTTGTTCTATTTGGAGCAGGAGTTGTGTTGGCTGCAGTTGATGTGGTCAGAGCCAGTGTTGATGTAGTTGGAGCCAGAGTTGTGGTGGCTGGAGCAGGAGTTGTAGTGGTTAGACGCAGAGTTGTGGTGGCTGCAGTTGTGGTGGTTGTAGCCAGAGTTGTGGTGGTCGGCGCTGCAGTTGTTGTGGTTGGAGCCAGAATTGTAGTGGTAGGGGCCGGAGTTGTTGTGGTTGGACCTGGAGTTGTGGTGGTTGGAACCGGAGTTGTAGTGGTTGGAGCCAGAGTGGTGGTGGCTGGAGTTGTTGTGGTTGGAGCCGGAGTTGTGGTGGTTGGAGCTCGAGTGGTGGTGGTTGGAGACAGAGTTGTAGTAGTTGGAGCTGGAGTTGTTGTGGTTGGACCTGGAGTTGTAGTGGTGGGAGCTGGAGTTGTAGTGGTTGGACCTGGAGTTGTGGTGGTTGGAGCTGGAGTTGTTGTGGTTGGACCCGAAGTTGTGGTGGTGGGAGCTGGAGTTGCGGTGGTTGGAGACGGAGTTGTGGTGGTTAGAGCCGGAGTTGTGGTGGTTGGAGCCGGAGTTGTGGTGGTTGGAGCTGGAGTTGTGGTTGCTGAAGTTGTGGTGGTTGGACTCGGAGTTGTGGTGGTTGGAGCTGGGGTTGTTGTGGTCAGAGCCAGAGTCATGGTGGCTGGAGCTGGAGTTGCGGTGGTTGGAGACGGAGTTGTGGTGGTTAGAGCCGGAGTTGTGGTGGTTGGAGCCGGAGTTGTGGTGGTTGGAGCTGGAGTTGTGGTTGCTGGAGTTGTTGTGGTTGGACTCGGAGTTGTGGTGGTTGGAGCTGGAGTTGTTGTGGTCAGAGCCAGAGTCGTGGTGGCTGGAGCTGGAGTTGTGGTTGGACCTGGAGTAGTGGTGGTTGGAGCAGGAGTTGTTGTGGTTGGACCTGGAGTTGTGGTGGTTAGAGCCGGAGTTGTGGTGGTTGGAGCTGGAGTTGTGGTGGCTGGAGTTGTGGTGGTTGGAGCTAGAGGTGCAGTGGTTGGAGCCTGAGTTGTATTGGCTGCAGTTGTGGTGGTTGGAGCTGGAGTTGTGGTGGTTGGAGACGGAGTTGTGGTGGCTGCAGTTGTGGTGGTTGGATCTTGAGTTGTAGTGGTTGGAGACAGAGTTGTGGTGGCTGTAGTTGTTATAGTTGGAGCTGGAGTTGTAATAGTTTGAGCAGGAGTTGTAGTAGTTGGAACTGGAGTTATGGTGGTTGGAGCCGGAGTTGTTGTGGTTGGACCAGGAGTTGTGGTGGTTGGACCCGGAGTTGTGGTGGTTGGAGCTAGAGTTGTGCTGGTTGTAGCCGGAGTTGTAGTAGCCGGAGCAGGTGTTGTAGTAGTTGGAGCTGGAGTTGTTGTGGTTGGACCCTGCGTTGTGGTGGTTAGATCTGGAGTTGTAGTGGTTGGAGCCGGAGTTGTGGTGGTTGGAGCCAGAGTTGTTGTGGTTGGACCTGAAGTTGTGGTGGCTGCAGTTGTGGTGGTTGGAGCTAGAGTTGTGGTGGTTGGAGCCGGAGTTGTGTTGGCAGCAGTTGTCGTGGTTGGAGCCGGAGTTGTAGTAGTTTGGGCTGGAGTTGTAGTGGTTGGATCTGGAGTTGTTGTGGTTGGATCCAGAGTTGTGGGTGTTGGAGCTGGAGTTGTGGTGGTTGGATCTGGAGTTGTAGTGGTTGGAGCCGCAGTTGTGGTGGCTGTAGTTGTTATTGTTGGAGCTGGAGTTGTAGTAGTTGGAGCCGGAGTTGTAGTTGGAGCCGGAGTTGTAGTTGGAGCCGGAGTTGTAGTGGTCGGAGCCGGAGTTGTGGTGGTTGGAGCCGGAGTTGTGGTGGCTGTAGTTGTTGTAGTTGGAGCTGGAGTTGGAGTAGTTGGAGCCGGAGTTGTAGTGGTTGGAGCCGGAATTGTGGTGGCTTGAGCAGGAGTTGTGGTGGCTGCAGTTGTGGTGGTTGGAGCAGGAGTTGTAGTGGTTGGAGCCGGAGTTGTGGTGGCTGTATTTGTTGTAGTTGGTGCTGGAGTCGTAGTAGTTGGAGCTGGAGTTGTAGTTGTTGGAGCTGGAGTTGTAGTAGTTGGAGCCGGAGTTGTAGTGGTGGGAGCTGGAGTTGTAGTTGTTGGAGCCGGAGTTGTTGTAGTTGGACCCGGAGTTGTGGTGGTTGGAGCAGGAGTTGTTGTGGTTAGAGCCGGAGTTGTGGTGGTTGAAGCCGGAGTTGTGGTGGCTGCAGTTGTAGTTGGACCCGGAGTTGTGGTGGTTGGAGCAGGAGTTGTTGTGGTTAGAGCCGGAGTTGTGGTGGCTGCAGTTGTGGTGGTTGGATCTGGAGTTGTAGTGGTTGGAGCCAGAGTTGTGGTGGCTGTAGTTGTTGTGGTTGGAGGTGGAGTTGTATTAGTTGGAGCCGAAGTTGTTGTGGTTGGACCTGGTTCAACCAATATTAAAATAAGTCAGAAAAACAATCAAATCATTCCATGTCTTTGCATGCTTATCTGATACGGGTGCTTTCACGAAGGAATGCAAACAACATGATCCATTATCTGTTGGAGTTTCAGTTAATGCAACTTTGACCAAACGTGTCAACAGCTTTTTTCTGAATTTGGCACAAATCTTTATTTGAACATCTATCCTCTGAAAAGGATAATACTAATGATGTGGTTAACTACTTTTACTTTAGCCATCAGCACAAATTTCCTCTTTATACGTAATTTAGTCATTTATAACACTTTCTTCACTGTTGTAAATGTTGATCCAGTGCTATATATGCACCTTCAATCTTGATTGATTGTTTGAAACTTGTTCACAATCAGATGTGCTTTTTTAATACTGTTTTGGGCTTTTATTGCCTTGAAGATAGACAGGAAAGGGGGGCAGAGAGCGAGGGGATGACACGCAGCAAAGGGCTGCAGGTCGGACCCGAACCCGGGCCGCTGCAGCAACTCCGTGCATGGGTCGCCAGCTCTACCGACTGAGCTAACCAGGCGCTCAGATGTGCTTTTTTGGAATATTACATTTTCATTGCAGAACAACTATTAAACCAATACTGCTACAAAAAACCCCCCAGCTGTATCAGCTATATTTAACCCATACATATAGTACATATTTTATTAGATTAATTTACAACCATCACAAGATGATTCAGGCTAAAAGTTATACATGTATGCATGTGTATAATTAGTCACTGCATTACAGTTTTTAGCAAGAAATAAATATGCTCCATTTTTATTCCAACATTTACACTGTTTAAACCAATTATACTACAATTAATATTTAGATTTTTTTTAAATGATAGATCATTGTCATTGGAATATTTTGTTGAATGTCAAATATAAAACACTGAGTGAAGTGCTTAACATCCTGTACACTCTCAGTCAATATGGCATATTAGAAAGTAAAATAAAAACATCAAAAGCCATACAAATATTACTTATAAATAAACTTGTAATCAGTAGTTACCTTGTCCAGAGGATGCATGTAAATATCCAAGCAAAAAGATCCAACAAAGGATTTTTCTGTCCATACTGAATGGTGTTACTTACACATCTCTGGGTACAGACAGTATTTAATCTGAGATGGCACTAAATTACTCCTCCCTCAGCTGTGGAGGGAATGACATCGCACAGGTGACACAGGCTTCTCTCATGTAACCTGAAAAACCAGGTAAGTCACAGCTAACACAGGTTTACAAATGTAGGACTCTACAAAGTAATTAATCTAATAGGCATGAGCTTTGTGGTCGTAGTTTCCTCGTAGAAATGGTCCTTGGGGTTGTTGTAGTTGCTGGGGTGTAGTTGTGGTTTGGTTGTTGTAGTGGGGCTTGGGATTGAGGTAGCTGCAGCTTGCTACTTTAGGACAGAATCTGTTTGATTTCAACACACATGAAGGATTACTAATACAGAATGTGGTACTACTACTAATTTAAAGGCACCATAATCGTGCCTTTAAATATACTCCTGTGTTAAACTATACTCCTGTATGAAAGTTATTTTTATCCTTTTCTAATTGCATAACAGTGTTGCTATTAGTTAAACACAGTGGATGAAATTTGTTTTGTTATTTTTGCAAAGAAAGATAAAGTAACATTGAGAAAAGTAATAATTTCTATTTTAATTAATTCAAATCATAAAAGCAGAAGTTAATAAACAAAAGTCTTTTACAGAATGCTGGAATTAATCTAAAGAATGCAACATTATTGTGAGGTCTAATCCTCAACACTGGAAAGGAGTCTTCATACTGTAATTACTTTTGAGTGGGAATAAATATTTTGGCAATTACTTTTCAGCAAGTGGCCTGTGTGAAAATCATTTTACTATCACATTTATTTTTTTTTACCTTTAAAAATAAAAGTAGATAAATACCAGTCTTCCTCAGTACTGTCAGAAGTGTTCAAGTGATATGCTGAAAGAGCTTTGTATGGCTTTGAGCTTAAATTAATAAATTATTGTAGATATGAATTACCATTCCTGTTGGAGGTCACATACTAAAATCAGAACATTTTTGGAAGCACAACTGGGCCATTGACCCACCAGTTTACTTCCTCTGAGCAGGCCAACTTTAGCCTCTAAAACAAAATTTAAAAAATCATTAATTTACCTATTTTGTATTTTGTTTTGAATGTTTCCTGGTGGAACTCCTTTAGCTGGTATCAAATAACTTTAACACGGGCTTCCCCCCCTAATAAAGCCCAGTTATTTCAACTTGGTGAGTTTTCCCCACTTACTCTGGATGAAGGTGTATTTTTGCAAACCTTCGCCAAGGTTGTTGAACAGGTTTCTTATTTACATAATGCAGTTTCTCTCTTCATCCGCTTCCACTCTTTTCAGTTGGCAAACAAACAAAGCTTTGCATCATAGCCAACCTTTGGTAAAGTTGCTGGCTATGATACAGAGCTCTCAGCTTGTTAAACCTCTGTTTATTCTCATACTGCTCTCTGTGTCATAGCGTGAGCAGTACAGCTCTGATTCTCTGCCCTTTCTCTTAAGATTGTTGATCTTGAAGAAGATGGACAAACATTATCAGCGAAATAAAATAGAAATACACATAGAGCCACAGTGTACAACACTTTTTTCCTATTGTACTGAATGTTAACCAAGGAAGTACCAACCCTATGGTTCTGTGAATTCCTGAATGACTGCCAGCTTGAGTAAACAATGAATCTGATCTAACTGAGCTGACAGATAACACACTTAACATGTAAACAATGTGTGCTGTTTGACTGTGAATGCTATGCTTTAACCTTGAGGGAATCTTCTTCCCTAAAGGTTCAGAGGGATCAGCATGACAGGCAGTCCTGCAGGAACTCACACAGCTGTAGTTACTTTACTAACTTCATCTTCAGTCAGGTGCCTGGTGGAATGATAAAAGCCCTGTTTACACCCAGCATGAACATAGGTCCTGGGTGATATGATCACAAGTAGACAGCTCAGTTTTTCACTTCACACCTGCTATAAGAATGCATCTCCACATGTATCTTGCGTGACCACTTATGATAGGATCTCACTTCCCCTCTCTATCACATAATTTTCGGTTTCTGGTTCATCAGGCTTCTGTTGTGCTTACTTTTCAGCCCAAATGGAAACCAGACACTATGTACCTGTGTTTGCATGTTTATGTGGCTTCTATTTGTTGTTTCGGCCTTTGATATGTCGCCATTGCCGCGTAAATGAGTACGTCCATCTGCTACAGCAATGGTTCTGGTGGTTGATATTATTAAAGCTCAATTATTATTTAAGATGTAAACTCTGAAGACCTGAACACAAGCTAAATACACAGAGCCTCACTCTCTGCTCAACAGTCTCGTCCTGCATTAGAAAATAAATCAAAGAGCTAATAGAACAATATGACTACATCGGTCAAAAAAGCCTATTAAGTATGTATGACTGTTAAAAATAAAACAATAACATAATACAGAAAGAGAATTGTATAAAATGTTCCTAAAAAATATCAGGAAACACATCTCTGATGCAATATTCCCAGGAAAAAATTAACCCAAATTCTGTACTATTATGTTAAGCATTGAGTATAATATGGAACGTCCATAAAGTATGTCACAGTCTGGGGTCTTGCGTTTACTCAATCTGTGTAAGAAGAGTGTGGTAGTGCTACTAATGGCATTTGCAAGATTCCACCGGGCCTGAACAAAAGCAACCAATCAGAGCCAAGAAATATGGAAGAGGGTCCCTCAGTATATGATAGTGTCTATTCACTACTTCCTTGACTTCTTGATCTAGATATAGGACTGTAGGTGGACATAACTTTGTCATAACTTTTCTGTGGTCATACTAATTTTATGGCATTTGCTGTGTGAAATAGTGCCACTGCTCTTTACCCCTAAAGTGAGTGCACTAAGTGTAACAAAATGTATTCATTATTCATGACAGAGATATTATCAACTTTATTTCAGGAACGATGTTCTCACCCTCTTCTATAAAACACAGCAGAATACGTTGAAAGTTTGAGGAATGGATGGATTAAAGATGATAGTGCATGTTTTCTACACAGCAGTGAATCAGTACAGCTTTTCATTGCTTGAGATCAAGGACGGAATTTTGATTTCAGAGGTGGGGGGGACACAAGTATTTTTAATAAAACTCTAACTCTTTCAGTTCACTGTATTTTCTAGTAGTTGTTCTAGTTTTCTATTGCTACTTTTATGTTTACTGTTCACTTTTTTGGTTTGACTGGTTGTAAAGCATGTAGCAAAACATTATCACCCAATTCTGTGTTTCACCTTGTTAGTCAACTTCACTCCAACTCAGTACCATGTATTTTACACTTATTTTTGGAATATATGGTAAACAGACCTCATTTACATAGCAGTACCGGCGTGCAAGCAAGATGGAGTGACATTCACACAAGAAACGGCAGAGCCAATCGAAAATTACATCCGTGCTTGAGATCCACTAAATTTATTTTAAACATGAGTCATTACTTCCTCTTTTGAACTGCTTGTGTGTAATTAAAGTTATAATACAGCAGAAACCAAAAAGGGTTTGCACATTCTCGCGCTCAACACTGAACTGACTTTACAAAAGAATGACAGAAATGCTGTTTTGAAACCGATGAGTGAGCATTAACTGGTCTGGTTTGTTCCCGTAATAAAAAAAGAGGTCAATGTCGGGATGGGAGCGGTAATAGGAATTTTATTGTTAATGTGTGTGTGAGAGTATGTGTGTAGGCTTGCAGAACAGGATAAACAGCTGAGGGATTATACAAGAGAGCTTTGATTGCCAATGATTCAAATCTTGAGGCCCTCTCTTTATGCATGTGCTGTGGTTGTCATACACTGACTTTTTATCCAGTTTGAAGCCACATTTTACCATGCACCATTTCCATTTAGATCTTGGTGCTTTTTAACTTTAGATTTGAACTGGATAAAGGATTTCAGTCATCGGACATCTGGATCTTTAGTTATCAGAGAAACAAGCTGAGCTCATTGTTTGGGGTTTCTGGTCCTCGATGTTTCTGTTTTGGTTCCGTCTCATCAGCGTCGTCTTCAGCCACAGTAGTTTTCAGCCCCGAGTGTACGCTACCAGCCTAGCACCACTCGACAGACAGAATTCATGACCGAACACAGTGAAGGAAGTAGCAGATAAAGAGACAGATATTCTCCTCAGGAGTTAGTGGAGACCAATAACTACAGAGAGTGAATATTGGACTTAAGTGCCGAATTAATGCTAATGTAGCTCTGAGTCTGCTGGATGTATAAAAACTATCAACAAAAACTGTGCTGTGTTTACTGCTTGTTTCTGCTGCCCCCCAATGGCATAAATAAATAGATTGTTGTTGTTACATTGGGCTTATAACTAATAACAATAATAATGTTGCTAATAACATTAAGAATGTTAATAACAGACAGTGAGCCAACATGCACAATGCCAGGACCCTGAATCTGAAGCAGCTACACCATTTAGCACTTATGCCAATCTTGTTTGAATAATAATTCATGCATTCCCATGTATAATGACTTGAACAGCATATGCAATGTGGGAATGCATCTTACATGCCTTGTATTTTTCAGTGGTTAAGTTCAGTGAAACATCAAAGCTACCTATGATTGTAACGGATTCTGATAGAGGGAGTTTCGTAACATTTAGCCGTAGGTGGAAAACTCTGTTGGGATCCAAGCACACCTTGAAAACGTACAAAATAAATATATACAGCATGCTGTGTATACATGTACAAAATAAACTATTTCTTCAAGCCAAAAGTGGCCTTCAAGGGAGCAAGGTAACTTTTGCTAAACAATGAACACTATTAGCACCAGTGTCAATTACAGCATGCTACTAATAGCTAATATTGAGGACACAGTGACCATGTCCGTAGTGTGTCTTTCCTCTGGTTTTTTTTTATTTTTATTTTTTTTATTTTGTGTTATTTCATCTTTTCAGTGTGACATCCTCATGCCCTTTGATTTTAATCTGTAACATTCCTGTATGCCTCCATGTCCCCTCCTCTGTGCCACCAGATGGTGGCAGTACAACAGCAGCACTGAAAAGCTGCTGGACTATCAAACTTACTACACCAATGAACAGTTAAAAGACAACAAAAACATTAACACTGGTGCCCCCCCAGGGGTGTGTTTTATCACCTCTTCTATATTCGCTGTACACAAATGACTGTACGTCACACACTGATTCTGTTAAAATGTTTAAATTTGCAGACGATACAACAGTGGTGGGGCTGATTTCTGGGGATGATGATGATGATGTCTCCAAAACTAAGGAGCTAGTGGTCGACTTCCGCAGAAGTGTGAAGGCGTCCCAGCCTTGCTTTATTTATTGTAAAGTCGTGGTTGCGCTCTGCATCCCTATGCACCATGTCAGTTTAACTTGACATCTGTCACTCTAGCCTTCTGGACTGTCATCCAGGTATGCTGTGAACAGTATGCCTTTTTATCTGCCTGTGTCAAGTGTGATCCTGTGTGGGATACCGTATATGTACTGTGTATAGTGTATGTTTTGGGGCCCTTTGTGTTGTATATGTATTTACATGTTCTGTGTCCTTTTTTTCTGACTTTGTTGATGTCCTGAGCACACTGAAGCAAATCCCTAGCAACTTGCACCGAGTTGTATGGCAATAAAGTATTGAATCTTGAATCTTGATCTTGAAAATATGGTCTGTATTGAGCAGAAGCCTGAATTGTGAAGTGTTTAGCCTTTTCGCTCTGTGTTACAAAACAAGAGCTGCCACAGAGTGACAGCTTGGATCCTTGGACTTGAAACATCAAGCAGGTTTAACAACAATCTGGACATAATAACAGGGTTAAGTCTGAGGACACATGGTTTCCTCTGTGTTTTAGCAACCTTGCAGTGTAACAAATGCACATATGGTGTGAATAAGTTGGGTGATTCTGATCATTTAAGATTTTGTATATTGTATAAGATTATTTTTAAGCCAACAAAGCAGATACATAGATAAAGGATTATTCCTGGCAGTGAACAGAGGGTGTGAAACAGCCTTTTGACCTTCATGAGGGTAAATTGTATTTACAGTTAATACATAAAATATGATGAAATCGAATAATTGAAAAATCTTGAAAAAGAATTGTTCATTATATGTACCGTGGATAATGTAGGCACCAGGTTTTGACAAGGAAGGAAAATTAACTATATCTCTGGTTCTGCTACATCGAATTTTTCTCTTTTCAAAAAAACAATTCATTGCAAGTCCAACAGTGTTATATGAGTGCCATTCTTACACTACTAGTATACTAGTATTTTATTAGTTCTTTCTTTTTGGTGTCTGGGTGTACTGACCCGCTCTAACACAGAGGGCTGACATTTTCTATTAAAAATCTAATTATAGCAGAAACACCAAGGAAAGCGGACGTGTCAGAAAGTGAGATCAGCTCTAATGTCCATGGTTCGATATGGCTGGTTTCCATGTCAACAGAGACGCTGGTTGTGGTTGCCCCAGCAGCAACAGAAATTGTTTGTCCTCAGACAGTCTGTTGTTTTACATATTTTATACATTTTGATGTATCTGTTTTTTTAGCTAACAAAAGAGATACAGAAAAGGGTAGAATATACAGGACACACACAAACCGACTACAGTATATAGAGCAGAGAAAGTATGTGAACCTCTTGAGCATTGTGGAGTTTTCTATTGTTCTACTGTTATATTTAATCAGAACCAGTATTTTTTATATGGAATAACAGGTGTATGTTTATTCCAGTTCATATACTTTTTTTTTTTAGAAAATGAATTGTATGAGAGCAAGTAAATACAGTCAAGTGGTACAAAAGATGTTTAGGGGAGAAATTGGGCAGCACTGATTAAAATAGATCAAACCAGGTCAGTCATACCAAAGTGAACCCATACAGGTCAATCATACCAAGATTGGGCTGCACAATTAATCACAATATTATCAAAATATATGCACAGATATTGCTTTGCATTTCTGTTCTTTGTTTGCCATTCATATTGTAATATGTAGTCATTTTTGTAACATTTTAAAAATACGTATGTGTGTATATTTCCTGCTGTCACAGCTGCAGAGAAACATTTCCAAAATGTGGTCCATACTGTATATATGTGGAGACAAAAACTATGAGGATTAATTTTTTTATTGCAGTCTGAAATCCTAAAACTGGTCCTTCAATCCATAATCCAGGAAGTTATTTTAAAGCACTTAAGAGCTGCAGGGGTCCATCACCTGATCTCTGTCCTCAATCATTTTTTATTCAAAGAAAAAAGAAAAGAAAAAAACTTTAAATAAACTTTTTTATTTGTCACAACGACAGGCACCAGATCAGTCTTTCCATTTCTGTCACACGTGAGTGAAAACTGTGTATCTCTGAAACGTGACATGCAGGAAGGTGGAAAGATGTCCTTGTAGTAGCAAGTAGTTTGAACTTTTAAACTGCAATTAACCAGTCAATTTTTTATAGCCACAAACAACTTCCGTCTTCCTTCTACAGGTATTCTTTGTTTCCTCATGCCTTTTGAAGTTTCTCGGGGCTTTGAGGGCATTGAGTTACAGATAGCAGACAGGGGTTGTTCAGTTTCAGAGAAATGGTGTGACTTCAAACATAACAAAACCTGATAAGATAGTAGATCACTGTGTATGTGGGTTCCTGCTGAAGTCTGCATTAAAAGAATTAAAGTCTGTCGGTTGTTTCCGGCTGTTTGGATACAAAGTTCAAGAAATGTTCTGTTTTGCCTGACTGGAAAAGACACAAAAGTAGATCAATTAAAAATGCTAAACTATTTGTAACTGGTTGATTACTTTGGAAACAAATATTGGGAAAGTGTAAAGTGATCAATTAGAAGTGACTCAGTCATCGAAACAGGGCACAAAGAATGTGTGTAGTACCTGGACTACTTTTAAACACTTGAATTCATTGTGCAGAAATGGGAAATGATTTTATATTTAAAACTATTTAACAACTCCAACAACAGCAGGCCTGGAGATGTTGTAACTCTAAAGACCCCACAGAACCAACCAGAGTTATTTCACAAACTTCTCGACCAATGAGGGCTTCAGAAGAGTCCACATCACACCCAGGGAGCACACATCAGTGAGCCAGTCAGAGCTCTGATAGATCTCACAGGAATATTTGGAGGTTCAACTGCTTGGGGGGTACCTAGAGAGGACATGGAAAGCAGTACCAGGCATAAAAAACAGAAAGAGGGGTTGAGGAATTAAGGAGATAAAAAGAAATAAGGCAAAATAAATTAAAAGAGTAAGGGAAAGTTAAGTCTAATGAAAGAACAGGAACAAAGTAGTCAAATTAAAATGACAGTGTATATAAAGTTATTAAAGAGGATGAAGTTAAGCGAGAGGAAGGCGGCGTTGCTGGCCATTACAGAGAACATTGAGATGGAGCTCTTCTCTTCAGAGGAGTACTGCGTGGTGATATCAACTCAGGAAGAGGAGGAAGAATACAGCTTTTACCAGGTGTGTCTTCTGTAACACTGCAGCTGGAATGAAAACTACAAGAAAAACTAATTGATCCTCACTGCTATTCAGTGTCTTTGTGTTTAGTAACAGCCACTCACAGAAAGTCCAAATATGCAAATGAAAATATAAATACATAATATTATGTTTATATTAATATATAATATAAATATAAATGCAAAATAGCATGTGCTGCAGGTTAATTCACAAAATATGACCACATACATTATGATATGATTTTAATATGAAGTTATTTTAACTCAAGAACATTTTTGAAATGCATCAAATGGAAAACAACACAAACTCTTTTTTGTGAGTTAAAAAAGATTTGTAAGTTACAGAAACTTTCCTAAATAAGTACTTTTTACTAGGTGTTCTGTTTTCTCAGTACAAACAATTAATCAATAATGTTTTTTAACTTAAAAAATTCAGTTTGTTTTACTTAAAATCTTCAATGTATTCAGTTTCAACAATTTTTTGAGTTGAATTAACTGTACCATCAGGCTGAGGCCAAGTAAATATGTCACTTAATATACATTGTGTTTTTCCATTTATAATAAGAGTTTTGTAATCTCTCTCTCTCTATATATAATGATTAGTTCGTTGTTTAGGTGAACGTAAAGTTCTTCATTATAAAACAAATCAGTAAAAAAGACTACTTAACAGGAAACAATGGTAGTTAGGCTGTGTCCCTTAAAAAAATAGAACACAGTCAATGAAACTTTGTGGTCTTGTAATAATCAGACTCTCTGTAGCAACCATCTGAGATAAAATGCCATTCTTTCACTACTCCACTTTTCACTTTTAGGGATTATTTGTATGTTCATTAACCTCTTCTTTTTCTTGAACACAGAGACACCCAGAGCACCGTCTGGTCCCTGACTATGAGGAACCAGAGATGCATTTTCAGACCCAACCCAGGCAGCAGGTCAAGCCCAAAACGGAGCCTCCTGCTAAGGCAGAGACCAAGCACAGCCCCCCTGTCACAGGATTCATGGAGGAAATTCAGATAGAAATGGAGGTGAGTGAACATGAGGAATTTAAGAAGCATCCTGTCCCCACTTATTGTAATACTGTGGAAACAAAGCTCATTTTCTTGCTTTCCTTAACTCCATGCAGGTGTTCCCTCCCCTCAGAGTGTCTGAGAGTGAGCCAGTAGCGATAAAATCAGGTGATCCTTCCGCTACGATGACCTCAGTACGTCAATTCAAGTTTTATTTTGTAATTTCCTGATCAGCGACTTGACTCTCCAGCAGGGTGATGTTGCGCAAACATGGAGCCTGAAACCATTTTGAATGATGATTGCTGTAACCACTGAGCTTCCTTGCATCTCTTAGAATATATAGTTGGGTAAAATAGGTTGATCAGGTTTAGTGTATTGGCCAACACAGAGCTTTGTCGTGCACTAATCTTGAGCACGTAGACTGAATCCAAAACAGTGTTAGTTACCCAGTCACTGAATCAGTCAATACTAATCTGTTGCCCAATCTCTTATCTGTGATGAGTTTGCTCTATCAGTCACTCAATGTGACGTGTATTGCAGTTAGGATGACAGCGGAAACCCATCATACTCAGGTCTTGTATATGTCACATGAGCCAGTGAGATGGACACAATATTAAAAGGCCAAAGTAAAAAAGTACAGATATATTCTCTGTCTGTTTACATGCATTAGAAAATGGGCTGCCTTTGCATGTTTCGAGAATTTGATTTATTGTTGTTGCACCTTTTTTAAAACAGAAGTTGATTGATTTGAATAAACTATCAATTACTTTAAAGATCCCCTCCAGAGATATATTAAGATATATCTGCAAATAGTCCTCTTGTAACAGTAATGTGTGTCTGATATGTTTTTTTGTTACGTAATTTCAACATTAAAATCCCTAAAAAGTCATATACTTCTTCTACCTCATTAAACATTTCAGATTCTATCAATATGCAAATGTTTTCTCAGGATGTGCACTTGTGTAGTTTATACATTACACTTGTAGAAGTTGCATACTGGACCACATAACTTATTGTGTGGAAGTACACACACAACAAAATACAAATCCAATTTTCATACTTTGAGAGCCATAAGAGCTGTAAAAAATAAATAAAATACTTACCTTGAACCAACAAATGCACTCTTTATTATATGTAAGATTTCTTACCTGAAAGTATCCAAAGGCTGTTTAAAATGAGGGATGAGCTGTGTCTGTTTTGGACTGCAGAAATCTTTATGTTATATGTTACATGTGTTGTTTTCAACTGTGGTACTTTATTAACTGTCTTTGTTACATATATATGTATGGCATCAAAGCATCAAAGGTCCAGACCATGGTGACCTCAATGGTGGGTACCACAGCTTGCGGTACTCAATAAGAAGTAAAGGAACTCGTGGACAAAAATCATAAATGCCAGTACTTAGTACTGGTGAGTACTGGCCCATTTCAGGCACTGGGCAGATTAATTACAATTACAGTAACCAAATATTTAAATTGGTCTCGATTAATTGTCCGTTGATCAATAAATTAATAACTGTTCATTTCAGTGGTAATGGTTTTTTTTTGTTCCATGCTAGAACCAGTTGTGTCCTACATTTGCAGTTTGCTTGATGGTTTTACATTAAACAGCAACAAACTGTTATCTTTTTGAAAATGTTTCTGTAATATGACAAGCTGTGGAGAGCATAGTTAATGTGATTTATCAGAATGTCTACCTTTCAGTCTATGTCCTCAAGCTGCACTCTGCTCTGTGGCATTGTACTATGTGCTGCAACCGATCTCAAACAAGTCCTCTCAAATAGAAGAGACTATCTCTGCAGAAGGTGGGACTTGTGGTGAAAGATATTGTCTGTCTACCCAGAGGACACTGCCTCGCACAGCTGGAGTGGTGAGACGTGTTAGGTAATCTATCTCATCCCTCTGCCTTATGAGCGCTAGCTATCTCAGTGAGGTATCAGTGGGTTGCTTGTTGGGACCAGTCAGAGAAGACTTTTCCACAGCAGAATATATTCTAACTATACTGGTATAAAATTTAGTATGGATGTTCATGGTTTTGTGACTTTTTAACATTTTCTTGAGTACCACCATTAGTTAGAACTGACCAACTCTGACTAACCAGATGGTCTTGCTTGTAGTAGGGTTAGGTGTTAGGGTTAGGTTTAGAGAAGAATTCGTCTTTCTCAATGTATCCTTTGTCTGGATTCCCTGGGAAAAAAGAGTGTGTGCTGGCCATTCTTGCTGTTGATTTTTTCTGAGAGAAATAGTTTGTGCCCTGGTGTATTCAGTTATTGCATATATATATATATATATATATATATATATATATATATATATATGTGTGTGTCTTTGTTGGTTTTTTATGTTATATATGTGCTGTGCAAGTCTAGTTCTAATTGTGTTCCCTGTTTCACCTGCGTTTGTAATGTCACAGTGTTTGCACCGTATTTGTTAGGTGTTAGGGTTAGGGTTAAGGTTAGGATTTTCTGTCCTGAAGCACATGTGCACTATTTTTATTTGCGATTCAATCATGGATCCTAACTTGAAATATAAACAGAGTTCTCAACATTCTTTGATTAATTATTTTATTCATTGTCAAAAGGTTTTATTCAATTACACCAAAAGAACACGAAGAAGTGCACTTCAAATAGAAATGTCAATTTATCTTTCAAAAGGGCATACAACATAAAATATCATATTAAATATGGTGTTCAGTCTAAACAAAACCAGAAAGTCTGAACAGGTCAGGCTTGTTGTTCTAATGATTATTCTAAAAGTCAATGATGTTGACTTAAGCTCAGCATCATAACTAATGTCCTGCATGTGTCAAATTTTCATACATTTCAACATATTCCACACGTAGTTAACTCTTTACCAGGTGAAGTAAGTTTCAAATGGACAAGAGACTGCAAGGGGGGCAAATAGCTAAAACCACACAAATATACACACTTAATCATTAATATATTAATTCCTATGTGTCAAGATCATATAATGGACACACATTCAGTAGACATTTGAGTGCATTCTTTCAGTAATACTTGAAAGCTTGATTTCTGATTTGGGGTACAATTGTCATATACAGTACTTGGTATGTGTTACTCACCATTGCTGCAAATGAGTTAGACATTTCCTTATAGTTTTGTTTTCTAGTTTCCTGGTTACCAGGCTTGTCATCATGGCAGCTGCTCCTCCAGCATGGTAATTATTAACAACTCCAAAAAAACGCTTTGACAGATCATATTGCTTGGTCTGAAAATTCCATTGTACCGTACACTTGAGCCAAACGCACATCTCCACTATTCCCATTTGATTATTTCTTTCAACATGAGGCTTCTATGGGGTAACTCTAACCTTCTGGATGTTTGTCACTGTTATTGTATGGGCTGTTCCATTCAGGAGCTGCTCTTTAAAAAGCTAAATGGAGGGAAAACAGAGAATACACATCAGAAGACTTATTTCACCCCCTAAATCCCATCTTTTCTATTTCGTATGCATTGATAATGTTAGCACAAAACTGTTCTTTATTTTACTCTTTCTGTTTGACATACCTGTTTAACATTTTCAATGATGGTTTGATTGCTGAGCTCTCCAATAGAACTTAACTTCATCTGTAGATGTGCCAGTGATTCAAAGACTGTAGGGATTAAAAAACATCATGTGGAAATTAACAAAAGACTAATGAGAAATTTGGAACAGTTATTGCAATTCTGTTACTAATATTAAAGCAACACCAGGACAATCACTAAAGAAGAATGAGAAGAAACTGCTTCAAAAGAAGGCTTTAAAGCTACATTGTATCACTGATCATCTCTTTTGGTTCATTTATGACTAGACTTTAGCCAAGTTAATTCTCAAAGTACTTTCCAAATTATAGCCAGGAGAGTGGAAGACAAATGAAAAATAAAAAGGGAAAAGTAAGAAGTCATAAAACCTTGAATTGTTGTTTCTCCTATAGATGAGGTGGTGGCTCCAGTTATGGTGGTTGGAGACAGAGTTGTAATGATTGGAGCTGGAGTTGTAGTGGTTGGAGCCGTAGTTGTGGTGGTTGGACCCGGAGTTGTAGTGCTAGGAGCCGAAGTTGTGGTGGTTGGAGCTGGAGTTGTGGTGGTTGGACCCGGAGTTGTAGTGTTAGGAGCCGAAGTTGTGGTGGTTGGAGCTGGAGTTGTGGTGGTTGGACCCGGAGCTGTAGTGCCAGGAGCCAGAGTTGTGGTGGTTGGAGCTGGAGTTGTGGTGGTTGGACCCAGAGTTGTAGTGCTAGGAGGTGGAGTTGTGGTGGTTGGAGCTGGAGTTGTAGTGCCAGGAGCCAGAGTTGTGGTGGTTGGAGCTGGAGTTGTGGTGGTTGGACCCGGAGTTGTAGTGCTAGGAGGCAGAGTTGTGGTGGTTGGAGCTGGAGTTGTGGTGGTTGGAGCTGGAGTTGTAGTGCCAGGAGCCAGAGTTGTGGGGTGGAGCGGAGTGTGGTGGTTGGACCCGAGTGTAGTGTTAGAGCCGAAGTTGTGTGGTTGGAGCTGGAGTTGTGGTGGTTGGACCCGGAGTTGTAGTGCCAGGAGCCAGAGTTGTGGTGGTTGGAGCTGTTGTTCCAGAGTTGTAGAAAGTTGTAGTGCTAGGAGGTGGAGTTGTGGTGGTTGGAGCTGGAGTTGTAGTGCTAGGAGCCGGAGTTGTGGTGGTTGGACCCGGTGTTGTAGTGCTAGGAGCCAGAGTTGTAGTGCTAGGAGGTGGAGTTGTGGTGGTTGGAGCTGGAGTTGTAGTGCCAGGAGCCAGAGTTGTGGTGGTTGGAGCTAGTTGGTTGGCGGAGTGTGTCTGGGGCAGAGTTGTGGTGGTTGGAGCTGGAGTTGTGGTGGTTGGACCCGGAGTTGTAGTGCTAGGAGGCAGAGTTGTGGTGGTTGGAGCTGGAGTTGTGGTGGTTGGACCCGGAGTTGTAGTGCTAGGAGCTGGAGTTGTAGTGCTAGGAGGTGGAGTTGTGGTGGTTGGAGCTGGAGTTGTGGTGGTTGGAGCTGGAGTTGTGGTGGTTAGAGCCGGAGTTGTGGTGGCTGCAGTTGTGGTGGTTGGAACCGGAGTTGTAGTGCTAGGAGCCGAAGTTGTGGTGGTTGGAGCTGGAGTTGTGGTGGCTGCAGTTGTGGTGGTTGAACCTGGAGATGTGGTGGCAGCAATTATGGTGGTTGGAGCCGAAAATGTAATGCCTCCAGTTGTGGTAGTTAGAGTTGGAGTTGTGGCGGTTCCAGCTGTGGTTGTTGTAGCCGAAAATGTGATGGCTCCAGTTGTGTTGGTTGTCACTAGAGTTGTGGTGGATACAGTTGTGGTGATTAAAGCCAATTAATCAGAACAAATAATAAACTTTTCAAATGTCCTGTTTTCAAAGGTGAAACAGTGACACTGTGCTGTCTGCCAAACAGGATCTATTATTATTAGGACAGTAAATTAACCAAAGCAAACAAAGCTTTATTGAACCCCACTGTAATCATGTAATAACTTATTTTACAGAATAATTGATAATAATCATTCAGTTACTTACTAAATTACTAATTAGTCAAGTTAATTTAATTAGAATGCAATTAAAAGGGTTTTTTAAAGACAGATCAATGGCCGGCAATAACAGATAGCAATATTGTGTAGAATGTCAATATATAACCAGTCTACTCTGATACAATATGGCACATAAGAAAGTAAAGTACAAACAATCCAAGCCATAAGAAACTTGTAATCAGTAGTTACCTTGTCCAGAGGATGCATGGAAATATCCAAGCAAAAATATCCAACAAAATATTTTTTTGTCCATGACGGCAGGTGTTACCTCTCACCACTCCAGGTACAGACAAGCATTTAGTCTTTGACTGCGCATAGTATTTAGCCTGTGAATTACTCCTCCCACAGCTAAGAGGAAGTGGCCAAGCATTGGTGACAGTGGCTATGTTCATGTAACCTGAAAAACCAGGTAAGTCCCAAACACATGTTTACAAAATATAAGCCACAATAAGTTCAAAATCATAAAAATACATCACACATGCAATTGAACAAAACCTGCAGTGGCCTTATTCCATACAATCCAGCTCTTTCAGAATAAAGAGCATTAGTTTAACTACTACTATTACTACTACTTAACTTAGTGAGCCATGATTGGCATGGACAATGGGATCTTTGTTTAGATCATTTTTATTTGTGAAATTTTCTCAAAGGATGACAATTCACAATAGTCAAGGTGGGACATGCTTAGCCAGCCATTAGTTTATTAGTGAGCAGGGGTGGGTCTAGAGAAATTTTCATGGAGGGATTTTAAGGGGTGGTAGAAATATATGCAGATAATTATAAACAATCACATATATCAATATTTGCCTGGAAAAAAAAGATATTTGAACTCAAAAACATTGTTGTATAGAAATATCTAAAGATAGCATTAGAAATCAATACGTTGTTTCATTTCCAAATCTTCAGACATCTTTCCAAAGGTATGTTGTTTTCCTTTGAACTCAAGCATATCGCTCAGTGTAAAATGTGGCCATAAGAGGTCATTAAATGATGTGTTAATTTCATGTTTTTATCTTACTTCAAAAATGACAGTATTTGACAGCAAACTGGTAACAGAGGGGTGGCACTAAAAAAATGCCACTCAACTAGATCCGCCCCTGTTAGTTAGTCTGTAGGAGAGAATGTGTTTGAGTTTGGCACAGGTACTAGTAACACATATTTTCAGAACTACTTTAGCTGGTGTCAAGTAACAATAATGAAATGCAGGGGAAAGTACACCCTCTTCAGGTTTTCCACAGATGACATGCCATTGCACTTAAAGCTTAACCATTCCCATTAACCCTCATCAATGCAGTCAAACAGGTTTCGTATGGACGTAATGTGGTTCCCTTCCTCATCTGCTCTCTCTCTCCCCGTTGTTGTAGCTCAGACTCTACTGTTCTACATTACATTATTACTTCATTTATTTTTCACTGTCATCACTATTTTAATTGCATCCACATTCTGTGAACTCCAAGCTTAAATCTTAGAATAAAAACTGTGCCCATTCTGTACAACATACACTATGTGCCTCCCTTCGAAATAATACACTCAGTGGCCACTTTAGTAGGTACACCTTTAAAATTGAATTCAATAGTTAAATTATATGTTGTAGCATAGATCACAATTAGTGAGTTGCACTGGACTGCATAGTCAGAGGTGTTTCTAATATTCTGCCCCCTCATGTATGTAAATGAATTACATTCAAAATTAGAAAACACTTCTTAATATAATGTAGTCCCTGACTTTTTCATGTCAAGGACCCCCACAATAGATGTACATGAGACCCTAATTTTGGAGGACTTTGTCTTAAGGAATCCTCTATTTTAAGTTAGAAGATTATAATATCTTCATAGTCAATGATCAAACTGTGATCACTATAAATTACAAACACTAAAGTATTTTATCCATATTTATCTATTTCTTCCCTCATTGTTCAAACTTCTACATAATGTGATGAAAGTTCAAATATCTCAAGGGCCCCCGTTGGTCCCCGGACCCCAGTTTGAAAACTACTGCAGTACAGCACCACTGTTAACTTTGACCTCAGTAATAAGTAACTGAATTGACACTTTTCTGATGATGTCAACCAACAACTGAACATTATAAACTTTTAAAAGTAAAATCTATGGCAGAGCTGTTGCATTGAACTGAATCATAATAAGGTAAGATGAGACAAAAAAGCATTCTAATGAAGTACTGTAATGTAAGTAAAGTCACATCATCATGAGTTTTTTATCAGTGAAAATGAAAATTGTGATGCAAAAATGTTTATTCACAATCACAATATTTATCAAAACTATCGCTATATGATTTTCTTTTTTTCTTTTACCATATTGTGCTGCCCTGGCCTCACAAATCTTTGAATTCTTTAGATATAGCTATGCATTGTTCTCAGCAGAAGAAATAAGCCAAATATTCTTAAATATAATCACATTTCTTGTATTGAGCCAAAACATTTGCCAGTTATGCTTGGCTAGAATTCTTAAAGCTAGCATAAAAATCTATCCTCAGAAAGACTTTAATGGGTCTTAGAACTAGAACTAGAAATGCCAGAAATGAAGTTGTGCTTATTACACGCAGTGAAAACTCAGTTATTAAGATAAAGTATTTTGGTCATTTTATGGAGCTGAATTTAAGAATTTGTACTTTAATCTAAGATTAATAATTAGCAAAACAATCTTATAACAAGAGACAATTTCTTCAAACGGCGTACTGACAGCGTAAGTGACTTTGTCCTAAATGAAGGCACCAGAAACATACTTATGTTTTATCATTTTTTATTAAAACAATGAAAAACTAAACAGTTGCTTTATTTATAAGACTGGGACTAATCTTAAATATAGAAGCTGTGCAAGTGGTCTTACTAAGTAAGGAGAATACAATCAAAATAGTTCCTCTGTTGGGATATTGTACAAACCATTGTTGTAACTTGTTACTGCTTAAATCGAGCTCAATGTGAGCTGTAACATTAGATTAGAATATTGAAGTTAGATATATTTTCTTAAAACCAGATCACTTTTCTAATGCAAAACATGCTTTAGACAGAAACAAGCCTTTTTTTCTTTTTACTTTACTCTTTCTTCCCATTTTTTGTTGTGGACTTTTCCATGTGAGCATTTCTGGTTGTTGGGATGTTTTAACAGAAGATGAAGAACCATGAAGAACTAACATTACGTTACTGAGAACCAGTTGGAAAAAAAGATACCAAAGACAGTTTGCTTTGGTTCTCTGGCATTACATGGTATTATGACTTGTTTAGGACTCGAAACTCAAAGTGTAGGACTTGGGCCTGTCTTGACTTGAGACTTACTTGTGACTTGCAAAACAAGGACTTGGTCCAACTTCTGCCTGAGGGTGTGGCGAGAGAATAACCAGAATTGGGAAGATGAATGAAGAACAAGCTGAATGAAAATGAGAAAGATTATGTGTACACTTTTGTGTACCGACATCCATAACGTGTATATTCACACTCTGGTTTCCTGTTACACCGGTGGACAGCTGCATATTTCCCCGGTGGAGCATAACAAGCATGTGGACCTGAGGGCAGACATCTAACCTCACTCATTCTTTCAGTGGAAGGACCCTCGAATGACCTACTAACATTTATATGTGCAGACCTGATGCCTTCACTTAACCCTCCTTTTATTCAGCTTCTCACTTACACTTTCTGATAAAAAAAGGTAAAGCAGACATTTTGACTTGTCACAGAAGGAAAAGCAGAGTTACTAATCACATTAATGACTGTTATCCTTATTATGTCAGCGTTATTATTGTGATCCGGTTGATCTGCATCAACACAAATCAAGTTTTATTGTAGCATATACAATAAGGTGTAACAGCCAGTTGTGTGACAGTCATGTATGGCAGGCAGATGGATCCTAAGAACCTGAATTGAGGGGAGAAACTCTACCTCATCCTCTCAGTCTCGAGCTTTAGGCAGCAGAGAAAAGAATGTGTTGTTGGGCTGACTGAAGTTGTTTTTGAAAATCTCTCACACCTTTAAAACCTGAAGGTAGCACAAACTTGTTTAATAAAATCAAAGTGATGTGATAATACACACACATCAACAAAAACAAGCATACGGAGAGGTAGAAAAAGATAGACAGTGTCAAATGTTTGCAGCCCTGATGTTCCCTCTTTATCAAGGTCCTTCAGTCATTTAAAGAAAGCCCCGTCAGTGTACTCCTAGGTATCTGTGCTGTTGCATTGAGTGGTGTGAGTGGTGTCATTGCTCCTCTCCTCCAGGTGGAGGCGCTGTAGAGCCGACAAACAGAAGAGGTTTCTGGAGGATTTCACAGAAACAGGAGGACCAGGAAGCAGTGATGGATCATATAAAGACGTTGTTGTGGACTGTGTGTGTTTGTTGAACAGTACAGAGAGTGGAAAAAGACTGGGTCCCGCTGTATTACCCAGGCTGCACCGCAGCGTCCATTCTCGGGCGCGAACCCACTACTGAGCGGCACGGGGGCTTTGACCTGCTCCGTTTCCGACCTGGGCCGGTGCGCCCCTCCTTAGACGACCTGGTGGTCCCGGGCTCCCCCAGGAGCACCATATCGATACCGAACTTAGTGCGGACACCCGATCGGCACAGTCCGCTGCAGCTCAGAGCTCCTGAGCTCAAACGATCCTCCAGCCTCAGCCTCCCGGTAGCTTGGATTACAGGCGCGCGCCACCGCACCCGGCGGCAGGGCTCCTCGTTCATAGGGGGTTTGGGGTTTACCGCCGTGACGTCATCAGGGAGCAGACTCAGGTGGCTCCTAGTGACGTAAAACCTGCAGCTGCAGCGTTTAAGGACGGTCAGGATTGTACAGCTTCCACTGATAAAAGCTGTCTCCGGTTCTTTACCTTCCTTGGAGCACTTTTGATAGGTACTGACCTCTGCAGACCGGGAACACCCCACAAGAGCTGCAGTTTTGAAGATACTCTGACTCAGTCGTCTAGCCATCACAATGTGGCCCTTGTCAAAGTCGCTCTAATCCTCACGCTGCCCATTTTTCCTGCTTCTATCCCACCCACTGACAGGAGCCATGATAACCAGATAATCAGTGTTATTTCACCTGTCAGTGCTCACAGTGTTATGGTGGATCAGGGATTTAAATAAAACTGTGTAGCTGCTTAAGGTATTATTGTGTTTAAAAATTATAAGTATTATATTGCATTATATTGTGCCTCTTCATATTGTTGAACCCCTTAAAACCCACATTTAAGAGTAGGCTTAAGACGTTCCTCTTAAAGTGGTTAGGTGTAATTCTTTATGCAGAAGCAAAGTGTGCTGCACTTTGTTCTAACTGCAATGGGAAGATACATCATGTAAAACCTTCATAAAAAACTACAGACAACACTGAAAAAATAGGAATTTCGAGTGTCCCCACTCTCTAACTCTGCACTGCACACACGAAATATCACCATTAGAATCCTTCATAAACATTTTCTATTATTATCACTGTGTGACTCTTATTTCCACTCATTTCAGTCAGGACCACTTTTGTCAAAAGAAAACTTTATTTCTAAATGCACAATGTTATAATATTAATAATATTCAGTGGCATGGCTCTGTTCTGCGACCTCCCTGCCCTTCCATGTGCATATTGTATGTCGAAAGCGTAAGACAAGGAGTGCAGCAGCAAGGACCCCCTATGGTACAGAACAGAGCAGGCATCAATTACAACAGAAATGTCATTGATTCAATTAGATACAGCATAGAAGGAGGAGCTGGAGTGGAGGTGGGTTGCAAAGCAGCTTGCAGAGGAAGCAGCAAAGGTAGGCAGGCTAAAGCAACTTCAATAAAGCACCCTGAATGATATTTGCCAATCACCGTAAAACCAGATAATTTAGTTCAACTCAAACTTTTTAGGGAAACCGATTGCCTTAAACAATTAAAGTGTATTAACTCGAACAATTTAAGCATATAAATATTCAATTTCAGTATGTAAATCAAGTATTTGTTAAGGTAACTATGGTAAAATAAGTTAATTGTACTAATTCCATTCAGTTCAAAATGTGTTAACAGAATTTATCTGAATAAAGTCAGACTAACTTAAATGCATCTTCTTTATACAAAGGCTACAACTTAAGTTGATTTTACTCAGTTTTCTTTCACTAAAGTAAATTATTACATTACCTGTCAAAACAACTGATGTACGATAAAAACTATAATTAATTGATGATCAAAGTGGCAGCCAATAACTTTTCTATGGATCATATATTTGCTACTCCTATAATTAAGTTGTTAGAAATAGCTTCCTTGTTTTCTATGTGACTAAAATCAAATCTTTACACATTGAACATGATTAAAAATGGATCCATACTTACAATGTGATGATTTATGAACTGAAATCTGATGCATTATAGCACAGTGGCGCTTACATTTCTCTTATGATATAAGGTCAACTTAAATAAAATGAGGCAGTGGAACAAACTGGAAACAAATTTACATTCATGAAAACAACAATTCATTTTTGAGTTAGCTTTAATTCATGGGGTTGAGTGACTCAACATTTTTTGGAGGATTAAGTTATGTTAACTTACTTCTTTTATTAAAATGTGCTGTTTTATAGTGATGGTAACCCACCTGAAGGTCCTCAGTGTTCTCGTGCTATTAGCACTGATGCCTGAGGCTACCCTTCATGTAGTGGCTAAAAAGATATTTTAAACTCAGTCCTGTTACTTTCAGTCCAGTTACCAAAAATGCAAAATCTTCCATTTAGAAACAATCTAAAATATAAATAAAATGGCCTGAGGTAGACCATTACACACTGTGAATAGTTAGATAGATAGATAGATAGATAGATAGATAGATAGATAGATACTTTATTTATCCCAAGGGAAATTCAAGTTAAAGTTAAACAGTATGTAATTGCATGTTCCAACATGCAAATGGCAGCAATTCAGTGGAATGACCCTTATATTTTTCTTTAATCAATGCGTAAATACGGTTACAGATTTCACCATTCAGACTTTGTGAAACTAAATTTTCTAAGGTTATTGCTGTAAAACACAAATAATAGAATACCTTCACATGAGTACAAAGCAGCTTTTTTATGAGCAGATATTTCAAAACCAAAGAATGAACATCTCCACACAAACTGATTGTAGATTTCTGGGGTGAGAGGACATCTTTAGCAGCAGTTCCCACTTCTGATGGATGACAGTTAATTGTTCCCTTTATATGCAAATAAAAATGTGCAACTGCTGAAGGTATTATTGTGATGAAGTATTATACTGCATTATATTGTTCCTCATCATGTTGTTAAACCCCAACCCATTATGTAACATCTGACTGTATGGGCCAGTGAAATGACTGTAGGCCTACAGAAAAACGTTTTGTGAGTTGATCTGTCACATGTTAAGTGTCACAGTGCAATGTGCAAAGGCAGGTAAACAAACCATGCTGGTGGAGTTCTGTTTGTTATTTTTCTGAGCACAGTTTTTAATCAATAAATAAAAAGTATTGCTCTTTATTGAAAGAAGCTTTCATCAGTGGAAGCTGTACAATCCTGACCGTCCTTAACCACACCTGATGACGTCACGGCGGTAAACCCCAAACCCCCTATGAACGAGGAGCCCTGCCGCCGGGTGCGGTGGCGCGCGCCTGTAATCCAAGCTACCGGGAGGCTGAGGCTGGAGGATCGTTTGAGCTCAGGAGCTCTGAGCTGCAGCGGACTGTGCCGATCGGGTGTCCGCACTAAGTTCGGTATCGATATGGTGCTCCTGGGGGAGCCCGGGACCACCAGGTCGTCTAAGGAGGGGCGCACCGGCCCAGGTCGGAAACGGAGCAGGTCAAAGCCCCCGTGCCGCTCAGTAGTGGGTTCGCGCCCGAGAATGGACGCTGCGGTGCAGCCTGGGTAATACAGCGGGACCCAGTCTTTTTCCACTCTCTGTACTGTTCAACAAACACACACAGTCCACAACAACGTCTTTATATGATCCATCACTGCTTCCTGGTCCTCCTGTTTCTGTGAAATCCTCCAGAAACCTCTTCTGTTTGTCGGCTCTACAGCGATACAAACATCAGCCATAGAAATCACCTTCTTTAATGGACACTTTTTAGAAAACCAATCCATATTCAAGTCCCCGACAGAAAAAGTATCCTTACTTTCATCCCTAACTATATCCAAATGTTCACATATTCTATTCAAATAATTGACATTAGAACTGAGTGGCAACAGTAACAACAGGTAAGTTACAGTAAAGAAGATGAATCTGAAGAAAATCCTTTATTTATTTGTACTTAAATAATATATTTCATATGCTTCAGTTGTTCTAGTTAAACTTAAATTGTTTAAGGCACCCGGTTTCCCCAAAAAGTTAAAAGATAACAACATAATAACATCTAAGAAATAATTTAGGCAACATTGAACATTGAGATTGACTTACTACTTACAATATGATCTTAAATACAGACAATAGAGTAGTCTCTGACCTCTGACAGTTCACAGTGCTGATGGATTAATTGACACAAATTAGCACATTTCAGAAGTCATATCGAAGAGCATATTGTCAAAGTATTAAACTGCAATATATTGTTAAACCTCAAGTCAATATTAACTAAAATTAATTAATTTGAGAGCAGATCTGTCCATTTTTAGTATCAGAGAACAATGTTCAGAGGTAGTCTGTGTTTCAGTATTACTGAAGCTATGAATGAAAATATATGAATGACTGCTCCAGCGACTGTAAACACTGAGAGTGATGACAGTAGATTCCACTGCTGTGTTCTGAATTTTCGATAATAAAATATCCTTGAATCCTTCAATTATAGCGATAGTTTTCATACACATTCACTGATGCAATGTGCAGAGACTGAAAGGTGCAGTCAGGGTGCAGAACAGGAGTTTACTGTATCTGTGCTGTTGCATTGAGTGGTGTGAGTGGTGTCATTGCTCCTCTCCTCCAGGTGGAGGCGCTGTAGAGCCGACAAACAGAAGAGGTTTCTGGAGGATTTCACAGAAACAGGAGGACCAGGAAGCAGTGATGGATCATATAAAGACGTTGTTGTGGACTGTGTGTGTTTGTTGAACAGTACAGAGAGTGGAAAAAGACTGGGTCCCGCTGTATTACCCAGGCTGCACCGCAGCGTCCATTCTCGGGCGCGAACCCACTACTGAGCGGCACGGGGGCTTTGACCTGCTCCGTTTCCGACCTGGGCCGGTGCGCCCCTCCTTAGACGACCTGGTGGTCCCGGGCTCCCCCTGGAGCACCATATCGATACCGAACTTAGTGCGGACACCCGATCGGCACAGTCCGCTGCAGCTCAGAGCTCCTGAGCTCAAACGATCCTCCAGCCTCAGCCTCCCGGTAGCTTGGATTACAGGCGCGCGCCACCGCACCCGGCGGCAGGGCTCCTCGTTCATAGGGGGTTTGGGGTTTACCGCCGTGACGTCATCAGGTGTGGTTAAGGACGGTCAGGATTGTACAGCTTCCACTGATGAAAGCCTCTTTCAATAAAGAGCAATACTTTTTATTTATTGATTAAAAACTGTGCTCAGAAAAATAACAAACAGAACTCCACCAGCAAAATTCAGAACACAGCAGTGGACTCTACTGTCATCACTCTCAGTGTTCATAGCTTCAGTAATACTGAAACACAGACTACCTCTGAACATTGTTCTCTGATACTAAAAATGGACAGATCTCCTCTCAAAACATTTCCTTTACAAACATTTTACAGGTCACATACAGCCAAATGTTACATATTTGAGGTTTAACAATATAATGTGTTATTATATATTGCAGTATTATGCATTGTGGAGCTGAGCTTCAGTCAGTCATGACTTCTTGACTTTTGTTTGCAGACAGAGGGAGGGATTTGTTCATCAGCACTGTGAACTGTTAGAGGTGTCATGCTTTAAATACAGTGTTAAAAATGTCATCCTTGGGTAGCCCACCTGTAGAGCTCATGTCCGTAGTACCAGTCTTTAGCACAGTGGCCCCTCTTATGTCATCCTCTCTCTCGTCCCCTTTCCTGTCCACTTTAAACTATCCAAATATCCTACCAAAATAAATGCAAATAAATATATATTATTCCCATATAAGTCTTTTTATATCTTATGTTGTTAAGTATCTGCTTATTTAAAAGTGATTTATATTCATTTGGAGATATTTTATATATTTATTTAAATATACGATTAACCTGACCCTAATAATATATTTTTAGAAACCCTGTTTACTCCTAGGTATCTGTGCTGTTGCATTGACTGGTGTGAGTGGTGTCATTGCTCCTCTCCTCCAGGTGGAGGCGCTGTAGAGCCGACAAACAGAAGTGGTTTCTGGAGGATTTCACAGAAACAGGAGGACCAGGAAGCAGTGATGATGTATCATGTAAACACATCAGAGCTGTCTGTTGTCACAGTTGTTTGTTGAACAGCATGACCTGCAGTGCTTTCTTGGCCAGGTCTCCCTCGGAGAAGAAATCTCAATCTCAAGAGACTCCCTGGTTAAATAAAGGTTAAATTATAAAACAAAAAGATATCTGTGACAAAGGTGCAACATGACACTTAAATTTAGGTGTGACGTTTGGCGTGGTGAGGTTTAAAAGTCTTTAAACCTTTTCTGGATTCCCAACTTATTGGACTGGTAATACGGTGATAATATGAGCCTTTGGTTTATTTAGGCCGGCTCACCTGCACAGGAGATCCCACTTGTTGCCTAATCAGGACTGTGTGGTTGATTACAGACTGAGCTCTACTCACACACAACTCACATCTCTATGATTGTTAACCCTCCTATTATGTTGGGGAAAATGCATACCGGTATATAGTGAGTCAAACTGACCTGCACTGTTCATTAACAGGGGCAAATAATCACTTCAAATGAGTAAATGTATTATGGGTTTTCAGAGAATTCATAAAGAATGAATAAAAGATCATTTGATATAAACACTATATTTAACAACTATTTGATAGGGTAAACATTTATTATTTTTTCAAACTTCATTCTACGTAAAGCAATGGTCCCCAACCTGGGGGTAGGGGCCCCTACTAGGGGTCTCCAAAGCTTCATGGAGGGTCGCGAGACCTTCTTGATAGATACAGAATATATACACAGTAGGCCTATATCTCAGCATTTAGTTCACTTCTGTGACAAAATGTAAAGTACACTGTTAAAGTAATTGTCTAACAGAACAATGGCCAAAAAACACTGAATTTGTCAAAAAAAGAAGCCTATTAAGTCTGCATGATTGTTAAAAATGATTAGAAATAAATAAATAAAGACAGAGGGTTCTATAAACAGTTCCAGAAACAGGAAATAATCTGCTCAAAATTCATCCAAATCACTGGTTTTACACAAACCTCCTGCAGTTACAGAGGTTACTGTTTGGGTTCATTTCATTTGAATATAATATGAAATATCCATAAAATATGTGACTGGGTCAGGGGTCGTCAGTTTATTAAATGATAGAAAGGGCAATGTGAGGAACAACGGTGGTCTTCATGACCTACTGAATGTGGTCTGCATGTATTTCCGCTGTTGGACGGTGAGGGGCAGTAGCACACTCTTCAACTATGATTCTGCCTCATTTTCAGGAGAAGAAGAAGAAGACGGTTACTGGGGTAACGCGGGGGTAACGTCAACATCATAGTTGGTGATTTTCTTGGAGCGTTTTAGTTTTTAGTAACGCGACAGTTCTGGAGACATTTTCCTCTCAGCCAAACTGTGTTAGCTAGCGAAACACCTGCTTCGGTTGGACGGCCAGAAAGTGTTCAGTCTAAGGTACGAAACCTTTATTATCTTATCCGTGCTATTCCGTGGAAACGAGCTAACGCTAAAGTTATCTTAACGCTGGCTAATTGGCTAATGGTAAGGGTAAAGGCGTTTGGTAAACTAGCGTTCAATGGCTGACGTGCTACAAATGCTACGACCGACAAATTAGTGGATATTTTTTTAACGGGCACTTATTGTCACCTTTAATGCTTTAGCTAAAATGAGTGTAGCTTTTATTTGACGTTTTCCCGGCACAGATAACGTTACTGCGTGCTGATCGTCCACATGAAGGGACTGTCTGTAACTTCTCCAGCCCTGCATCAGGCACCAATGAATGAATTTAAAAAGCTGTCGTTAAAAAAAGTCAAAGAGTTGTGAAAGGGGTGGCACTCCTCGGGTGAGTGCAGAAAGCAATAGTCCCATATCATAGATCATAGGGCTAGTTAAGTTAGTAGAAGAATGTCTTCAGATTCAAAAATGTGTTCTGTGTGAAAGGCACAAGACTCTTCTACTTTTCTTGTCAGCATTGGCACTTTTCTTATTATATGTGATTTGTTTGACAACAACACAGTCAGTTACAGTTTGACACCGTTCATTATGTTCTTCATTCTACATTAAAGTACACAGTGCTACGAAGGGCCCCTGTGGGGCAGCACGATATGGTAAAACACATAATGCAATGTGATTCACGACTACTGTGGGAATGATAATCTTTGCAGCACAAACAATTAAAATCACGATGATGTGACATTTCTTCTGGTCTGCACCAAACAATCATGTTTTCTTAAACACGATTTGTTTCCACCCATCAGCTCCAAATGTTTGATTTCTTTCTTGTTATTGTTGTGCTTGTTATTACTTGTTTTTACTGATAACTCGTCGTCGGTGGTTTCAGGCCTCATGGCGAGCCAGAGGCCCCCCTCCGGCATGGGCCGCCCATTGAGCCGCAGTGGAACTGGGCTCCCTGGCGCTGGAAGACCCCCGACGGCCGTCAGACCTCCTCCTACAGCTATTCGTGTTGCAACTGGGGTAAGTCAGCTGCTGCTTGGATGCAGTTTAGTTTTGAGATCCAAGTGCTCTTCCTGTGATCATTATGTTTCAGTGCCCTCTCCTGAGAGCATCTGATGCATCTCCCTCCTTGTAACTGACTTGGGTTTTGTTTACCTGTTGGCAACTGTAACTCTCAAACAAACAACTTTTAGAGCAAGGAAGATTTATGCTTGCTTTTGTGATTTGCATGTTATTAGCAAATATTCTACTGTGGCAGCCGTTCATTACACAGTCAGCATATGGGACTGTCTCGTTGACTGGTCTCACAGAGTTTTCATTCTCCTGTTCTCAATCCAGATGGTTCCAGGTACAAGTGGTCATCCTGGTATGAGGGGCGGCATCCCCATCGCCACCCCTGGAGTCCTGTCGGCTCCAATCAAAGTGACTGACAGGCCTGTGACCCAGCAGGGGCTCAGCGGGATGAAGACTGGCATGAAAGGTAAGTTTGATGTGACTCTGTTTGCATAGGTTTGTATCTGTTTGGTTTAATATTGTGGCAGAAACAGTGAGCCATGTTAAAACAGACATTCCTGAACATCATCATAAGTCTCACCAGGCTCTCTCTTTCTCTCTTTCTTCCATCCGCAAAAGGACCTCAGAGACAGATTCTGGATAAGTCCTACTACTTGGGCCTTCTTAGGTAACACATGCTGCTATTAGTCCTACTGCTATGGCTCACTATGCAGCCGGTGTTCCCAGCAGGACAGCCCTTTCTTGAAGGCCTGTTCATACACACTGATCCATTTTACCATTTAAAAGAGAATGTTTGTGTTGTTGTGTTGTTAGGGGTAAGATCAACGAGTTAACCACAGAGACCAGCAAACTGCACAAAGAGATTGACAACTACAACCAGGAGAACTCAGTCTATCTCTCCTATGAGAAGAGGTGAGTGGTGTTTTTAGCTGTTAGTGCAGACACTGTGCATCTTGTAATGACAAACAGATCATGTTCTCCAATTGAATTTAGGCCTACTGCATCTCACAGCCTTCAAATATTCAGAAATATAAGAAAAAACACTTATTGAGAAGGAAAAAAGGCAAATGTTTGTGGAATGCAGCTAGAAATTCTAAGCTAACCTAAAAGAAAAAAACCCTGCCATGCTATTAAAATGAGTCCACCAGTCTACCATCACACATTTGTGCATACGAACACGATGGCTCTTGTTATACAATTAATTCATATTATAAACAGGAATAAAACAGTGTGAAAAAATAAATAAAAATCACCAGCCTTTTTTGGTTTCTTTCCCATTCAGAGCCGAAGGCCTAGCTGTAGAGATTAAGGATCTGCAAGGCCAGCTGGCTGACTACAACATGGTAAAGTTGAAGTTCTAATTGTTTTTAGTGTGTAGCCACTGAAAAAAGTAATTCTTGGTTCCTACATCCTCGACATTACAAACCAGCAACAAACTGAACTAATATTATTACACTATTTGACACTTTATGGAGTATAAGCTTAAGTTATCTATAATAAGGGATGCAGTACTGTAGAAAAACGAGTACCATCCAGTTTTCAGAATTTTGGCATTGTATTGGTATCAAAGTATGTGTTCTTGTGACATCCCTATCCATAATGACTCATAGTGAGTGTAAGAATAGAAAATGCAAACAGCTAGCTAACTAGCTGTTAAACTAAACATCATTTGAATATTAGCAGTGTACTTCAGTGTCCGGTGTAACACAGGGTGTTTCAATGGTATACACTGGACTGTTCTGCCCTTATTAAACACTTGATGAGTCCTACTGATATGTAGCTTAATTGTTGTGTAAATTCCTAAATTTGTATTTCCAGCTGGTGGACAAGCTCAACACCAACACAGAGATGGAGGAAATGATCAACGACTACAACATTGTAAGTGCACCATGTATCACCTGCATAAGTTCATTGCTTTTCATTCAATAAAGAGATACTCTCCAGTTCTGATGTAACTGATGCTAGCAGCATCTACGCTAACCTCTTTAGAAATCAGCCATTGTTGCGTTACTTAGCATTAAAAACCACGCTTGTAGCTGTCAGTAGTTTTATCTAAGGACGCTGATCGGTCTGAACCACTGCAGTTGGACAGAAGCGTGTAGCTTAAAGCTGATAGATTGTCGTGTGTTTTAGTGAGTCTAAGAAGGTTGGACAGACTGTTCCCCATTGCATAATGAGAATGACCTCTTATTCCTTTCATTTCCCTTCCTCTCCTCCCTCCCAGGTGAAAGCCCAGAATAACAGCGAGGCTGAAAGCATTGATAGCATCTTCACTGAGAGGAGAGAGTAAGTTATTATATTATGTTATGGTTGTGACAGGGTGTCCTCTCAAACACAGCTATATTGCTTGAGTTCACTGGGCAAAGATTTCAGAAAAAAGCCTGCATGTGATATTTTATAAGCGTTTAATGGTTTATCAATTAGTTTCATTAACAACTGATAAAGGAAATTAGGATTTTCGGATAAATTATTGATGTCAATATATGATGTCATGGTCAACAATTTAGACTACAGTATGTTGCATGAATCAACATATTTCCATGGGAATCTGCAATTGGTTTTGATTGCAGTTCATACAATGGTGAGTACATTCAAAAAGACTGTAGACGTTACATTGCACAAAATGAATGAAGCAGAAGAAAGAAGCCCTGGTTTTGGCTTGAAAACATTCTTTGAAGGTGTGGTAGCTAACGTTCAGTCACACCTTTCCTCCCTTGCCTGCAGAGCTCACATAAACTCCGTCACTGAGGAACTGCTGTGCAGTGCAGAGACAGCAGGTAGCAAGCTTTTCGTGACCGTAGTAACATCTTAACTTGTGTCAACCCTGCAGTCAGAGTCATCAGACTACCGCCGTGCAAACGAGGTGGTTGTAAATCGCTGTAATTGAAATATATAACCTCAAGTGCACATTTTGCAGGAGGCAACCCATCTGTGTGCATTCCTCTACGGATCCGCGGAGTGTAAAAACTGTGCCTTCGTATGTCAAAGTGTGAGAGGGACTTACATGTTAGGCATGATTTGTCGATCAGAAACAGGGATCAAGAGCTCAAATTTGAAACGTTTTACCTCATATTCTTGCATTGATAGGATGCTACAGAGTATTGTAAAATCAGTAGAAACAGTACAAAAAGCTTCAATTACTCAACTACCAACATTATACCGACCTTGTATTGCAGCCACCGAGTCAAGACAAAGTTTAACTGACCCCTAGGATGATAATACAAACCAGTGCCTGGAACATAAATAGCTAAATGATTTTATTTAGCTAAGGCGATGTATACTGTACATATCATCAACCGCCCCTCAGTGAGTACCACGTTGCTGTGATGACTGCCTCCTTGTCCTGTCATTGGTTCACCAGCTGCTGTTTGCTCCATCATGGTTCTGCTAAAGTCTCTTCTCCTGCATGTCATTCTTCCCTCTTGATGTATGGATCCTCAAAATACCCATCCTCCTCCTCCATCTGCCCGTTCTCTTGCCTAAAGGTGAATGTCTGATGACTCAAGTGTGTCCCTGTGTCTGAGAAAACTGTGGACACCGCATCCCCATCCTCTTCTTGGCGTAGTCTCCGATGGTGGTAGTTATGGAAGAGCTTGTACCAGGAAGGCCCCTTTATGGCACATACAATGAGCATGGAGGTGAACAGAGCCAAGGCTACAACACACGCTGTGAACTTCCATGAGTTGCCGAGCACAGGTGTCTGGTCTGGTTGGGGTTGCAGGGTGGAGACAGAGAGGAGAGCTAAGCTTTTAGTTGAAGAATACGAAAATAAGAAAATAAAATATCCACATCTCTTCTTTGTCTTACCTTTATTGTTGTGGTTCTGGCTAGTCAACGTGGTCTGCAGCACAGTGGATGAGGTCCTAGACTGCTGGAAATTGACTCTCGTTTTTTGTGGGTCTGTGATTAAGGTCGGTGCTGGTGCTGATGGGTAACACACAGCTGTAGCCTCCAAAAGATCTGTTCCAACCTGATTTTCTGGAGAAGCACAGGTGACTTGTGGTCCCCCTGTACAACCAGATATCACATATAGAAGCAATTTAATTAATGAGCCACTTTCAGACAAGCACCCCTTTACTTTAATCTGACGGCAATTTGATTTATTCATGCATATCAGTTCCGTCTATGAAAGCTGTTTCCCTGGCTGTGCAACTGGGGCAGAGATAAAAAAAAACCCTTTTACAATAATGATCTGACCAACAGTCTCTCCATGTAAATGTTACATATTCCATGTCTGAAAAGGGCGTTACTTCAGTAGGTTAAATGTCATCAGCACGCAGAACAGTGGTTCCCAACCTGTTTCCTTAAGGGACCCCAACCCCCACCTAAGTTACATATTTTATGGATGTTTCATATTCATAAAATACTGCACAATCAACCCAAACAGTGAACTCTAACTGTAAGTTTGTGTAAAACTACTGTTTAGATAATGTTTTATATAATTCAATTATATTGACTTGTAGGCTTCTTTTTTTGACAAATTCAGTGTTTTCTTGTCTCTGATGTTTGGCCATTGTTCTATTAGACAATTTACTTATCATTTACTTTGTGAGAGAAGGCCTATGGTTTTTAAATTCTGCACTTTCTTGTGGTCTCATCGTGTTCATCGTGCTTTTCGAGGAATGATCTGCCTATGTAGAGATAATCAGCAGGTTTCTCCAGGTGTTCTGGAATGTTAACATTTCTCTGCCCGCACCACGTGATCATTGCAAAGAATATGTCTTTGGAGGTCAACTTGGGACCACCAGACCAGCTGTGCATATCTTATATCATAAGGCTCATCATTTCTTGGTTTTTACAGATTTTAACTGACAAAGGTCCCCGATTTTTAAAATGAGCATAGTGGTTTCATTTCATTTTCACTCACATTTTATGCCCCCATTAAACTGCAGTGTACAGTAAAAAAGGTCCTCTTGATGTCTAAGTAAAATGCTTCTGGTCATTACATGGATTTGTGTGTCAGTCTACTTGGATGAAATTATAGACTAGTATAATAGGTTTCACCCACCCACAGTTAAATAACAAACCCTGAACAATCTATGAATTATGAACCCTCCTGGATCACAAGGGTCACATGTCAGCTATATAACTGACAGCCTAACAACATAGAAAGGAAATGATTACCAATGGTGACTCCGGCTGCTTTGAGCGCTCCAATACTGCTCAGCAGCGGGCAAGAACAGTTCCAGGGGTTTTCCTGAAGGTTCAGCACCTAATGGGACCAGACAATGTCAGGTTAATGGATTAATAATAACGTGGTTACACAGCAGATCTCTGATTAAAAAAACATAATGGCTTAGCCAGGTTTACACTTGGTTTTGTTCCTTTTCTTTCGCATTAAAATGAGCATTTGATATAACATTGACACATTATTCTTTCTCCTATGGACAGTAATCAACTGTAATACCAATGTACTTGGGTTGTAACATTAAACATGGAAGAATTAGAGACAAGAAAAACTTCAGATTAACTTAAGATTGTTCAGTTGTAGCCTGACAGTTCACAGTGACCTTTGCATATCTTAGGGGATCCTCCAGGGATTTTGGGTTTACCTGTAGAGTCTTTAGCTGTCTGAATAGCTGTGTGTGGAGACTTGTCAGCAGGTTGTGGGATAGGTCCACCTCCGTCAGATTATCAAGCCCAGAGAAAGACTCTGGGTTCAGGCTGCAGTAAGACCCAGTAGTAGTAAATGCAGTCATTATTGTAGCAGCAGTAGTAGTGGTAGTACACATATTTCAACTCTCAAAGGTCTAGAGCAGTACAGAGATGCAACAATCCACCAAGTTTCACCAGATGTAACAGTAGTACCCATGAACAACACTTTTGTTCAAAATTTGTGTTCAAAACTTGCTAAAATCAGTATGTAGAATTAAATCTAGCATCTTTATTTACCTGCTGATTTTGTTCCCGGACAGAGAGAGCACTCTGAGGTGCGGTACCACAGAGAAGTATTTGGCTGGTATACCAGTCACCAGGTTACCCCCCAGCTGGAGTTCTACCAGTGTGGTATAACTAGCCAGGGCTAGTCTGTCAGCGTTATTCAGAGTGATCAAATTCCCTTCAATCAGCAGTTTAGTAACAGAGCAACTGGTGTTACACTGAGGAATGACTCCTAGAGAGCTGTTGGTCCAGTTCTTTACCTGCTGATGGATAATGGACAGTAAATACAACAACCTTACACTTACCGACAGTCAGAGCATAAGAAACATAACAAAGTAGTCTGATTCGCTCACTGCGAGACAGCTGAACAAAAATAAGATAGAAAGAATAGAACTTTTCTCACCAGTTTGTCTTCTTCTGGAAGTGCAGCATTACCTCCCAGTATATTTGTTGCTATGGCTGCAGTAAACCACAGCAGTAGCAGAGGGTGCCGGCACCTTTCCATTGTCCTACCCTGAATGGAAAATAGACTCCTCTGTTTTACCTGGGATGACGGGAAGATCAGTCCACCTGCTCAAACAGTGGAATAGCTTTGTTCTGCTCTATCCTCTACTGGTCTGTATGTCACTCATTACTTTCAATTCAATTCAATTCAATTCAATTTTATTTGTATAGAGCCAATTCATAACAGAAGTTATCTCAGGACACTTTTGAAATAGAGCAGGTCTAGACCGAACTCTTTATAACATTATTTACAGAGACCCAACAGTACCACCATGAGCAAGCACTTGGCGACAAGGGCAAGGAAAAACTGCCTGTTAAAAGGCAGAAACCTAGGACAGATCCTTCGGCTCTAGGTGGGTGGTCGTCTGCCTCGACCAGTTGGGGTGAAAGAGAGAGAGAGATGTCATGGTAGACATTGTTGAGTTCACCTTCTTCATCACCTTGAGTTCGGCTTTATGGCGTCACTACACCACATATTCTGCTTTCCAGTTCCAGTGTGTATATTCGTAGCCAATTTGGTTGCAGTTTATCACAAATCATATACGTTGTTTACATTTAAATAATAAGCAGGAATGCACCGAAAACGATTATTACAAAATAACAATTAGGATGGTTTTCTGGAGCTCAGTCTGTTTCTCCTCTGATCTGAGATGTGAGACGCAGAGCTGAACAGACACTCGCTGTCCGTGCTGCTGCGTGGAACACATCAGCATTTGCCTGCAATTTGTATCAGTGCTGGAAAACAGAGGTGATTGTTTGTCTAATATCCGGGCTGGAAATAACCAACACAACATTTAGCCAGCACAAAAATGATTTGACACAACCGATAACCACCACTGACATCAGTGAATGCCATCTTATTTGCTGATAGGCTGATGTCAAGACTAATATTGGCTAATACTGATGTTCAGCTGATAAATCGGTGCAACCCTAATAATTAGAGTAGATATACATTAAAGAAATACTCAGAACTGCAGCAGACATTTTACTAATCTGTTATCTTGTAAACCGAACATTCTCCTGGACACTAACGTGTGTAAAACATTAGGGCTACGTATTGTTGAGAATCTGACCATACAGAGGTTCCGACTCATTTTATTGTGATATTGTAAGAATTAAGTCTGAATTAAAACAAGAATTGAACGAAAGTCAGTTTACAACACTGCTGTCCAGCGGTTGGGGGTTTAAACACAAAATGAACCACTGCCACCATAAATTATCGATTCTCAAAAACACTGTATCCATTTTTAAAGTACCACAAAAATATTGCGATACTCATACCCAATATTTTCTCACACTCTTATAAACCTCTAATGTAAACTTGGATAACTGAGAAGGGACATTAATCAAACCATTAACCTTAATGTGGCTAATTATGGCCATCATGTTAGTTGTTTTGCCCAAAAGAAAATGAGAACCTGGAGTTCTGGTCCTTATTTGAGTCTTTTATGTTCATATAATGGACTGTGCTATCTTCTGACGCATTTCAGTGTAAACCTCGATCAGAGTACGGTATTTCTGAAATCTTGGAGTCAGTGAGTTCTCTTTTAAAGTGACATCAGTTAAACCGATATGCCTGCAGTGTCTTTTATTTTCCTGATATCTTTTGAAAAAAGAAACACTTTGAACTTGTTGAACTTGGAATTCAACAAGCACACCTGTTCCTTTCATGGAGCCGCATAAATACGTCTGCTGAATAACCTTTAACCTGCATACAGTACAGCAACATCTGTCAGTGTCCTTACTGTAATGTTTGTGATCACACACACATCTTATTCCCTCACTATTCCATATCACTGAAAAATAACCAAAGTCACTTACCTGTACTTCTACGGGCACTTAGATGAACTTTAATTCACCTGTCAGCGTGATGCAGCCAGCACAGCATATGACCTTTGTTCCTTGTTGTAAAACCTGAAGGCTGACATGTACTGTTACAGCTAGCTAAACATTTATGATTGAAGGCAGGCCTCCTTTCTTGGTGTCTTTCTCACTTTGTATCTTTAAAGTCCCCCTCCAGTTGAAAATCAGTGTTTCTTTGTGTTCCTACAGTGTGACGTTTGAGCTTCACTGTGCAGAATGATGTACGTACAGAGTTTAAAGAGTAGTTAGAGGCTGACGGAGTAAAGAAAGCAAAGGAGAAAGATGAGAGAGGAGAGAGAAGCATTGACATGATGTACATTTGCCCAGTCCATCTATCTATGGAGTTATCTTATCTGGATGTCTGTCTGTCTGTCTGTCTTATCTGTCCTGCATTTGCATGTGGCTCAGGATCTTTGTCACATGTCCCCCTCCCCACGCTTTTAACTAGTTAAGGCAGAAAAAAAGACACAAACAACAAACTCTCACAGGCTTGTTGTGTTTGCCATGCAGGAGAGAGGAAGCTATCAGGGCCATTGAAGAAGAGATCAGGAGGGAAAGGCGGGTCGCTGACGAGGTTGTCCAATCAATGCCGGCTGCAAAGCAAGAAAAGTATTTCACCATGACGACAGCCAATGAGGAACTGCTACAGGTATTCATGTAGTTTTAGTCTGATGTTGTTAAAATACCACTCTTTACTTGTATTACTTTAATATTAGTGTTAAATATAGTCTAATGTTTGCAGTTATAATACTTTCATATTACTATTACTCATACTGTAGTTCAACACTGTTACTACACTAGGGCTGCAACTGCCGATTATCTTCATTATCGATTCATCTGACGATCATTTTCTCCATTGATCAAGTTGTTGTTTGGTCCATAAAATGAAAGGAATGGGGTGAAAAATGTTGATCACTGTCTCCCAAGTCCAAGGCGATGTCCTCAGATTTGTCTCATTTGTCCATTACCCAAAGATATTTTGTTTACTGTAATAGAGGACTAAAGAAACCAGAGAATATTCACATTTGAGAACCTGTAATCTGACAATTATGACATATTTTCTTTAAAAAATGACTCCAAACTCCTTGTTTTTCATTTCACAGGAGCTAACTGTTCTCCAGGAGGAGCTGGACCTTCTGATAACCAGGAAGGAGGACTACGAAGCAGTGAGTTGGGTTTCAAAGAGGAGCCGGGAGAGGGGGGGAGAGGGGGGGAACGCCCAAGTCACCAAGTTACATTTAAGACTTTTGAAGAAATTTGTAATACCACATAGAATGTACTTTAATACCTGTTACATGGTCATACATAGGAACAACCTCAATAAAAATCAGTAGGGATGATAAGGCCTGTAATAATTTACCAAGTGCAAAAGGTCAATTTATTCATTTATTTATTTATTTATTTATTATTATTTATGTATTGATTTATGTTACATTTTTGTCATAACTTCCTAGTAGTTGTCCAATCCTTGCCAATAATATCATTAATAATCAATTATTAAACATGACCTGGACCTGGATAAGCAGCAGAGGATGAATGTATGGGTGGAAAAATATTTAAGAGCCTTTTGTAAATGAAACCTTTATTTAAGGAAATCAAATGGAATCAACGGCTTTTAAGACTTTTCAAGCCCTGCAGATACTGTAGCAGCAGGAACACCTGTAGCTGCAGTAGTAACAGTAGTGCAAGCTGTTTTACCTTTCACTGTCCTGTGTGCAGGAGCTGGCCCACTCGCACATAAAGCAGGAAATGGTCCGGCTTCATGAGACTCGCTCGACGCTGGAGGCGAAGCGGGACGCCATGGAGGCCGAGCACAAGAGCCTGGGCTCCCCCCAGGAGGAGAGAGAGAAGTTATTCAAACAGGTTAGCTCCACAAGCAGCCAAAGAGAATGGATATAGACAACCTACAGCAACACAGTTTTATTAGGCTAATGTAAGCTGCATTCCTTCAAAATAAAATAAACGTTAAAACAAAATTTAAGCTGCTAATGTTTTGTTTTCCAGGTGAAGGAGGACAATCAGGAAATTGCCAGCATGGAGAGACAGTATGTATTCATATTAAACACCAAAACTCTGTCTGCATTAGGTTTAGGTCTGATTCATTCATTACTAAATAAATGACTAAAATTAGAAGTCCAAGAAGAAAACACACGAGCAGATAGTGGACACACTGCTAGAATCATGGTTCTTATTCTATAAATGACTTGAATGAAGCCAAATTAGGGCTGCATGATATGTAACATTATTTTCACTGCTATTGCCATTGTGATATAATTCATGATTAATATGGGAATAATAATTTTTGCATCCTAATTTTCATTGTCACTGAAGAAAACATTAAAATCCTGATGATGTGACATTTTTTTGGAATCTGTACCAAACATGTTTTCTTATCTGGAGAACAAGACTTGTAGGCCAGGACATCTCTGCAGCACTGCAGCGCTTCATTATAATGCTGTTTGTCACACATTGTAGCTTTATCAAAGAATTGCAGCTTCTGTGATTTGCATATTGCACTTGCCTATTTTGATAATATTGTGCAGCCCTAAACCAAATCTAATCTAGTAAGACCACAGTCAATTTTGCAGCATCTCTGCATCATCTTTTAAAGTCTGTCACAACAGATCCAGTTGAAAGACAAAAAGAGGAGTTTGATATTCATTAACTGATCCGCCTCATTGAGAGGAGATTCTTCACATCCATGTTTTTCCCCATTCACCCTGTGACCTCACAGTTACTTGCTTCTTATTTTGAACTGTGCTGTGTGTTTACCTGTGTGTTTTCAGACTTACAGAGATCAGGGAGAGGGCCGGAAAAATCTCAGAGGAGATCCGACAGCTGGAGCAGGACTCAGAGGAAGCACAGGGTAACACCGGAGGATCACAATTATTTCTGCTCAGTGAACGCTTTCGAAAGATTGCCTCTAAAGTGTGTCATCTTATATTGGGAAAGTCCTAAACCAGCAGTTACACTGTATCAGAGACTGTCAAACAAAAGTCAGGGTGCTGCTATTGTACATGACTCTCAAACTCAAATATGTACATAAGAGACACTGTAACCTTTGTATGAAGTAATAATTGACTACCAAAATTGTTGTTGATTCATTTTCTTTCAATCAATGGGCCGAATGTGTCTTTACCATGTTACCAAACTCCTGCACACAAACTATCAACAACAAACGAACTCAGTTACTAACTTACTAACTGTATGATTGCTGAATAGTTGCTCTGTCTGTCTGTCTGTAAGGGGAGTGCCAGCAGAAATACAAGGAGCTGAAGAAGAGAGAGGAGGAAATTGACCGTAAGTTGAACATTTGACAGTTGATAGAATCAGACCTGATAGCGGGCGATGATAGTTAATATGAAAAATCACAGTATTATTTAGTGTAACCGAGGGGGATCTAGTGACTGTATATGTCATTTCTATGTAGTCTTATCACAGTTGCTGTATAGCCAACAGATTCAAGTATCTGCAGCGGTGCGCTGCTTTAAGAAATGGGAATATGAAGGCTGACAGATATGGAAGCACATTGTACTGCCATTTTAGACACTACCACCAGGAGTCGCCAGTGGCTGGGTGTCCTGCACACAGCAGCTGTAATGTATCTGCGTGACCCCATACTGGTTTAAATATGATTCCTGTGTGTCAGGGTACCTGGAGTCATTTGAGGAGACCAGAGCTCAGGAGCAGGAGAAGATGTCACAGAGCCAGGAGAACATCGTCTCCCTCCTGGAGCACTGCAGCAGGGTGAGGAGGAAGGGGAGAGGCAGAGTGGGGAAGGAAGGGAGGGAGGGGTAATGGTAAGAAGGAAGGAATGTTAGATAAAAGAAAGATGGAGTAAATAGCGTGTGTGTGTGTGTGGGTGTGTGTGTGTGTGTGTGTGTGTGTGTGTGTGTAGAACATGTTGCGGCTACGTCGGGTGGACACAGTGACGGCCAGTGAGCTGAGGAACATGCAGGAGGTGCTGGTCAGCAAGGAGACGGAGGTGGTCCAATCAGAGAGCACCGCCAAGGGACTGACAACTGGTCCGTAACACACACACACACACACACACACACACACACACACACACACCAGTAAGGTATGCCTTTTTTAAATAAACGGATATACCGTCATACCACTCTGTACCCCCACTAACGCCCCCCAGAGTCCCAGCGTCTGCAGCAGGACCTGGAGAAGGTGCAGCAGCTGGAGGGGAAGATCACGGGTGAGCTGAGCACCCTGAAGGAGCGCGTCAGCAACATGGAGTCTGAGCTGCACACCTACCGAGACCTGGACACCCTGAGGCACACAGGGGAGGAGAAGAAAAAGGTAACGGTAGCAAAAGTGCAACGGAGAAAGTTGCTTTCTATATCTATTTGTAGTCCTAACCTGTGGGCTAACTCGGTGTGTGTTGCTCTGGTGCAGAGACTACAGGAGGACCGCGTGTCGCTGACTCAGCGACGGGACTCATTCAAACAGCTGTTGGAGGACATGAACCAGAAATATGAAGCTCTGAAGACTAAACTGCAAGAAAACGAGACCCACGCTCAGGTCAGAGCATTTCACACTATGCTTCGAAAAATCCCTATCACTATACAGATGGGCGGAGACTACTGATTATTCTCATTATTGATTCATCTGCGGATTCTTTTCTAGATTGATTTTAGATTTGGTCAATAAAATGTAAAAAAATAGTGTTAAAGGTGTCTTTAAATGTCTCGTTTTGTCAGTTCAAAACCCAAAGGAAAACAGAAACGCTGGAAACTGTATTTTCTGCCATTTTTGCAGATAATAATTCATCAATTATCAAAATAGTTGGCAATTATTTTGTTGTCCTTGGTGTGTGTCGGCACTGCAGTCGTCCCAGGGCTGGAATGTCACAGAATCTTATCTTTATAAATTCTTTTGTTGCACGATTCTCTTTAAATACATTTTATTGATTTAATGACATTTTGAGCAGTTGCAGTTTTGCTGACTGGGACAAAGTTCTGCTGTTTGTGTGACCTGATCTCAAACAAAATGGAGAAAAGTTGTAATAAGCCTGATTAATCTTATTTTAAAGCCACCGGCTGTCACAGTGCAACAGTGGCAGTCCCACAGGGAAATGGTTTGCTTTAGTGAACTTTAAGGGATTTGGTAGAAGCAGTTTTGGGCCCGAACCCGACCCGAATTACCGCTTAAAATAAAATAGATAAATGAATAATTTCAATAATTCATTACAAGCTAAACTAGCTAACAATGTGCAATTCTAATCAAAACGAATAAATAACACATTCATTCCTTAATTACAATGGCATGTATTGATAATATATATATATATATATATATATATATAAATGCTGTCCAAGCCCAACCCGACCTACAGCTGCAGCGGGGGGCCCGAACCCGGTGGGTCGTGTCATTAAAGCTCTACTCCTCCCACACTAATCTTGTGTTTTGCTCCTGTGTTTCAGCTGGCTAACCTTGAGAGGAAATGGCAGCACTTGGAGCAGAACAACTTCGTAATGAAAGAGTGTATCCTTCTGTCTTTACCTCTCTATGACTTTGTCCTGGAGCGTTGCCACTCATCCCCTCTAAAGATAACAGCTCTGTGATGTATGTGATTTGTCCCTGTGGGTTTACACCAGTGATCTTTTCCTTAACCGCAGCATCAGTCATCGCCTCGAAATCTCAGGAGAGTGACTACGACTCAGTCGCCAAGAACGTCTTCCAACAAGTGTCAGAGTACAACAAGAGTCTCATAGAGTCCCTGCAGAACAACAGGACTTAACAGGACGTCTGAAAGACAGCCGCAGTCTGAGTACATGGTTATCACAAGCCCTTTCAGTTAATGGCATCATGAGGTGGATGCTTTTGAGAGCGCTCTGTACAACGAGACACATTCTGCAATTAGTTTTCTTTAAAAAGTTACCCCTCAATATTGTGTTTTGCCGGTTAGACCGTAGCAGCTCGCTGTCTTTGAAGAAACAAAATGAGTCTATTCCATCAAAGTTTGTATTTATCTGCTGAATTTTGTATTTAAATGTACAGGAGCTTCTGCTGCATTCCATGTAGGTTCCTGTGAGCGTAGCTTCGCAGTGCTCTGATCATTTGAATAAAGAAGTTCTGTGAAAATTCCAATAGAATGTCTATTTGTATAATTGCAAATATTAGCCAATGGGAAGCCAGCTGCTCAACAGAATCTATTTAAGGTAAATCTGTTGTCTCACATTATCACATGGCTGTGTTTTCTGCAGTGGTGGAACATATTGGCAGGAGGGATGAGTTACACATCCATCAACATTTGTGCTTGTGCAGGTCTGAACCCATTGTACCTGCAATATTTCACACAACGTATGATTTCAAGTCATTCTGTAATCACTAATTCACCCACGACTCAGGAAAAAGCTTTCAGACCAAAGATTCACACTGACACCAAACAGAACACTGCAGCGGTGTGAGCTCGTCGTCTCAGCTCGACTCTTGCCGGCTGATAACGTTGCTGCAACTCAGTTTGTCAGATTTCCAGTGGCTGGTTTTAGAACAAGAACTCGTCGCCTGTTTCAACAGCCAATCGGCTTGTTGCAAAGTCAGCTGGTCAAGCCTCAAAATTGACCCACGCAACCATGGACAGAGTTTTCCTCAATGAATAGCAACTGTAGCGCCTGTAAAGTCACCATCCTCATTTTATATCTTAGGATGCTACAACGTATATCCAGCTACACAAAAAGAAGAGTTGTTGCTATGGAGACAATAACATCATCTGGTCTTGTTGCATTAGTGTGAACTGGCAGGTTTCAGTATGTGGAAGTTGCAAGGTTCATGTTGTTGTCAGTCTTTGGTCTGAACTGGACGCCACTTTCCCCGCCATAAAAACAAACTGCTCAAAAATGTTCACTTCAAAGAATTCACTTATCATTTTTATATTTATTGCTTTTAATTACAGGAAAAAAAACATCAACAATTTGCATAAAATCCAAATTCCGCTCTAGAAATATATTTGACCTTTCCAGTACAGAGATATCAAAGAGTACAGTAAACATTACAACTGAGGGCCGCGGGACCCCTTGCAAATGTACAGTACAGCATTTTTCAAACCATCAAGGTTAACAAAACTACACTTGGGTTGTTTGGTGCATCCTCGGTATGTACACTGGTCCACATCTGCTCACTGCTTGTGATCACTGGGTCCAGAGCTCGGCAGGACCCTCGGATCCGCTTCAAGTGTCGAACGAAAGGAAGAACTTTCTGGGAAACAGTTTTGGACATAGTCCGATCTAACAGCAGTGTGTCTGAGGGTGTGCATCCTTTACACATTTACATCAAACATCACAGAGTCTCCACCACTGGCGCCCGTGACAGTCACTTTAAGCGTTCAGGGAAACAAGCACGTATGCATAGATTTTTAATTGAACTAATGCACTGACAGTAGGCAGACAAAACCACTAAAACAAGCAGAGCGTCCACAAAGCCCTGAAAACAGCCTGAGAGTGTCTCTCACACACACACACACACACACACACACACACACACACACACACACACACACACACACACACACACACACACACACACACACACACACACACACACACACACACACACACACACACACACACACACACACACACACACACACACACACACCGCCCTGACCAGGAACGACACAGCTGGACAAAGTGAGGCTGCGGAAGCATGAAATACCACCTTAGAAAGTAGAATAACCTTAAACACGTGAGGGAATCTGATGGCTTAAAACAAACAAAAATTGGTGGTCAAATGTCATTATCAGGTTCGACAGATATCTTATGTCAGTTTTCAACAGTTCTGTGGAGAAAGAAACCCCCAACATGGATATTCCACATTCATTCTCTACATTAACAAGTGTAGAAAAAGTCAGTAATTGCCTTCCTCAGTGTTTCAACACAACACACATTCTGCTCTCTTATAGGAGCCAGCTGTGAACAGTTCACTCTTTAACAGGTGATCTGACACACAAACACATTAATATACCAAGAGTGCAGGAGAGAAATGTCTTCATATTCATATATCAACCCTTGAGAAGTTAATCCACGGGACAGTTTGAAGCTGGCTCCACCTTGTACACTGATGAAAGCAACGGCTGAAAATTCTGTCCTTAAAGCTGCAGTAGGTCATTTTTATAAAGATTTTTTTTGGTCATATTTGCTAAAACGTTCACTACATCCTGACAGTAGTACATGAGACAAAATAATCTGTAAAAGAAAATCAGCTTCCTCTGGCTCCTCCTAGTGCTCCTAATGCTATTTGCAAGAATCCACCGGGCCTGAACGAAAACAACCAATCAGAGCCGAGAAGGATAGAAAGACACTTTGGGTTGGAGGTTTGAAGGTAGTTGAGTCTCATTCACCAAAGCGTCCGTATTTCACGCCGTAGGAAAGAGACTCAACGATCAACTATCTTTCTCGGCAAACATGACACAAAGTTAAATTACCTACTGCAGCTTTAACAAAAGGAAGCTCAACAATTGAAATGGCCATCAATACCAAACTGCTGTATTCTTAAAGCGTCAGTATGCTTCACACAAAGAGCTCTGTGAATTGTCTGCAATCATTTATGCATGTCTGAAAATGTTCACTTCTAGAAACTGATCATCAGTTCTCGCTGCTGCAGCCTTGCTTGGTCTGATGTGTTCAACGTACGGTGGCCAACTTTAGATAGACATTGCTGATTACTGAGTCATCATTTCACTGACTATACTATTCTCTAGCATCCTGTTAATGTCACCTGTGGCCACAGTTAAACAGAAGTTACATCTTGCTTTAATAAATAAATGGGAACGCCCAGCTAGCTAGCTACATCCATGAAAAAGTGTAAGACAGAAAACTGGTGAGCGTGGAGGAGACTGATGCAGCTGTACAGATGTTGTAAGTGGACTTACAGAAATAACACACTTAAATAAGTTAGCATATTTCTTTAATTGACTTGAGTGTTAACTTTACTGCTCCTGATGAGCATCAGTGCAGCTTCGAATGAAATCAACATCTGAGGGGCAGGAAGAACTGCCCATTGGTTAGGGCAAGACAAAATACCCCCCCCCCATCCAATAAAATCCTGGTCCTGATTTTTGTTTCTTAAAAAACAAAACTACAAACACCACTTCATCTGTAGTGTGTTATAACGGGGGCCTTCAGCAGGGAAACGTTCTCTGTAGATGACTGAGTGGATTGTTTTAAAGAGGCCTTAGCAGCTGTATATCCCCGCATTAGAACATCTGTAGCGTAAATCTTTTTCCATTCAGCCGTTTTTTTTTTTTTTTGCATCGTATTAAAATTTTATTCCAAATGAATCGATTTCAGGCCCAGCTCCACCTCGCCCTACAGCTAACTGGCTAACAGGCTGAATGAAGGTTTCAGGCTAACAAATGCATGTAAACACATCATTCTTGGGGAGCGAGATCAGGGCTGCAGGGGTATAAAACTGTTAACCTTTACACCTGGTTAGATCACACATTGTATGTTCTAGCTAGTTTGACGCCAACGGAGGCCTGTAGAACCGCCGCAGTAGTGGTTAGAAATACCAGAGTCCAAAATAGAATCTACCCAGAGCTTCTGAGTATTTTCTGTGTACAAGTGGGAATTTCAGCCTGACCGTGTCTTTAGACTAAAATTCAGGGGGTCATAGTCAATCTGACTACTGTGAGTTTACTCAGCTGGGGTCTACAGCATCTCTTTTCAAAAAGCTAGCCCTAAAAAGCTGTTCCTCACCTGAAATACTTCAATATTCTAAAACAGTCAAAACGCTGCATCAGCTGATTATTCCACTTTATCGTGTCGATTTTGAAAAACAATAATTCTGTTCTAGTGCCGACTGTTCTAGTGCACTTGTGTTCCTGCCTCGCTATAGTGCATTTCACTCAATAAAACTATTTTAAAAATGGAAAAAAAATATATAGTTACAAAGCAGCAATTACCTTCCAACTAAACACATATCAAGTGGCGCAAACGCATACACTTACACACAGTCAGCTTCCTTATATGAGAAGGTGTACATTCAAAACCTTACAGCAAAACTGAAACAAACCTAAATTCCATTCTGCTTACATTACTCTTTTGATTCTTGTTTTTAATCTTTGAAAACTGCTGTACAATTCTGTCAGACAATAAAATCCTAGGTGAACAGTAATAATGAGGAAAAAGCATAAATACGCTATTTTAGAAATAAGTGTACAAGAACCATTTTCAGTTGAGACTTTTAAGTAAAAACAAAAAAATCCCCCAAAATCTCTGAACTTCCTAATAATTAAGTAATAAGTTAATCATATCCAACCCTCAGTGCAAAAATATCAAAAACAAACTGAAAGGGAAGGGGCCCGTGGTCACGTGGACTGTCGCTGTGCACGAGACAGTGAGTCATCTCCATGGGAACAAAGTTTTCTCAGGCACAAGTACTTAGGCTTTGTCCACCGAGCCTTTGGCAGGTCACTCTTTCTTTTTGAGTTTTTTTTTTTTTTTTTGAGTTTTTTTTTCCTGAAGTACACAGAAGCTTCAGTGAGCTGCTCACGCACAGTGCCCGGGGAGGAGCAGAGGACCATCGCCGTGGAAACGAGACCCAGAGGGACTCCTCTTCTTCTCTCCTTCAGTCGGCGTTGTCGAGTGCTTCTGAAATGTGGGAGGCTGTGTACTTTAACCGGAAGCCACCTGCAACACACGAGCAACCACATGCACACGTACAGAGATGCATCCAAACACACACAGGATATACAATCAGTGCACAGAAAAAAAAGAATAGTCTGAACATGAATGCTGGGTTTAGCTTGGAATGACCTAAACATGTATTCTCCTAACAACACATTTGTTCATGTACACTTTACATTGTTAGGCTCTCCTCCACAGTACCTTCAGCTAGCCACTAACTGAACTGACAGTCACTGGTTTGCTATCACTTCATTTCTCAATGAAAATATAACTGCACATATTTCAATGAGCATCATGTCGGCTATGAATGAATGTTGGCAGTTACTGTTGCACTGCAGTGGGCGGGGGGGGATTACTCGGTCCAGGTCTGCAAATTCAGTTGCCGTACCCTGTGAGCAGCAGTGTGTAGACCAGCAGGCGGGGTTAGGTACCGCCACTGGCACTGTGTCATGCACTGCGTGGCAGACGTGTTTCCCATAGAAAAGCTTGTGGAAGCGGCTCCGTGCAGGTAGTTCACCTTTGTGTGACTGGTCCCAGATGCAACGAGTGGCCAATGACATAAAACCATATCTGCTATGGGAGTCAGCCACTGGGGGCAGTCACGAGCCCATTACTGCTTGGTGAGGCATTGCACTCACACTTCAAGCTACACAAAGGTGAGATTTAAGCTTTGGGTGGGACAGTTCCTCCAGGAGTTTGCAGGTCTACAATGTCTCATTTCACAGCAGCTTTCCTAAATCATTGCATTGCATGTTGTGAAGCTTTTAAGCATTTTTTTTTTTACAACTAAATTGTGGGAGAAAGTAAAAAATAGCTGATTATTTTTGTTGTAAAAATCGAAGGCAACTTGTGAGAATAAAATCAATAGTAGTTTGGGGACGTGTGGCTCAACGTTCTGGGACTGCAATGATTGGTAAAACATTTCAGGAAATCACGACACGGCCCCATTTGCAGTCTTGCCAAATTCACAGGGCTGAATGTGGGTTAACTGTTAATGATGGCAACTTCCTGGAGGGACTGAGAAGAAGTGTTTCTACACTGGAAACAGGTTTTTACAAAGGAAAACATTTAAAGCATGAAGACTAATAGGTTAGTTTGGAAGATGCACTTCAGGGCCATTTCCCCACAGCTGCTTCCCTAAACTCCTTTACAGGAAACGGAGAGTCTGCAGCGTTAACGCTTGTGCCACCTACAGGCAAAGAGTGGGAACTGCTTCTGTTAAAACCTCAAAACACACACTAAATGGCAGTTGGCAGAAGAGTTCAACCATTACTTGAATAGCCAGTAGGGGGCGATACACCTGCCGACTGTCTCTAGGTAGCGGGGTCGGGGTAACCTGGGACAACAACTGAACAGCTCCCCCTTGTGGGACATCTGCAGCCTGCTAGTTGTGAATGAGTGAGCTTGTGAGTTTGTTAGTTTGTCAGTGAGACTCAAGCCAGTTTCATGTAGTGCTTCAATTCAAAGCCTGAATCGTGTGTGGACCCTTCTCACAGCAGCCATTTTGACATGAAACAGTAGGGTAAACTTACCAGTGAGCTGTACCAAATAGCAGCATCATTGGTATCACCTGTGTTTATCCTACTATTTCTAGTCTCGCACTGTGAAAAAGGTCTATTGCTCCTTACTAAAAGGCATGCGAAAACACATCAAGGCTGTGGTCACACCCACTGCTTGTTGGTTTTAGAGTGGTTAGTTTCGCTCTGTCTGCCCGACTACATGCAAACCAGGGGCTGGCACTGGCACTGGATAACCAATCACAGTGGAGTGTGATGGCAGAGGTGGAGCCAAAACAAACTTTATTCTTGTTCCTTATAGCTCTGTATGACTGCTTGTTGTCATGCTTTTCCTTCTCTGGCCACACACTACCAGTACGGGTGTCCCGGAGGATAGGCGACACTTTGAATTATCTGCTGTGAATTGAGTGTTCCAGTGGCACAGCTTCTCTCCTGGCCAAATAAACCAAACTGAAGCAGGAAACCCACGAGAGCTCAAACTAAACAGCTCAAAATATACTTGGTGAGGACGAGGCCTGACTTTTTATAGTCTGGGCTGAATGTTGGCCAATGACTGCTTGGGGTTCTGGGGAAGGGAAACTAAGGGGTCCTCTGTTTCTCCCTGCTCCGTGAGGCTGCACTACCTTGCTGTGTGGAGTCTATGGAGGGTTGGTTGCAGTCCTGAGCGTAGTGGCCGCTCACTCCACAGTTATAGCAGGACACGTTGCCGTTCTTCTTATTGACTCCGCCTCCCCCCAGCGCGGCGGCAGGCATCATCCCCAGCTGATTCGGGTACATGTGGTGGTAGATGCGCTGGCAGAACGACGCCGCTGGCGCCATCTGCTGCTGGAGGTTGTAGTTGGCAGTGCCGAGCATGTGTGACGACACGTCCGCGTGGCTGTGAGAGTGAGTGTGAAGGGGGCCGTAGGGGGGCGGGTGTGCGGGAGGCGGAGCGGTGGGGAAGAAGGGGGACAGGGTGGCAGCGCCGTTGGCCTGGTGAGGAGGCTGAGCCTGGGTGAGGTAACTGTTGCTGCACAGGCTCGTGAGCTGGAAGATGTGCGGCGGAACGCTGAACATCTGCCGCGCTGCTGCCATCTGGTGGGCAGGGAAGTATAGCGGCGTTTGGCAGCCGGAGGCACCGCTGACGCTGTTGTTGTTAGTGACGCCGCCTCGGCCGCCGCAGTTGTTGTGGCAACCACAGGTCCCGCAGCCCATCGGTTGCTGCTGCTGCTGTTGTGGTGGTGTCGGCTGCTGGGGGGGCAACTGTTGCTGCTGGGTTTGCTGAAGGGTAATAGGGTTAACAGGGGCACTTCCACAGGAAGCACTGCTGTTGCTGTACGCTGTACAGTCGCTGTGGGCCGTGCTGTGAGTAAGTGCTGGGCTGGGGCTGGGGGCGGGTCCAGGGGTGTGGGTGGGCACAGCTGGAGGAACAGCTGCTTGTACATGTCCAGGAGATAGAGCTACCCCAGTGGCTGCAGGCGGTCCTACAGCAGGCATGACGGAGGTGGGGACAGGGGGCAGGGTGTAGGGAGAAGGCAGGCCAGACGGTAAGGTTAAGCTGGGGTGCTTGGCATGTGAAGTCTCCACATGTGGCAGGGAGGGGGCCAGGCCTGAGCTGACACTGGCTGGGTCTTGGCAGGGCAGAGACTGATGAAGAGGAGAGGAGAAGGATGTGGAGCCAGGAGACATGACACTGATGGCTCTTACAGGAACCTGGTGTGAAGCCTGCGGGGATGCGGGGGTAGAACCGCTCCCTGAAGCTCCATCAGTGCCACCCTGGCTGTGAGACAAAGCTGTTTTGAATCTCTGAACCAGAGGCTGCACAGCAGGACTTGCCGGAGGGTGGAGGCCGATAGGTGGAATCCCAAAGGTTGGGAGCATGTCCCTCTTCTCTGGTTCTCCCACAAGTCCAGGGCCTGGGACAGCTGGAGGCACTAGGGGCATCTGCATCATCAAAGTCCCGGAGGAGGGCTTCACGTCGGGGATGATGCTTTGGCTGGGAGGAGGGACCAGTGGAAGTGGAGAGTCAGCGGCCCCGTTGGGGAGCACATAGGGCAGAGGATGCATGAAGGAGAGAGGGGGGAAATCTGAGCCGGTCTCTGGGCAGAGCGGCTCCAGCTGGGCCTGGTGGTTCTTGGAAGACAGAGGGTGGACAGAGGAGACCTCTCCCACCGCAGCTGGACCAGTCTGGTGAGTGAAGAACATGCCAGGGCCCGGTCCTTTGCTGGAGTCATCAGAGTGGCTGTCTGTATCTGTCAGAGAAACAAGATCAGGTTCAGGCCACGTTACACCAACACCCTCATGACAGAGGACAATGAGAGAGACATGCAGCAAACTACAGCTACATCATCTGTGTGTGTGTGTGTGTGTGTGTGTGTGTGTGTGTGTGTGTGTGTGTGTGTGTGTTACCTTTGTTGTTGTCGTCCTCACTATCCATGCTCTCTGGTCCTCTGTGTTGAGGGCTGGATGGAGAGCTGTAGCTTTCTGATGATGTTTCACCAAAGGTATCTGGACCAGAACCTCCATCTGCAACAACGTGTGTGTGTGTGTGTTAAACTACAGACGATCCACCAAGCATCAGTCTACAGAGCATTCACTGTCAATGTACCAAAAGATTCAATGTTTTAAGGTCAGTTATTTCATCCAACATGAAAATGTGTTTATTTATTTCAAATAAAAAATGAAAACCTGTGGATTTGTGATAGTAATGGTAAAATAATGTAATGTTTGGTCTATGGTTGTGTCTGTGTAAGAGGCATTTACAACCATTTATGTATGTAAGGGATGTTATTTTAGAAACCAGGGTTTATTAAGGTCTGTGGGAACCCTCTCAGACAACATTTAGTCTGTAGTTTTGTTATTATCTTGTCAATCCTGTGCTATTTGGTAGATACAGCCTGAGCCTGGTTTCTTTTAGCCTATATCAGAGTTCCCATTCTTTTTAAGAATCTTCCAGGACCTTTCCAGGAATTTTACAATACAGGACAACAGTTCATATACATTACCAGTAGGCCTAGTACTGACTTCTTGTTTAATGATGCAGGTTCATGATGTAGTGTAGGTTTATTACAGGGAGGTGGTCAGTGGTTATGTATATACCACAGTTTTCCTCTAACCATAACACTATGGCCACAGTCCATAAGTAACAGTTCAAATCAAGTAGAATTCATCTTGTTTTACAGAAAATGTGGCCATGTGATGTGCTAAAATACGATTTAAATCAAATTCCAGGTGCTTCCATGACTGGAAAACCAGACTCTAAATTTCCAGGTTTTCCAGGATGCGTGGGAACCCTGTATATTTGTTTACATTTTGTCAAACTGGCGCCATTTAAAGTATGCTGGGTTAGCGATTAGCAGTTCCTGTTTGCAGTGTACAACACGGACAACTACCATTGCACTATTTTGATACCCAGGAAAACTTGGATTCACATCAGAGATAATAATATCCTCGGAAAGTGGAAAAATGTACGAGTCCCGTCTGTGTGTTTAGATTTGACTGTGAGAAGCAGCGTGATTGTTGTTGCAATCAGGCACTAAGGGTTTCTAAAGTACTATAATAGCCTCCATAAGCTGTGCCACTGCTGCAACTGCTCACATTGTTGAGCCAAACTACAATAACCAACTTCCTGTTGTTGTTAGAAAAGCGGCATGCTCCTGTCCCTCTTACATCACGCGGCATTGTTTTAGTCACGTCTCTCCCTCTATGCTCTCACCCCCACCTCACAGTCTGGAAACCTCTCATCTGTAATAATAAAGTCCATCTAGCAGGCAACATTTAAACTACCGTGTGATTTCTATCACAGCCATCCAGACACTCACCTTTCCTCTGAGGTGACAGGGTTGGTACCAGCCTACCGTTGGCTACAAAGGCAGCACCTTTCCCCTTCCCCTTGTCCCTGAAAATAGATGGAGATTGGAAGAGATGGGGACAGTGTGATGTGGACAGAGAAACACAGTAACAGGATATAAATGTGGTATGTGGTGAGCAGTCATTGGCAGATTACAGACTGATAGGCCTTTGACGGTTCAGTACAATACTGTCTCTCATTATCTATACAGATCACACAAACAAGAAGACATGTGACTGTAACCTTTGTGTGACACAGTGTAAGCATGACTTCTATCTTACAAAGCAATTAAACCTTTTTCTTGTTATGTCATACTTAACAGTTTGACCCTCTAGCAGTGATATCTCCACAGTTCCCATAACACGCTCATAAAATGCTGATCAGCCGTCGCTGACCTACCTGTCTGTGGGCAGGCCTCTGCTCTTTGTTTTAGTGGCTGGGTGGCTTCTCTTCTCTGTTTCTGGGTGCTGTGAGGAGGACAGAGAGTCAGCGCAGCTTCACCAAGTTTCAACCACAACCATTAACACAGCCTGACAACAGAGAATTCCTCTTCCGCTTCCTGACATCATCGTAGCATTTTCTTAACACAAGTAACACTGCCCAGTGTGGCCAGTCATAAATCAATGCATTAAAGACGGGTGTCAGAAAATATAAAAATATATTGTACTGCAATATTCTGTTTTGTGATATTGTATAAATTCTCAAAGACACTGTATCAATGTTTGTGTTTAAATCCCAGACCTCTAGATAGCAGTGTTGGAAATGTAAACTGAGGGCTTTGATGTTGGATGCTTCAGAAATACAAATGCAAACATGTTGGTACAACTTTTTATCATACTTGCTGAAACATTCACTATATCCTGACAGTAGTACATGAGACAGATAATCTGTGAACAATTCAGTTCCTCTGGCTCCTCCTAGTGCTCCTAATGGCATTTGCCATAATCCACCGGGCCTGAATGAAAACAACCAATCAGAGCCGAGAAAGATAGAATGTGTTCTTATCAATTTTCCAATATCAAAGATTTTTGGAGTAAAGTGGAATTTTGTGTTACACATAGTGTTTAGGTTACATTTATTCTGTATGCTGTACCCTGTGTAAACTTCATTTGTTATCTTAATTCCAAAAATGACATTGTGAAAACAAATGTGGTGTAGCCCGGAGCAGCAGCACAGAAAGGCATTTCCAATGTGTTAAGCCTCTATTGTGTGTGTGTGTGTGTGTGTGTGTGTGTGAGTGAGTGAGTGAGAGAGAGGCAGGGGATGTGCTTTGTCAGCACAGTGCTGTCTCTCTTTTTCTCTCTCACTCTCTCTCTCTCCCCCCACTGACACATACAAGTAGTCTTGACCTATATCAGTGAGATTAGCGTGGAGTACTCCCATTCACGTGGCAGTGTGTGACACATCCAAACACGCACACGCACACACGCACACACACGCACACACACGCACACACACACACACACACACGCACACACACACACACACACACACACACACACACTATGGTAAATATACTCTCCACAGCAAGGACCAGGGTCTAAATTGAGTTCCAGGGACATTATTTTGTCCCCCACAAACTCCCTGGGGTAGTCGGGGGTGGTACCTTCCAAGAGTACAAGAACTTTGGGGGTGGGGCTTTCAGTGCTGAACGTTTCTGATTGGTCGAGTATGCACAGCATTTTATTTCAGCCACCATTTTAAAAATCTGCATCCGAAAAGCAGTTTGTTTTTTATTCACTGTGCTTCCACACATCAGCAGGGAAGAAGCAAGCATACATCTTGTATAGTCACGCAAAAAAAATGGCTTGCACAGAAACATTTTACTTCCTTGAAAAGTAGTTCCTGGGACTAAAAGTTTAAGATAGTTTGGGTGGAAAGGCGTCCTACAGGCTTCCATGTAACAACAAGCTATAATGATTAACTAGTGTTCATGGAACTGTGTGTAACTGTGTACTGTGCTGCTGAGCCTTACAGTGGAGTTAATCATTAGACCAACACTGCTAAATACCTCTGCTGCGGTTACATGAGAGAAACACCTTGACCCAGCAGGGCCTCAACCCAACACACCAACAAACACTCAGCACTTCAAATGCTCTTTTTCAAAGTACTGAGCTTGTTTTCTTTCTGTTGGCATTTTTATTTGTAAATGCAAACTTTTTCTTATTGACAGTATTGCTCCTTTTACAGTCAGACAACATCATGACAGTCAGTCACTGTCAAATCAACCAATCAGGGTTCCCACTCTTGTTTAAGAAATAATTTTCCAGGAGTTTTCTTGACAATACAACACAACACTTTGTTGACAAAGGGTCATATCATCTACCAACTACAGTAGGCCTATTGTTCACATGTTTTACTCTCCCTTCTTTAATGATGCAGGGTTAATGATGAAGTGTCTCTGGTTCCATGATGTTTTATCACGCTTTTATTGGATCAATTTTACAATTTTCTTTGGTGTCATGGTTAGGAAACCTTTGATTTTAGAGCTTTTTATCTTTACCCTTTACCATTTATCATATACATTAATAAATAAACAGTGTAATACATTGAACTGATCAGCCATGTATTTAGAAGTACTGCAGATCACCAAACATTTCAGAATGAGGAAGATATCTGGCCTAGTTCAGCCTTCCACCCTCACCTGTTCTGCCTCCTGGCTGCTCCTCAGCGTACAGCTCTTCCTCCTCTCTGCTGGACCATTATGTTCTGCAGTGTGGGCCCCCCTCCGACTATCCCCCTGGGAGCCCTTGGCACTAGAGAGACTGGTGGAGAATAAAGGAATATATTACATATAATATATATTTTTCACACTTTGAGTCCTGTTGGATATGGAAGTAAACATCTTTGCCTGCAGTCTTCCTAAAACAATACCTATTGTTTTCTCTAAGATATAATATGGTAGAGTTACATTATTATTTGCTGCGGTGATGTCCTACTTTAATAATGGGGATGAGAGTATTCAGAGGCACAGATCAGACCACACAGTCTACTTACCCTTGACATGGACTCTTGGTCCCGTGCTTTTTCTTGTATCCCTGAACATACGACTCTAAATATGAGAGAAACATCAACAGAGCTCCGTTACATCTGTACAACTGTCAATCAACATTAAAAACACATGCAACTCATTCTTCTCTCATTTTTAATGTTAAAGGAGACATAAACAGGGAAAGACTATTATGTAAAGTAGGGCATAACAAATGTAACTTAAACACCACCTGTTGCCATGGCATCAATATATTGTTGTAGCTGCTGCCAGAGCACTTTTATTCTAAAAGAGGCGATTTGGGGAAAAGCGTTTGGAGCAGTTAATAAATATAATACAGTGTTGACTAGAGCTGCAATGATTGATCCATTAGTTGTTGACTATTTTGTTATGACTATTTTGATTTTGATTTGTCATTCTGAGTCATTTTAAAGAAATAAAATTCTAAATTCTCAGCTTTCAGCGTCTCAAATGTAAATATGTTTCGGTTTGTTTGGTCCTCTTCTGGGCCAAACAACTAATAGTTCATTTCCAGGATATTTGGTCATTTTAATCAATTTCCAGGTGTTTAAACCAGTCTCTAAATGTCCAGGTTTTCCAGGACGTGTGGGAACCCTCATTACACAAACATTAAGAATTCCGTGATGAGGCTCATTTAATTCCCTTTAATGATTGAATGATCTATGAGCAGTATAACATTATAGAGTACAGCATTAATCTAACGCACAAAAGATCTTCTAGCATTGACAATTCTGATGCAAGTATGAGGCAGGCCAGGGCTGTGGTTACTGCTGCTCGACCTGAACCCAGTCCAGCACATGATCGGGCAAATATAGCCGTGAAATATGAGGATTTGAAACAGACTCAGCCTTCCCAAACGACCTCCAAAAATAAACTCTAGTTAACTGTTCGTGTTTTCTGCATGGCTCCAGCTACCACAGCAGCCATGGTCAGCGGGCCGCTCCTTTGCATTGTCCGTACACATTTACTGATTATACATGCTCTTGTGCATTTATTTTGTCCTCTTCACTGCTCCCTCCCTGCCACTACTGCTCTCCACACAGGAAAACTCTTGTCAGAAAAAAAAAAAAACTGTGGGAAAATGAGTGGAATCATTTCTCTTCCTCTCACCTTCCTCCTGGCTGGAGGCATCGGAGCAGTCTCCTTGGTAGGCCTTACCCAGCGGGCAGTTGCCTGTAAAGAAAAAGATAACTTTGGTTCTGACAGGAGTAATCACATTTTGGACACGGCAAGCATTCTGCCATATTGTCACTATTCTTCATATTTGTATATATTGTCTCCTTTTATTGCCTCTGTTTTTATCTTTATTTATGTATTTATATTAACTTATCAAGGCAAATTCCTTGTATGTGAAAATGTACTTGCCAATAAACCTTATTCTGATCTGATACTATTAAATGATAGTATTGTATAATTTTGTACATGTATCAAAGTATCAAAGTATTGATTATTTTGACATCCTTGTAATGTGTGTGCTGAAAGTCAAGATAAATGCTCCCTTATTAAATAAGCAATGTATAGGCTCTGTCAAGTAAAACATTATAAAAATGACTACATGTGAGGAACACAAATTTAATTTTATATCATGTGGTTTTGAAAACTGGTAATTAATCTGCTCTAATGTGGTTACTGCCAGGAATGTACAGTATACAATGAATGTTTTATGATGCTTGTGTAATTTCAGTATAAACACAAATGCCTGTCAACCACAGTTTAACTATATACACCAGCTACAGTTTAAACATGTACAGGTATATTTCCTCATGGCAGCATGAGGTAGCAACATTTCTATATAGGTTAATACAAAAAACTAAAATATAAATCTGGAGAATAAGATTTGTAGGCCAGAGCATCTCTTACAGCGCTTCATTATAATGCTGTTTGTCACATATTTTACCTTTATCAAATAAATTGTAGCTTCTGCAATTTGCATATTGTGATTTTAAAATTATTTCCATGAATTGTGCAGCACTAGTGTGTTTGACCAGCTGTTAATGCATCTCTAACAATTAACTATCTAATATTTTAAATGGTCAAAGGAAACCGCAGTGCACTGGCACATATCATGAGCTGTTCAGATAATAAAGAAAGCCAATTTAATAATCATGCTAAGAAAATAGAATGAGACTGCTGTTTTAAGAACAACAGTGCCTTTGTTCCACATGTCTTCTGGTCATAAATGGTAAAATACTGCAGAGACGCTCTCCTTACAAAATCTAATTTCACAGTTAAATTATTTACTAATCTGAAACAACATGAGAACTAAAGTGAAAATAAAAATGGATCAAAGACTTGCAGTGGTTGCTAACTTTCTCTGAGTACATGGTGTCCTTGTGAGGAGGTCAGATAGGACAACTGAACAGTGTAAGCGTTAACCATTCTAAGAGCTGACTTTAAAAGGTGTCAGAACAGGAAAATGCTTGATTGCTAAAAGCATGTATGGAAAATGAGCACATGATATAAGGTGAAAAAACAATCCTAATGATTACACCTTCATGGACATTGGCGTCTGATACTCACATCTGCAGCTAGCAGGTTTCGTAGAGTAACTGGAGTCACAATTGAAGAAGCTGCAGACCTTTCTGGTCTGTCTGAAGACTGGAGGAGCAGATAGGAACCTTTCCCTGAATAGGCAGAGACAGAGAATAAGGGAAACTTGGCTGTCATGGTTTTTCTCTCAGGAGGATTAATACACGAGGCAGCAGAACAACTACAATACATCTGTGGTAAAACCTTACTTCAATCCTACATATATTACTCCAACAACCATCCAAACCTTTTTCCTTCAATTTTCTCAACATATTATGCAAATTCTTGACACTGCAATGACTAGACGATTATTCAGTCCTTCACTAAAGTTCTCAAAGCAAGGCTCTGGCCAGGACTAATTTTGAGCGTAAAATTCAATATATAATAAAGAAATAATCATATTTATTTTTGTATCTGTAAGTATAAGTGTACATATTGGTCAGTGTTTGGCTTTGTGTGGCTAATGAAGATCAAACCATGGCAACACAGATGTCCTGAACATGCAAATTAGACCTGAATCAAAATGCTTGCAATGCCAGTCTACTGTAGTGACACCAACATACTACTGTTGTTCAGATAATTCAAGGAAAAAGCTTTCTCTGGCATCAGTGAAGCACAGACCCATAGAAGGGGAGGGGAAAAGAGCAGAATCCCAATGTGGGCTGGCCTACCGATGAAAAGCCTGAGTTCAGGAAAGTTTCACTTTCCACAGTTTCACTTAGCACAAAATGAAACTGATGGACGCCATTGTATGAGCGAGTGTTTGTGATTTGTGTATTGCTTAAAGGGCGTTGTTGGATTGAATATCAGCAGTCCCATCCAACCATCACACACACACACACACACACACACACACACACACACACACACACACACACACACACACACACACACACACACACACACACACACACACACACACACACACACACAACACACACACACACTATAAGGTCCCTTGTCTAGCATGCCTGAGACTATGTGTTATATGTGCACAGCTGCAAAACAGGTTGAACATAATACTGGGATCTTTCTGAAGGAGATAATCATGGAAGGTTAAAGAAAAGCTTTACAGAATCAGTGACTTCTTAAAACCCACTTTATAGACTTGCCTTTATGTGATGGCAACTATTATTTCATTTTATTTTCATGGCTTCTATTCTGCTCTAATTGTTTTTTCTTTATTTTTATATATTTTGTGTATCACAACAATCATTTTGCTTTGTCTGTCAAAGCACTTACTAACTCTGTTTTTAAAAGGTTCTATATAAATAAAGGTATTATTATTATTATTATTATAATAATAATCTTAGACTCTCCAGAGAAGAGAGTTTCACACTGTGAGAAAGAGACATGAGGCAAAGTTATTCCATGAAGTGAAAGGGACGTGTGTATGCTGTTGTTCTGAACACAACAGGAAGTTAGTTGTAGTCTGACGTGCTGATTTGACCCGCTCACCGATATGGTCAGCAGTTGGAGCAGCAGTTTCTCACTAAACTCTGAGCACAAGGACATGATGCACGTATGACGATAGATCACTGTGTTCGTCACAAGTACATTTCCATAATTCTGCTAAGAAATTCTATTTAAAAAAACACACGCTCCTTATGGCTCTAGAACTTTCCAGTATAAAGTTCAAGTTCAAGTATTTGTCCCAGAGGGGCAACTCATTCTGCTGCAGTAGCAATAAAAAATAACACAACAGCTACACAGGGAAGGGAAAAGCCTCAGAGTGGAGCAGAGAAGCAGCAGAGGGTATGAAAGAGAATTTATATCTGTTCGTTTTGGCTGGTGGTTGTCTGCGGCGGGACCCAGAGGGCACTGGGTGGGTATTGTCAGACATGATGGATTCTGCCTCCTTTAGCTCATGTTTGTTGCAGAGTTCAGGTAGTTTTGCTGCTGATCTTATTCTTCTTATATGATCCATTGACAATGAGTGGAAATGACAGGAAGTTAGTTATTGTTGATCTGCTGGTTTGGCTCACTTCTCAGCAGCAGCGGCTCAGATACTCAAGATACTTTAAAGCTCCCACATTTAATATTTCCATGTCCATTTTTGATTCAGGTAGGTGCAGGCATAGGTGCGATATAAACACAGTCAAAGTATCAGCACGCTCAAACCACAAAGAATTGCACACAGCGCATATTCAGAAGCAGCGCCTTTAAACAAGCCCTCTGGACTTCCGTGGTGCATGCTCAGCCACACTCCCATCATGCCCTACCTGGACACACTGTCCAGGCACACTGCAATCCGTTATCTGTCGTAGGCTTGGCTGTGTGTCACTCAGAAAATAGTCAGCCAATCAGAAGAGAGGCTCATTAATATTAAAGGACCAGTGTGTAGGATTTAGTTCTTTTTAGGGATCTAGCGTAGTGTAGTTGCAGATTGCTACTCTCTGGCTTCACCCCACCCTTTCAAAGCCAAAATAAAACACTGAGAAAGTGTCAAATATGGGATCTTTAAAAACCCTTAGTGCCTTACTACTCAGAGTCATAACTCAAATCTAAACACACAGACATGATTCACAGACTTTCATACACTTTCCAACAATATTATCATCTCTGACATCCATCCAAGGTTCTTCAGTATAAAAGCTATCCACTGATAGTTGTCTGCCACCCATGGGTACACTGCAAACAGGAACTGCTAATTACTAATTCATCAAACTTTTAATGGTGCCAATTTGCCAAAATATAAACAAATATAGGCTTAAAAAAGCAAAGATCAAGCTCACTGAATCCATGGCAACATTACACTTCCTGTTTACAATCCTTAAAGTTCCAAAACTTACATAAAGCGTGGTTATCCCCGAATAGTGACACAGTCGACTTGATTTTGTCTGACTGTGGGATCCAGGGGCTTAGAACTTGAAAGCCGTACTGCTATTCATAAACTCCCTACCAATATAGAATACTAGCATGAATAACACCCACTGGCTGCAGATCTTCAATCACAACAAGTCATGTTGTGTGACAGCCAATAGCTAATTCACACTGTAACTGCAGTACTGAACATCTACAGGGAGCTTCATTTAATTGAATTGAATGAATTCTACTGTCAGCTTCCAGACGCCAGAAAGCACAGGTCTTGGTTGCCTCCTCAGTGAACTGTGGCACAGTACGGAGTAAGAATGTACTCCAGATTTATTACAGACAGGAAATGACCCCAAAAAGATAGGGTAAAAGGAGACAGATGTTGACTCTTATCCTCGGAGAACTCAGAATAACAGAATGAAATGACCACAGTCAGGACTGCGGTTTGTCCTCGGTCAAGGCTGCAGTTTGCAGTGTTTTCGTGCGATCTTATTTGGCGTGAACGCCAGAGAGGGGCAAGTGACAGCATAGAGTCCAGACAAGTCTATTGTGTTTCGCCGATGGAACCGAAATTAGATTTATCTGAACTCTATCTAGCCATGAATATGTTTAACAGAGCGGGATGACTGGCCACTGAACCTCGCTAAAAGAAATCAGTGTTTGTACAGTTCCATTATCTGGGTTTTAAAATAAAGTTCACAATGCATTCTAAATAACCCTCAAATGTCTTCAGGTTATAGTAATTTTGAGAATACCCTTCAAATACTAAGGCTAGAATCATTATAATAACAATTAATGTTGATTCATATGAATGGAAAAGTATTGTAGTCTTGCTATATCCCCATTATTTGACACATCAGGTGTACATCTGGGTTAAATGTAAAGTACCTGAGGTTCTTCTCCACATCCCTGCTCTCACTCTGGTCCCCCTGGTTCAAGAGCCTCAGGATGCTCTTCTCAAAAGACTCAGTACACTGATCCTTAGGAAGCTGCAGAGAGAAACAGGGGAGGATACACTGAGAAACCTGCTTCTACATTTGGGCCGATCAATTCAGAGTTCATACTTTCCACACTAATTCTCTCTGTCTGTATTATTTAGTCTTATTAAGGCAGTAAAATAGCCAAATGGGCCTTTTTCACAACACACGTTCTGACTTGGAAAATAGGGCTGCACAATGAATCGCAATATTATTGAAATGGCAATATGCAAATCTTAGAAGCTGCAGTATCTGTCAAAATAATACAATGTGACTTTTTTTTACCATATCGTGCAGCCCTATAGGAAAGGCACTAATAATGTGTGACATATGAAAATGTGTACTGTGAGAAAGGCCCAACAGGTCTGTCACACTAATGTGATGATCCATGGTGCTGATATACTCATCCCAACAGGTATCGCCTCATGTAGCTAAGATTCAACATTAATGCATGCAATAATACGTCCCTGTTGGTTAACAGTTCATTTAGTTAATTTAGCTAGAGTAAATGACTCATGTTCCAGACATTCTGGCACATTCTGATCATGTTCATAAATGAAGACAGAAGCATTAATGCAACTATGGAGCCCCAAGGTGTTCAATAAAACAGAAATAATTAGTAATGATAAAATAAATAATCACATGAATAAACTGTGTAAAATTTGTTAATATGCAAAATCATTTTAGAAATGATTAAAACTCTACTTGGAGTTTATTTTTATTTCAAGTCACTTTTCATGTCCCCGGCCTATCACCTTCCAGCCAGTCATGGCGCCCTGCCTCTTAAGCTAGCAAGCTCAACAACTGCTACCAAATTAAGCTTATTAGCACTTGTTAGCTAAAGCAACAACAAAGCCAAAGTCATTCTGAATCGACTCTGTAGTTACTGTAAAGAAACTCAGGACACAGACATTAACACCTCATTTTATTAGCTTAACAATGACCTTAACTCATTCTACTCACCTAGCAGGCTAACTAGCAAGGCGAGGCTGTGAGCTAAATTGGCTAATTTGGTAGCTGTTTTTGAGCTTGTTAGCTTAAAGTCCAGTGTGTGGGATTTAGTGGCATCTAGCGGTGTAGTCGTAGATCACCTCTGTTGCTTCACCTTCCCGTTCCAAGATTAGGGAGAAACTACGGTGGCTGTGAAATGCGCATAAATTCACCCCCCCCTTTTTAGAGCAAGGGTTTGGTTTGTCCCTTCTGGGCTACTGTGAAAACATGGCGGTTCAATATAGCCACCACTGTCATGAACAGTGACATTATAAAACAAAAAGGACATTCTGAAACAAAAATGTTCACAACAAAATTAAAATAATATCCAATAAAACTGAGTGAAAATGAGTTGTAATCATTTCATCAATTATTTTAGGTTTAGGTTTATTTATATATCTCTTTTACTAATTCAACATTTAACACTTTGCAGCAGCATGAATCCAGAATTCCTAGGTAGCGTGAAGTCATTGGCAGAGACTGCAGTTCAGTTTTTCTCTTCTGCGTGACTGGTTGCAGGACCTATAACTTGTATATAATCTTGTCATTGCACTGGAAGGGTGAAAAATCAACAAGTTCAACAAAAATGGGTACCTTTTGAAGGAAATTCTCCAGTTCCACATGGGTTTTGGTCACACTGCTTGAAGAAGAGTCTGACCACTTCACCTGAAACAAATCAGAGGGCATTCTCCATCACTACACAGGCTAGAATGACAAATCTGACAACAGTAATGTCAAAAAGGAAATGGGGCTATGCTAGTGCTGCATGGTACAATGTCAGGCGATCTCCTTCTGGTGACTAATTGTTGAAGGGACTGACATATACCAAAATAAGTCCAAATGAAGAACATGATGACACGAAGCCCACACAGTGAGAAACAAGTAAGAACCCTGAATTGTACACAAACACACATCTCTCTCTATAATCACAGAGATATGACGTTAGTTACACCCATTCAGAAGCCAAAGCACTCAAGTTATGTAATGCCTGACGCTATAAAACTTAACAGAAATGTTCATATTTACTTACTTTACCTTTATTACATTTATAACATATGTACTTTAATGGTCATTTACTTTCTTTCTGGTCTTTATACAAAACAAAATTACAAAAAAATCAATAGTAAACAAAAGAAAAAGAACCACAGATGTGTAAGATCGGGTTGTAAAGGAAACAGATATGTTAGACCACATAACATTCCTGCTGAGACACAGGGAGATGTGATATCTTTTCTGAGCTGTATGAGCTCATGAGTTACTCATGACCACGAGTAACTGAGCCTTAAGAATACATGAATAAAGGGCAGGAACAGTACCATAGTGTTATTCTTAAACACAGCCATTTTAAATGGTGAGGTAAGATCGAATGGCCTAAAATTCATTACATGTGACTGATGTTTGCTTGTATGTCCCAACCCTAAGTTTCCTCTAAAGTAATTACTAGCTTTACAACAAATACATTTTGGATGTATTTAAACTGTGTATGCCTACAGAGGCCAGAGTATTAGGATCAGCTGTGTGAACAGAAGCTGTGTCACATGCTATTACATAGCATCTTATTCACTTTTGTCAAAGAAAAACAGCAGACTATGACTCAACATGCAACAACTATGAGGATGCATTACTGCCTAAACGACAGATGAATTTAAAAAGACAGTCACAAGTGAGATAATGCAGGCTGTATTTTCTTACTGCAAAGCTATTTGCTATTTTCTTTGCATTGCAGGCCTTTATATAGCTTTATAGGTTGTGATTTGTTGTCATCATATATATAGTGAAGGCTGTGATTACTATAGGGTTTTCTTGGCCTGCAATCAGAATGTAAACTATTTTATTGCGCAAACTGCAACGTAATAAAAACAGAACTTAAAAACGTTATGTTAACAACTTTTCAAAACTAAATAGTTGTATAAACACTATAAACGTACATTAAATTCAGTATTTGAGTATTCACAGAGATGTTTCTCAGACTGCACAAGATATAAATGAGTTACAGCAGTTGTTTCAGCTATGCGTCAAAAATTCACATCAATTAAAACCAGTATACTAGTTTAACTGATATACAGCCCAGCCCTAAATATGTAACAGACCAAAACTAAGTACTGTGTAGTTAGGAAGGAAGAAAAAAAGACCTTTACAGTGTCTCTCATACAGAAGCGTTCAACTTGAATTAAGTTAGTGATCAGCATTGGTCCCCAAAAGCCTGACCTAAACAACCCTATAGCAGTGTGAGCCTTTTTTCAGTGGAGCAGCAGGACACACACTTTGGAGCCGTTCGCATACGTAATGAACACAAAAAAAGCACAGATAGCCATTTACTCCTTCCCAGCAGCACCACCAGCTAATTTAGCTTCTAGAGTCTTCACACTGATAAACCGATAAATACATTAATTATGCTATGTGATGAACACGACACATGCCTATTTAACAGTGTAAATGCACGTGTTAATATGTGTGTGTGCGTCAGTGGTTTGGTCCAGTATAAACAGATGGAGAGTGAGTGCTTCTGGCTTGACTGTTGGAGCTCAGTGAAGCCAACAGGACTTAGTCTCTCCTCTCCATCTGTCTTACTGAATCTTTATTTCTGTAAATGAGCACTAAGCACTCCTGTTTGTTACTGTGAATCCGCGTTTGGAAACCATTAGCAGTGACGAGCCACCATCAGCTTGGCACTACACCGACTCACTATGGAATTGGAGTCTGGGATTAGTCGAGTGCACAGCCAACTGGTCCAAAAGAAAATAAAGACAATTTGCTCCAGTTTTTTCTTTACAATTAACCCACAGACTCACAATTGTGTCTGTAACAATATGGACACATGTAGAACCTGCAGTTTTCCTGCATGGTCCAATTTGGCTGCTGGCCTGTTCCAATCCTGCTCCACCTAACCAGAAATGTCCCTGTGTTGGGAGATTAAAAAAAGCCTTACTTCCAAGCTGGCACTGGTATAACCAGCACAATGCACCACAGGGAGACAGTGATGCCAAAGAACAAGAGCAGCAGACACCTTTCAGAAAGCCACGTCATGCACAAACTAGCATTTGCCAGTCCATCATGTATTTTGACCCGATTGTGATTCAGAAGTTATCTAACAAATAACCAATCACCACATGCTCTGCTTAGTTCATAAAAACTATTACTACTTTAAACATTTTAAAATAGGGCAGAAGCAAGTATGATATGATATTTAGCACACTGGGCATCTGTTTCTATGTGTTTGTTGTGAAGAAAGGTCTTTATAGTTGACCACTGTAGGTCTGAATATGGTTTTTGGACCAAAAGAGACCATGTGGAAATACCACTGTCTCCCTGTGCCAGAGAGCCATGTTAAAAGACAGTGATGTGGGTTGTTTCAAAGCCTGTTTTATTGGCAAGCTATTACTGTTACACTCCACTATCAAGCTAACTGTTTGCAGCATCTTTCAAATGAACAACCCCCCAAAAGCTGAGTGCACACATGCAAGAAGGTGTTTCGCAGTAGTTTGTATGTGTGTATTTGTGTTTACAGTGCTACTGTACATAGGCTTCCACAGACAAAACACAGTATCATGCTAAAAGAACCCTTCCGCCAGACATCTTAACCTGAAGCAGAGCAGTGTATGTGTGCGTGTGTGTGTGCGCGCAGTGTTGTTACCTACCTCAAAGTTGTATTCCTTGTCTTTTCTGGTCCGAGAGATGCCCCTGAGCACGATTCTCTCTATATGCACCGCTGCAACAACAGAAATCAGCAACAATCTATCATGACTCAGCCTCTCAGACAAGTTCACAAACACTCACTAGTGTGTGTCTACTGAAAGCCTATACAATTAGCAAGGTTATTATAGCACTGACTATGAACTGATCAGTAATTTATATGTGTCAAGACAATTGACTGCTTAAAAAGTTATTTAAGTACTTATTAGTTAAACGTAAAAAAGCATAAAAACCCTTACAGGTGCAACTATATGAGTTAATACAGAAAAGCGACAAATACAAATTACATTCAAACAAAAATATTTGAGATATTGTTAGTTTGGTGGGGATTTGTCCATTGCACAATCAAGCAGACTAATGAAATCCAGACTTAAAAATGCTGCCCAGTTCCCTGCAGCAAATCAATAGTAAATATTTTCTATACATGTGTAATATATATATGTAAAGAATGTGCACTGTTTCCATTCACCTTCTCTTTGTGTTGCCCAGCGACTGGAGCGTCGGCTCTGGCATGGAGGATGCGAGGCTGTACATTCCCCCAAACCGGCTGGGGGAGGCAGGTAATCCGCCTCCTGACCCATCAGCTCCTGCAGACCAGAAAATACACTCAGTTACTTACTGGCTCATAATGGGTTCCTTATCTTGACCTTTAAAGCTGCAGTAGACCACTTTTATTAAAATAACTTTTGGTCATATTTGCTGAAATGTTCCGTTCAGTTCACTACATTCTGACAGTAGTACATGAGACAGATAATCTGTGGAAAAATCAGGTTCCTGAATGAAAACAACCAATCAGAACCAAGAAAAAAAGACAGTTAGCAAAGGACATATGCAAAACTGTCAACAGCCGAGCTACAACATCTAAAGCTAAACTGCCTGGCAATCAAGAGGGATGAACCAGACATTATATGAAGACAAAGAAACAGTCGGAACCACTGTTTGTTTCCAACCATCCTCTCACTCACTGATCTCTCTCCCTCTGTCTCTTACCATATCGGACAGCCGCACAGTCCAGAGACTAAAAACAGCATGTGTGATTTTATTAAGAGCAGTGCATCTTCACCAGGCCCTGACTCACAATGATGTCAACCTCACAGATTCATCCAGAACAGAGACAGCACCGCAGACTGCTGTCTGTTTAAAGTCAGCAGTAAACACAAAAGGTACAAGTGTGGCATCAAAACTGACATTTTTAGTTGAACTATTCACACTCTTTTTTTCTGTGAGACTACGGATGCTGTTAGATACTGGCAATTAATTTCCTATCATCGCTCAATTAATTAAAGCATCATAAATGTAACCCACATGTACCACACGTGTGCATTAGGCGGACAGACACTTGCACAAGCCCCTGAGAGGCGAGCGGGGTTCCATGTGCTGCTGGGAGGCTCTGACACTTGAGAGTAGGCTGAAGAACAGCTTTGCATTCCTAACATGACTTCAGATTAGGGGGGTGATTTTGTAAGTGTACCTCCTGAAACAATCTGTCAATCGACAGAAATCTCTTGCCGCCATTGTTAAACAATTTCCTGGGAGAAACCCTGAGCTCTCTGTGGTCACACACTGGATCAGTCAATAATCCATCCTTGCCTCAAAGACAGAGTTAAGTAACTTTGTGTTCATGATTTAACCCTTCGTTTCAACAGACTGGAGGGTTTCATTCCAAGCACACACACTATGGCCACTGATTAATAACCCCAACCTGAGGGAGGGCAAACGGGTATAATCAGTAATAAATCAGCTTGAATTAGTTCGGAAGCATAGCTAGAATGAAAACCTAACAACTCTCCCCATTTTGAAGACTAACAGAGGGCAGAGATTGACTGATAAGTGCCTGAGTGATGAGCAATACTGTGTAGAAACTGATTTTTTCCCCTAGCAGTAACCACCACTGTTTCCTCAAACCGCTAGTAGATGCTAGCTCCTACAAAGCTCAGACACTTATATCAGTTCAGTTTCAAGGTGTGTCCTGGTGGCAGTTTGGTAATGTGGAGTTATGTTTGGAATGATTGACTGTTTGCTTGATTGGAAGGTGCCTCCCACTCACCAGTGGAGGTTACCACTTGTTCTTCCCACATTAGCTCCACCCAGGCTCCCCTCTCTTTGAACAAATTTGGAATTTCTGGCTTCAGTAACTTTCAAGCATTGCTGCAAGCACTAAACCCAGACTCCAGGGACCTGTTACACAAAGGGGGTTTACAGAATTATCTGGATTCAACTGTAAAAGGCAGAACCTCCCAAAATCTGGAACATGGACTGGCGTACAAGATTTGTCTCAAGGTTTCGCCAGTTCAGCGTTCCCAGTAAACTTGCTCAGTTGGAAAGGCAGACTGCTTCCAAATGTCCCTCAAGATGCTACATCCATGTTACAATCTGTGTTTTCCCCCACTGATTTATATGAGAACCAAATGTGCTGTTGTAATTGTTTTCTTTGGGGTGGCAACATGTTGACAGGGACATCATTACATCATTGTGTAACTAGGCTTGCACTTTAGTCGGCATACCATTTCAGCAACACATAAGAAATGTATGTCTGAGAAACCCCGCTCACAGACCATGAATACTGAAGTCGAAGGCATCACCACCCCTGTTATGTAAATAAGGCTTTCTCGTGCATATGTTCCAGTTCCCAGGCCTGTCTCCATTTCCTAATGCAGGTTGATTTTGGTTTTTAATCAAAGGTTCTGATGCTAAAGTACAGACTACGTGATCAAATGAGAACCAGCTGTCCGTCTTGTCATTCTCGTTTGCATTGCAGGGGTAGTTAACATTATTACTGTTACTGCTAAAAGACACTGAAAGGCAACAGGTGCAACATTGCCCTCCCATTTATCAAGAACCAGCCAAACAGCAAAGGAGGAAATGATCCGCTGCTGACCTGTTCTTTGGAGTGAAAACCTGCACAGCGTCATGTCAGACATTCTTAAAAAGCCACAAGTGGATCAATACTTGATCAGAGTCCTGCTGGAGCGGCTGGGGCAGTCGGTCTGGTGGTGCCGGCTGTCAGATAATTAGACCACGCTGTCCGAACTGCACTTGGCTGTTTGTGGATGTAGCTTTAATAGGAGCACAGCTTAGCATTCAGTAAGCTTGTTAATGACTTTCACCGTACAGAGCATTTAGAAAGGTAACAGTAGCCAGTATAGATCCACAGCACCAACAAACAGGACGTTATATAATGGGACCAAAGCCACAGAGCCATAGCACTACCCCACACACCCCATGGCTTCTTGGGTAACTGATTGAAACAACCAACTAAACCTTAGCTGCCGGCAGGTTAACTGGCAGGCTTATGTGTGTTAGCTAAGTCTGTTAGCATGAGCTAGCTGTCCTGCTATGGACGACCACTCCTAATAGAAAAGGGATGTTCCCTGCTGCAGTTCTTGTAATACTCGGCCAATATGGAATGAAACATGACTTATTATTATCTAATTAGCCATACGTGTATATTTCAATTAAGATATAGCTTTAGCCGCCTGAGCTAGAGACTTGAACCCTCGAGCGAAAGAGTTTTGAGCTAACTTAGCATTTAAAGGACCAGTGTGTAGTGCCATCTAGTGGAAGCAGATTGCAACTAACTGAACCCCCCTCGGGTCTGTATTTGACGGTCTGGGAGTGAGTATGGGATGTGTAGGAAAAAGTACGGTTGCCCCTGAAACTTGCAAAAAAGGTCTCCATCTACAGCCAGCGTTTGGTTTGTCTACTCTGGGCTACTGTAGAAACATGGTGGTTCAACATGGCCGACTCCACAGAAGGCGACCCCCAGCGTCTGTAGGTAAAAACGGCTCAACGAAAACTCAACACTTCCTATATTCAGGTGATTATTTACTAAAGACAACATACCTGTGAATATTATTTTGTATTTCTCCTAAATGTTACACACTGGGCCTTTAACTGGCTAGCTTATATGTGTTAGCTAACTCTGTTAGCATCAGCTAGCCGTCCTGCTATGGCCGACAGCTCCTGATAGGAGAGGGACGTTTCCTGCCACAGTGCTGGGCATACTCGGCCAATATGTACTGAAACAAAACGTATTATTACTAAACAGCTATACACGTAAGTTATATTCCAATTCACGTACGCCAGAGACGTAAACTCTCTCCCGAACAGGTCGAAGTTGAGCAAGTTTTGAACTAGTTTAGCATGTAAAGGCACTAATGTTGGTTACCGTTGTCTGGGCGTTTATTCTAAGCTGACTTTGACGTCTCTCCTCCTCTATGGCAAACTCTATTTTGTCGAGCTGCCCTCGGACTATCTCCCGCTGGTGGAAATGGAAAGCTGGGTGCAGGGAGGCCATGGTATAAAGCAGCGCCAACTGCTCCAGAGGTCCCGCCGCGGTTTCGTTAGCGGAGAAGCCGCAGGTCTGCTCCGACCGCCCGTACACATTCCCGTCCTGACACGGCGGATGGGACGAGTGGTGGAGAGGGTCCCTTAACGGAGGAAGGGAGTAGTCGTAATTTTTGTAGAACAAGGCCTGATCAACATGGTTCAGTATCCGAAAGAGTATTCCAGCACATTCCCTGCTGTCAGAGCCGAGGAGGGACAGGCAGACCAGGAGTTTGGACCGGACAACTGGGTCGATCACGTCTGTTAAAACTCCCAAATCGCTCGGACTATTTGCCCGAAACTCAAAGTCCCTTAAAACGTGGTAATCTTTCCTAGCGAGATCCTCTAAGTAAGATCCCAAAAAGCGGAGCTCCAGGGGTTGGCACATATGGAGCAGCCCGCACATGAACTCGATCCGCTTAGCGGGGTTTAGATGTAGGCCGAACCACTCGAAAACAGTCTCCTTGTCCAGCTGGGATGGGTACACATAAGGTCTGGGCGACTCGTCCACTCTGTCGGACACCGAAGAGGGAGGCACAGCCCCGGGAAGATGTTGGTGCTCCGGCTGCTCCAATGAATCGTCCTCGGCCGTTTCGTCGCCTCCTTCCTCGCCCGTTTTCATCGGTAGCTTCATTTTCAGCATTATCAGCGCTACGAGAGAGGCTTCACCGTGTGAACGACGGTCCAATATACATTATTGACAACGTCCACCGTTTCGTAACACTGAAAGGAGCGGCGAGCTGTCAGTCGTTTAACAGTGTTTGTACTCGCAGCTAATCATCTGACGCGGCGATAGTAACGTTACTACTGTAGCGCTTTCCCTAGGTTACGTTCTTCTTCTACTCCTCATTTCCGGCAGAGTGCCTATGTACAGTCGCTCACTGCTGCCACCGTGCGACTGATGGAGGACTGGCTGTATTTCTTGTCGGTGGTTCCAAACCTTTAGGGGCCTCTTTTCTATCAATTAGTAAACCGGCGACCCCTGACCGAGTGACATATTTTTAATGGCTGTTTCATATTATGTTCAAAAATGATACAATTAACCCAAATAGTGAGCTGATTGACTGCAACAACCTTGCGTAAAACTAATTTAATTGGATTTCGATTAGTTTTGAGCAGATTATTTCCTGTTTTAGGAACTTTTTATTAAATTCTGTCTGTATTATTAAAAGAAATATATATTATATAATATAAATATATTATTAACAATAATTCACACTTAGTCTGCTTCTTTTCTGACAAATACAGCGTTTTCTTGTCCCTGATGCTTGGTCACTGTGTATATTTCTATATTTCAACCCCCAGTTGCATTACACCGTACAAGGAATTACATATTTCAATAGGACACATTTAAAAATCTCATTTTTACAACTTCAGTTCATGTATTTATCAACATTAAACAATGAAACATATCAGATTCCAGTGAGAACAGGTCACGGTCCCGAAGTGACCCACATAACGAATGTAGATCTACAGTGACGCTAAAGTCACATGAATTCCGATGTGACTGTTCACACTGCGAAGAATCAGACCTGAATCTGATTTGGACCGCATATGAAAGTGGTCCCAAACAGAACTTAAAAGATCAGATTTCATGTGATTCGTGATGTTTACACTGTCATGGAAAAATCTGATCTGAGTCACATATGAGCAAAAAAATCTGATTTGGGTCACTTTGGCCTGCATGTACTTTTAATGTCTGAAGGAAGTTTATTACCCTTCTGGCAATTAGGCTAGTGCACTGAACATCAGTTAGTGTACAGTAGTAGCCTTTTGTGTTCTGTAGTTGCTAACTATCAAATGATATTCCAAATATCTCATGTTTGCACAGTTACAATATTAATCATGTCAAAAATATTTACTTATAGTCTTAAAAATATATATTTACCCATGGCAGCTCTGTTATTTGTCCTCCTACCCAGAGGCTCCTGTGCTGGAATAACACTACATGATGTATCTGATGCAAACTCTAACTGTATCTGATTAATGCACCTTTTGGGGAGACCTGTGAACAGTTTGTTGCAGTTGTCATAAAAGCACACACAAGCAAGCAATAATATCACCTAGCATCTGGATTTTAAGGAACATTGTGAATGAAATAGATTTTGTTATAGTAAATGTTTGAGACTGTTTTGAGAATGTTTTCTGTTTGCCTCTTTTTTCTCTCTAGTATAGTTTCAGTAAATAATGCCAAGAAGGGAAAGAAAAAAAGACTAATAATGGTGTTACACTGACTTTCATTTAGTCAATACTGCCCTCTAAAGGAAAAATGCAACAATTACAAAGAAAAGGAAACCAGAATGGGTAAATGTGGCTGCTTGGTGCAGCTTCACTTCCTCTGTGTTTGAAGATGTGTCTCTCTGCTTAGTCTGGATCTGAATAGTTAAACAGCTGCGTCGTTTTTCTTCTGCGACTTCATGTCCAGCAGCTCGCCAAGAAACATGAGGTCAGGAGGTCAGATGTACGGAGATGAGACAAGACAAGCAGACCTTGTGTGAAATAAATAAGCTGTGCTGTATTTCACACAGAACAACGTGAGATCAAAAGTATATGCTGGAACATCATAGAGGTCATCTGCATATACGGTTTTCATTCAATTTAAAGATCCCCTCCACTTTGACATATATAACCTCATGACAAAAAGGTATCTACTCCTTCTACCTCATACCAGAATCTATGAATATATGTAATTGATGATTTCTAAAGTTTTCCTGCTGGACACAAGATGTCTCCTACTTCACTGTGAAGTCCATTCTCAGTGGATGTGCACTGGTGGCTTCAAGTTTCTACATCACACTGTACAAGTTGCATACTGGACCAGGTTTGACTTCCAAACTATTTGTGATGTCACAAATCCTGCTGTTAGGCCCCGCCCCTTACAATCAGATGTTCAATGAGCACAGAGAAACTTTCCACTTTCAGTAGATGAATGTGAAAACATCCTTCTAGAGTCAAACTCTGCACAGACAGCATTCAAACAGCACACTGTAGAGACAGGAAGAGACACTGATGTTTGATTGGAGAGGACTTTAATGATTTGGTCTAACACTGTAACTCCCTACTGTAATAGCAAAGAGGGAATGTATACACTGTGCCAAAAGGAGTGTCCTTGTTATATGATGTTTGAAAAATCCTTTCTTGAATTCTTTCCAGAAGCACAGTGTATGAGAGCATAGCATTAAAAGAAAAATGTTCGGTTGGTCCTACATCATTTTCACCGGATTTATAGAAATTAAGTCAGGAACAGCCACATTGTGAATGGTCCATGCTTTATGTTCTGGATAATTCCACCACCTACTTTCAGTCTTTTAAGACACACCTATTGGCCTAGTGACATTCCTAACATAGAGTATGAAAATGGTGTAGTGTATTTACACAGTATTGTCTGCAGTCCATAAGTTCCACCCTTCCCTGTTCTCTTAAAATGTCAGCAGGTTATTAAATCTTTTTATTTTTTTGGGTCATAGTTACCTAAACTTTCACTTTATCCTGACAGTAGTACATGAGACAGATAATCTGTGAAATAATCAGGTTCCTCTGGCTCCTCCTAACGGTATTTGCAGGAATCCACCGGGCTTGAATGAAAACAAGATATAAAGACACTTTGGGTTAGAGGCTTGAAGGTTGTTGATTGTTGAGTCTCGCTCCCAGGGTCCCAAAGCGTCTGTATTTGGCGTTCTGGGAATGTGACTCAATAATTTTGTTCAGTTTTTGTTCAGGCTTGGTTTCAGCAAATATGACAAAAAATGTGCTAAGAAATGACCTACAGCAGATTTAACATAGATCCATACAGTAGGCACAATCAGTAGAATCTATTTTAGAACAACACTGTCCTTGCATCCTGAGCTGGACTGAATTGGTACTTATAGCCTCCCTCTGCAATAAACAGAGACTTGCAGTTTATCATAGTCCTCTGTGTTGTCCAGCCTCGTGTGGTCTGCTTGGAGAGGAAGTGAAGGCACATATTTGGACATGTTTTTTCCAGTGCTGTGTTTTTTTTTATTTTTTTATTTTCTGAGCTCAGAGAGGGCCCTGGCTGCAGCAGAGCCTTAAACTAGCACTGAGGGAACAGCAGCCTTGACCATAAAGGTCTCTGAGAACAACTGCGCTGTGCTGCTCCAACAGGGGGCAACGGCAGTTCAGAGCTCACAGGCCCTTGGATGCAGCAGTTCCAACCTTTTTCCATTTCTATCATGGAATAAACTGACAACCCCTGACTCAGTGACATATTTGAAGGATTTTTCACATTATATTCAATGCATGACAGCAGCAGAGAACAGCTGATAAACTGTACAATAAACCCAAACAGTGAACACTAACAGCAGGATGTTTGTGTAAAGGTTTCCTGATAATTTTAGGAACCTTTTACACAATTGTCTCTCTGTATTATGCCTTTTTTAAACAATCATACATACAAATGTGGCTTTTTTTCTGACAGCATCAGTGTTTTTTTTCTCCCTGACACGATTGTTCTGTTAGCTCTTTGGTTGTTTTAAATGGGAACTTTTTTAATGCTGGATGAGGCTGTTTATCAGAGAGTGAAGGCTCTGTGAATAAAGCTTGTGTTCAGGTCTTCAGAGATCTTAAATAGTAATCTGAACTGTAAGAATAGTAATTTACCTTAGTTTTCTACACAGAGATTAACAAAATGCTGAGATATAGGCCTGCTGTGAGTATTTTCAAGTTTTCTTACACCTCTTAAAATCAAGACAGCAAGGTGGTGAAAGTTGAAGCTTTGGCGACCCCTTGTGGACCTCTAGGTTGGGAACCACTGCTTAAATGAACACAGTGCCAAAAACTACTGCATCTCTTTTTTCTTTCGTTCTTCTTGACAGAATGTAATGTAATGATGTAATGAGTTCATTTACTCTACTTTGCATTTGAGTTTTTTCAATTATATGCTACTTCATACTTCTATTTCACTACAGTTCAGAGGGAATATTGTACTTTTTACTGCATGCACAAGATTATTTAGAAAGTTATAGTTACTAATTACTTATTATATTTAACTATTTAACATATACTGTAAAACCAGATAAGTGAATTTAATAAAAACATTTGTAAAAGCTAAAAGCAACATTTTGTAAGTTAAAAATAACATTCCTGATTAAGTTTTGTAATTTTGTGACATTGACTTTTTAATTTTGTTATTTTTATTTGTACTGTGAAAACAAAATACCTCATAAAAATGATCAAGAGTTTTTTGTTGTATTTAAATTTTTTTTTTACAAAACTAGTGTTACTTAAAATTACTTGAAAAGTTACTTTTGTTCTATTTTATGTAATCGGTTTCAACAATGTTTGAGTTAAATTAGCTTATCTGGTTTTACACTGTATCAAAAATGATAAGCTTAAAATCTGGTGCATTATTATAGATTAAACCCACCACATGGTTAAATCTGGCCCGCCAGATGTTTCTAGCAAATAATATATGGTATAAATACTGTTTATGCTGTTTTATTTTTTGTGAGTTGAAATTGCTCTTTAAATATATAGGATCCCTAATTATTCTGAATTCTTTTTCACAATCTAGATCCTGGTACCATTTTGCATCTCAGCAGTACAACACAAGCAGCTGTGCACTGTAGTTTTTAGCAAATGTTACTCAAAAAAGACATATTATGCATTTAGTCTGGGACTACTTTCAGCAGCGGATTAACACACATTTGGTGCTTTAGTGAGAATTTACCACAGCAGGATTGTGAATGTGCTCTATGAAACAGAGGAATACGATATATCAAGTAGATGCATTCATTGTTGGTTTGGGTCTTTTCATGGGATTTGTTACCAATAATAGAATATTGACCTTGGAGTAATCTGGATCATGACCAACGCCTTCCATCCATGAGCTCACTTTCAGATAAGACTGCCTCTTTCCTTGGAGGTACTAATAAAACAATGTTGTTAACCAGAAGAGAATATGTGTGCAATTAAGGAAGCATTTCTGCTATTGAAAGATAAAGGTTTAATTGAAAAGTCTTAAAAATAAAAATGTAATTACATTTGTTTTTATAATGAAATGTGAAATCCAATAAAACTAATTCAAGAACAAATCCAGCTCGAGCAAAGCCGATTAAAGTTAACTAAGAACCTTCTGTAAATAAGCAAGTAGGAACTAGAAAACACACATCCATTTGTATTTTCACCAACATGTACATTTATTCAGTCAATTTTAATCACTTTTGAGCCGTAATGGCTGAATCATTGCCTACCACAGTATGACAGAGGTCCAACATCTGCCACAGATGCTATTTATCCCCTCCCACAGGGCTTTTTTTACCCTCTAATTGAATTAAACAGCACAGCTGCAGTAAAAACATGCTGGCTGTTAAACCACAGCACTGCTCCAGTTAATCCTATGGCTACTGATCACAGTTTCAACTACTCACACACACACACACACACACACACACACACACACACACACACACACACACACACACACACACACACACACAAAATTCCGTCATTTCAAAATAAGAGCATGCTGCCGGTAGCCTATTGCTGTTATTTTATAAACCATAGAAATTACAGAAAATCTGAAAATCTCTTATCTGTATGCCTTTCAGCCATTGTTTAATATTAAATGAATGGCAGATGATTCAACATGATCAAAACTGAAATACGAAACAAACACTAATGCATTTCCACACTGCGGTCTGTCCACACATTGGATGTGTGCGTGCGTGTGTGTGTAAATCCACATTAGATCCACATTGGTCTCTGTAGTGTGACATTCTGTGGTGAAGCTATAGCCACGATTTATAAAGGCTGCCCTGACACTCCCACCACTCCCTCTGCCAACCAGTGGGAGGACTGTCACTACCAAGTCAGGACTTCACTCTCTTCACTTTCTCCTCGCAAAGTGGCAGTCATCATTGCCTGCTTGCAGCTGAGAGGGAAAGGTAAGGCCCTGTCATCACTTCTTTGGTGCATGTGCTGTTGTGTGGGGGGATTTTACAGAGGGTAATCACAGTGCCAACTATTTTTATATGTGATGTATATATTATAATAATACCAAAGAGAGGTTTGGAGACAGCACTACAAAAGCATTTGTTCTTTTTTTTTTGAGAATATAAGTCATCTCTGTTCTTGTTGGTTGGTAGTTAGGTGGTTGTTTCACTTACCAGAGTTAGGGTTAGGGTTAGGGTTTAGGGTTAGGGTTGGGGCAGCTGCGTACAGTATATAGTATCTATGCATGCATGTATCATCGCTGTTTTTTAGTAGCCTTTTCCAAACTTGATGTTAGCATGGCATGAGTTTGGTTTGGCCACAACTGACCAGCCATCAGGACAATGAGAAGACAAGCTAAATATACAGTATAACTGCATAAATCCACCTCTGTGATTATGGGTCAGCAAGGTCCTCTGCCTTAGCGCAAGGCACCAAAGTCTCTCTGTGTGTCTCTTGGCATTTCAGAGTTGTGCTGTTGACTGTAAATCTGTAGCCTGAAATAACTTCCATCCTAATTACTGTACTGTATGTACAACTACTGAATTAAATGACGGAGAAGGTGTGTGGGATGGTTTTAAAGATAGTCGAGGCATAAGGCAGCAATTTTAAGTTTGGGACATATAGTTTCATCATAGAAGATCATCTCAATGGTGAATGTCAGGAAAGTATAGTCTTCAGTAGTAGTCACTAATTATCTGTCACCGAGAGGTTTTACATGACAGCTAAAATGCTTTGGTCACTGTAGCTATTTTTGCTTTGAATGGGAGTTATTCATGCCATTAAATAGCTTAGAACAAGACTATGTGTGTAGATTTTGAAAAGGGGATACCTCTTACCAAGGAAAAGTACAATTCATAAGCAATAAAACCTTGTTCACCTCAGACACATCCTCTCTTGGTTTGGTATGAGCTTAAGGTGGGTAATGTTAGCAAACTTGAGATAGACATTGCTGTAGAAATGATTTGCATTAGCCTTTAACTGACAGCAGTAGTTACACAATCCTGCTGCAATACAAAGGACCATATAAGCATTTTTGCTTGCTCTATTTGTAACTTTAGCACATATGTAGCACCTCCTCTGGTGATAAGTAGTAGACAGAGCTTCCGGGTTTGTGAAGTGAAGCCAACACGGAAGTGTCTTAAATCTGGGTTGCAAAAAAAAGTCACATAGTATTGAGTCTTATGGAGAAATTAACCTACTTCTCCCTTGATTTATTAGCTCAGTGAATATTTACAAATAAGTTTATGGTGTCAGTCTCTAGTTTCAAGTCTTCTTCCATACAGCGTGATGTTCATTTAGTAAATGATGGTCCCATTAAGAGTAAAAGAGAGCATAAACCAGGGTATGTTTTAGGCCGTGGCTTCCTTGTGATTGACAGATTCTTAGTGAGTCCATTGAGCACAACGCGTTAAAAAACTCAGATCAAACTGTCAAAGTAGACAGTGCTGATTAAATATGAATCAAGTTTCTGCTTTGCCTATTTCTCCCCTAAGTCTTTTCAGAAACATGCCGTTGGCTCCAAAAAACCAACATGGTGAACTTGAGGCTTCAAAACTGTACTCTACAAACCAACGGGTTGACACTTGGATCCCACATGTCTACTGTCAGAACTACTCATAACTTTAAAAAAGTTTCCCACTCCTCTCTGCTCTTCTTCTCTGCTTTGCTCGCTATCAGAGGCTGGGCCAGTCTGTAGAAATACTGACTTTAAATAGTTGGTTTTGCCCTTGGCAAACATTTTATTACTTTGATCTCTGTGAGATCACAAAAAACAGCACACAAATGGGTAACACATAAACAACATATTCGATTTTTGTGTTATGTTTTTGCATATTTTGAACCCAAATACTACAAATCAAATAATACATCACTAGTCACATTTGCATCCAAATGTAGTCAAAATTTTCACAGAATGTCCAGAGAACATGCAAAATAAAATTTTCTGTACTGTTATGTGAATATCGTGTGTTAATGTAACAGGCTTCCTTTAAAAAAATAATTACAGAGAACCTCCCATGTGCATTTATTTTGTTAGATATATTAGCATTGCACGACAATAAAGTGAGGGTGTTATGAATCAATGTGCACTTTCAACTGCATAAAACAAAACAAAAATCAGGTAATGAAAGTCACTGAAAATTGATTTTCATAACATAGTATAATGAATGGAAATCAATGGCTAGAAAGTTGTGAAACCACATTCAAAATGTAAAATAATACACAGCATGCTTTGGAAAATGATTAGTATTACAGTGAACATGCAGAAACACTGATCTTTTAAAGACTGTATTTAATTAAATTTGACTTAACCACATTGTCAAACTAAATCCTGCCAGACTCCACATCTCATAATTTATTGCAATGACTAAATAGTATTTTCAGCCATCAGTCAGAAATGTAGTGGATTAGCATGTTAACAATATTATGGCAGTGCTGGGATTGCTGGGATTGCTCTCTGCAGTCATGTCTGTTTCATAAACCAACCAAAGGCGCTGAGCAATCCCAACAACATCTGTGCACAAGGAATGTTCTGTGATGCCGAAGCCAGTGGAGGCGGTTGATGTGGCTGGCATACTGCACCTCTGGTTTGCCAAATGTAGAGTGAGGTTTGGAGGAATTCAGGTTCACTACCCACCTATCGTCACTGTGCGTCTGTAATGACTAATGTGCTTTAAAATGAAAGAGTGAGCCGCTCAGGATAGGATGTATGGATGGATTTGAGTAAGGAAAAAACATTTTGTGTCTTTTTGAGGATCCTGGTAGAGACATTTTTAGACACAGTGAAACATTTGAGACATTCATTCGGTTGCATGCTGTCGCAGTGTTATAGACTCTGGCCCCACAGTCATAAAGTTTAAAATGGAAATAAAAGGAAAATCATAAACTAGGAAGGCCTGTGAGTGATGTTTACATATTGCATAATTGTCAGGGTTAGCGATACATACATCAATTAGCGTACACATTTATTTTACAGTTATTTCCGTCTTCTTCTGCACTGTAAAACCAGTTCATTTAACTCAAAAAATTGTTGAAACTGATTACTTCGAAAGTCTTGTAAAACTAACTAAATTTTGTAAGTAAAAAACATTTTTTGATTAAAGTAGCTTTATTAATTTTAAGTGACACTGACTTGTTATTCTTTTTCGTACTGTGAAAACAAAATACCTAGTAAAAAGCTGCTTCATCAAGAATCTTTTTGAACTTACAAAATTGAGTTTGTGTTACTTAAAATTTTCAATGTAATCCATTTTAACAACTTTTTTTCAGCAAAAATAACTTGAATAACTGAAGATAACTGTATTGGCATTGAGACTTGGCTGACATCCACAGAGTTTAATGTTTAGTGTGCTTGGAGATGCCTAAATCCATTCCATCCTCTGGCCACCCCATGAATATTTCACTAGATCCACCCTGTAGTCATGTTTCCCTCCAAATTTAGCACAAATCTTCATTTTTTTCATCATCATCTTTATCATTGCTCTGCACATATCTGGTGTTTTCATATGCCACTATTTTGGTCTCTGTGGTTCAGAAGCTTCAGTGGATGTTGAAGTCACATGCTTCATGTGGGTCACAATTTATTTCCAGTGTTTTCCATCACACATTGCATTTTTCAAATTTCCTGCATTTCCCCTCAGGTTGGATAGAAATGAACTAACTGAAGCTCTCCTTTGTCTCCTCTGTGAATCCAGCGACTATAAACTAAATCGCTTTCTTACAGCTGTACTTGTTTTTTATTCCAATAGGTCCTCTAAACTAATCAATAACAAAATCATACATAATTTGTCACTGTCTTTAAAAACAACCCAGAATAATTTCTTTATAAGGCCTCCCTGGCAGGACAACACAGTTTGTCAGTGCCTTTCAAAACCATAACAAATCACAATTATATGAACGTTAACTGATCTGCCACCACTATGGTTAAGGTTTGGTTAGGTTTATACACAAAACTGGCTTGGTTAGGGTTAGGAAAAGATTGTGGTCAGGGTTAAAAGAGACCACTGTGAAATCAATGGTGGTCTCACATGTCAAAGTCACACACTCTGTGGACCCATTCAACCACCCTGACCTACTCCTGATGAAGTTTTGTTCACTTTAGGCATTTGAACAGTGACTGGTGCTGTTGTTTTTCTTGGAAGTCTCTTTTATTCCCTACATCAGTGGGCACACACGCCCAAGCTCATAAATGTAAGGGAAACCTTTTTATTATGGTCATATGTTCAAGAGTTAATTTCTTTTTTTTAATGTGAAAGAATTTATCATTTGTGTGTCTGACTTTTGGGGACACATTTCTTACCACCAGTTGAGTTGGAAAAGCTTGTCCAACAGGGGATAAAAGTCATCCACCCAAGAAAAAGCTGAAATTTGAGGGAAAGTGATTAAAGTTTTAGGCAAGTTGGGGTTATGGTTAGGTTTAAGGGCTTTACACACCAGGGAGGTGAGAACTAAACAACATAAAAATATAAAGTACTTTGTGGCCAAACTGTCTATATATTGTATCAAACCTATTAAGCGATACAAATTTGTGACTCAATAAAACTAAAAATAAATCCGTGCACACTTACTGTGGACAAAACAAGACAGGGACTGGCAGAAAAACGTCAGGAGCTTGCAGAGCGACTCACCGATACAGGGTCACATTCATTGGGTTCATCTCAGCTGCAGTTCCCTGTCGGTAAATTCCACTAAGCAATCTGTGTTGAGGGAGCAATTGTCACTTTTGTCACAATTTTCTTTACCATTTTTGATGACGTGATGTCTGTTCCATACAACGTGACTGGTCGATGCCTTTATTCATGGTGCGAAAGCTTTTTGCTGCGTAATATTTGAGTTCTGCATGAAAGTACTCGAAAAGAACAATTCAAGAAATATATATTGGTGTTAATCACATAAATGCCTTTAGGGTAAGTCTCCAAGAAAATGTGTAAGTTTATGTGATGATACATTTAGTATCTAGACCCGCAGGTTTTAAGTCGAACCTAACATTAGAGCTGCTGACTTCACTGATTTGCAGTGACATGCTGCCTGTATGAGATTCAAATACACCTTTTGCAAAGCAGACATGTTGACTTGCCTCAGCAGGAAAAGCGCAGGTGTTACTGATGATAATAACAATGGCTCTGTTCCATTTAGAACCATGCCAATGAACCAGCATAAAGAACTGTGGCACCAAAATGAGATTCTGCCATAAAAATCTTGAACAGAATTCTGCTGTCAAAGAATGCTATTAGTTACACCTTTAGGTTTGACAGTTTAAAATGTCTGCTAAAAGAAAGGTCTGTTGTGACTTTGTAGATTTGTTGACTGCTTTGAGCTCTATAATTTTAAAGGTTAACTGTTGTTTTAATAATAATAATTTAAAACAAAGTCAAATACATGTATATTTTCACTCCTATTTATATTCATTATATGTTGTTCACCCTTTTAAAATGGCAGTTTTGCTGACTGCATTAACAAGGGATAGATGAGAGCAGCCATAAGTCACTTTCTTGTCTTCAGAACAACTCCCCCTTTTAAAGGGGAACTTGGCAACTATTTCAACTTAATAAACCCGTTTAGAAATCATTTGGATGGTTAAATGGCCTGTTCCAGTGAAAATGGTGACTTTCCCCGCTCCCCCTAGCGTCCCCAGGCGAAAATCCAACCTTGCAACTTTGGGACGACCGTCCTGTTAAGTTGGAAATAGGAAGTATCGTGAGAAGCGAAAATGAGCAAGAAACACAAACTGCTTTACGGCAATTCCACATAAACGCACACGCCCCCCTCAATACCGGTTAGCCACGCCAGCTATAAGAACAAGCGACGATGAATGTATTACCCACCTCGGTAGACATTGCTCCACACGAAAAAGTTGTCCGGCAACAAATGCACATCAGCAGCGGTAGAAAGGGGGAGGAGGGGGCCGCAAGTGAGTCTTTTTACGACAGTGTTTTGAAATATATGTCCCAGAGCTGTAGGAGGAGCTTGTTGAGAAAACATGCAACGACAAAAGTGAAAACCAGCGAAGAAATGGCTAGAGTTGCCAAGTTCCCCTTTAAGTGAAATAAGAACTATGAAAGTGTTGAGGATAAAAAGGGTAAACTGTTTTACCTGAACAGTCAGTATGTGTCTGTGGCAAACAATCACAGGTTCATTAATAATGTTAGTGTGCTGACTGAAGTGAATCAATAAAGTCTGCTCCGCTTCGCCATAGCGACATAATTCACGCAGTCACATTGCTGCTCTCATCTTAGCTTTCTTCTTGTCTTAAATGGTATCAAGTGCATAGCTGTACATTGATTCCACTGCAAAGAGCATCGCTCTAATAGCATTGTTGCTGATTCCTCTGCTCAGGTTTTACATGAGGTGAACAAACCTACTTGAACCAACAAGAGTGATGAAGGTGTAAGTCTGTTACCTGAACAGGTGCAAGCTGAACTAAACTAATAGGAGGGTCAGAGAGATATTAATCAAGCATAGTCTGTGCATGACCACACGTCCTCAGGAGAGGTGTAATCAGGTACAGTAAGTGAAAACACCTGTGTGGGGGAACCCAGGACCTTTAACAAGCTGAGAGAGTGAGAGACAAAGAGAGAGAGAGGGAAATACACATTAACAGTTGTTTTAGCCAAACAGGAGACAGCAGAAGACAAATGGGTTTGTAAAAGCAGACAGAAAAATTTCTGGTAAACATGAACTCTAAATGAAGAATGTGAGTGTTGGTTGGTTTTCCATCAATTTAAAGGGCAAACTAAAAGCCAGTCAGTCTGAAGACATTGTCAATAATCACACCCATTGTTCAAGCTGTTAAGCAACACTAGTAAAGTAAAAGTAAAGTCTATAGCAGTAACTAATCTTACATATGTCTTAGTGAAATTGGCCCACATTAAAGATCCAATGTGTCACACTCAAGAGGATCTCATTATACATGAATGTTTTCATTCATTCATTCCTCTGTGCTTGGAAGGGAAAGGTGAAGCAAGGGATTTGCAATCTGCTGTCACACCGCCAGATGCCACTACATCCTACACAATGGTCCTTTAAAGCAATGATTATCAGAAGGGACCCTCGAAAACCATAGATTGCATAATAAAAAATGGATATAGTCTCTGTGACGTCACTCATAGGTTTCTGAAGAGCTGGTCAACTCTGGCCGTCACCATCTTGGCAGTCCTGACTCGGCCACCTCCCAGCTAATCTACAAATGGAAAAAAGAGGTGGAGCGTGGGTGGAGCTGAGGCGGACTGAATCAGGCCTGGTTACTGATAAGAGCCAACTGTGATGACACCCACCTGTCACTCAAAGCAGTTATGCCCTTAATTATGCATAACTTTAAGCCTCAATGTAATTTAAACGAGTGAGTTCTATAAAATGTACCCCAGTGGTGTTACAGTGGTTATGAATGGGGAAATTAGCTATAGAGACCAATATCATTTTTTGTACCAGGCTGTAAACATGTTTTGATATATCAGGCCCTATGGAGGCCCACTTCACTTCTGGAGCCAGCCTTAAGTGGCCGTTTGAGGAACTGCAGATTTGGTCACTTCTATGTTGGCTTCTTTTGCCAGCCATGGAGATTGCCACTTGTCAAAAACTTTCACTTTCCAAACATGAAACCCAGTAGAGGCCCATGCATGCCCATGTGGGAGCCAGGTTATTGAGCACATACGGCTCTCGTATAGTGCACACAGTCCACATTTAGCCCTTGTGGGGCCCTTAAGGTTTGCCCATTTCAAGCCCGTGGCCAGCTTGTTGTCTTCATATGGGGTGCACATGTGCTCACTGTAATGCCTTTATTCTGTAACTTTATTAGTCTGTGTTAGAGATTCATTCTTCACATGTAGGCAGTAATGCAAAACTCATTAGCTATAGTTATATCAGTTATAGAATACTGGCATTGTTTAACCAATTGTTTGAAGAAACATTTAAAGCTGCAGTTGGTAACTTTTATTGAAATAACTTTTTGTCATATTTGCTGAAACTTTCACTATACCCTGACAGTAATACATGAGACAGATAGTGTCACAACTGGAAGTATTTTGGTGTAATATGGTTCTATAATAGCAAGTCAAACAAAAGAGAAAGAGAAAAGGGGTTAGGGGAGCTGGGAGGAGACTGTAAAAGAAGGGTTGTGGTAGCTGCACTCTCTTCAGCTGACTGATCCTCCCCCGTCTTTAAATCCTCTGCCAGCGCACTGCAGCCCGCTCTGCCATGTTTATACTTCTGTTTTCCCATCCCAGCATCTCAGTGCTCACGTTGTTATTTTCTCGGGCCCAGCCTTGTGGTCGGCGGAACCATGTTTGCGCTGCAAAATGAACACAGGGAGAGAAAACACGCTACTAGACCATATGTCGCATGGCACAACATGAGAACTCACAAAAGCATTTCAAGGGGAAGAGGAGGAGGAGAGGAGAACAGTGGGGACAGACAAGAGGAAAAGAGAGATGTGGTGATTTCACAAGGCAGTCAAATGTCTTTCTCAAGCCATATATCATATACATGTGCCAACTCAACATTACAACACAGTCTATTAGACTTTTTATGGACTGTTGGAAAGAGCCCTTTTAATTCATGGAAACACATACATGTATTAGTACTCTATGCATTGTAATGTGTGTGTATACATTTGTATTACGGAGTACAAAGTCACTAGCAGGCAGTCTTGTTTTGGGTGACCTTCAGCTGTGGTAGAAGAGTGTTAAATACACACTGACGTTACAGGTGCAAGGTTTGAGTTAAACTGAACAACTAGACAAGTTCAACGAAACAATTTTCAGCTTGGTGTTGAATTACACTCTAAAGGCCCTCTTTAACCAAATACTCCTTAGTTCCTGTGGGAAGTGAAAACTCTGGAACTTAACTAGGAACCAATTTGCATATTCCTGTTTGCATTTCCACATCAGAAGAAACATTAAGATTAGGCAGATAAGGAATCAGGCAGATAAGGAAAGATTTTAAAAATGAAATGCATTGAGATGCAGCTTTTACACACAAGGACTCAACACACAGTCACAGTTTTGTTTTTTGTAGTTGAAATGGAAGCTGCAAAGCTGCAAAGATCGGCTGACTGATTTATAGGTATTTATTTCAGTTTCAGGCTATAAGTCTGAAGCCTCCCTAGTGGCCCCCAGAGGACATAATGCATATTACACCCAGGACATCCAAAGTGTGGGAAGGAATAAACAAAAGGCCATAATTTAGGTATTTGTAGAGCCTTACCACTAGTGGGGATGAAATATGGAAATTTTGTCTGTAGGGTGGCACCATGGATGCAAGAGTAAAAAGAGCTGATTTCCTTTCGGAAGAAGAATGTGTTCAGTTAATTTCAGGAGATGTGTAATGCAATGCAGACATTATGGCCTCAGCATGATCTGTTGGGACCATGAATGTAAATGTGGTGGCAACCTGCCAGTTAGATTAGAATATCCTGTACAAGTGGACATTTTGATGAGACAAAAGGCCAGGGGGCTAGAAAACATATATAGGGGCCATCATCTAGGTGTAATGAATATCCACAGCGAATTTCATTAAAGTCCCCCTCCCCTCAAAAATGCATTCATTGTGTATGTCGTAAAACACGTCTGTAAGGGATCTCTAAATTCTGGCCTTTACTTAAAGATATATCGTCATGTACTAACGTGTAGGTCATTCTGGCCTGATGGGAGGAGAAAAGCTCATCGTTAACACCCTTGTTGTTTCACACACTAATTTAGCCAGGTTGGACTGGACCAAGGTAGGCCGCTCTCCTACGAAGCCATGTTGCTGTGGTCAGTATGGAGTGCAATATTGCTACTGACCCCACTGGAGGCTGCAGAGGAGGATGATGTCCGAGCAGGTAGGGACGACCCTGTTATATAGACCCCAACAAAGTGTATCATTCAGATGACAGCAGCGTTAGATACCGACCTCTTGAGTCTGAACCTAATGGTACTTCTCTTTGATCACTGTGTAGGCTGCAGCACTGCTGTAAACGACCTGGTCTATATTGTTGATGGCTCATGGAGTGTTGGCTTCTCTGACTTCGACACTGCCAAGCAGTGGCTTATCAACATCACTAGCCAATTTGACATCAGTTCCCACTACACACAGGTAATATAAATATATATATATATGTGTGCTGAGCATGAATGGAGTGAGATTGTTATTTTCATTTGCGTTTAACAGCAATTTTCCATCAGGCTTACATAGTCTGTTCATGGCCAGTCTCATTACTATTATCTGATTATTTTCTCTTGTCAAATCCAGAGCACTGTAGCCAGTTTAATAACAGCCACATAAGTGCTGCAGAGCATCAGTAAATCTGCAATACACCTACATTAGTTTATGTTTGTGTCTGCTGTAGGTGGCTGTGATCCAGTACAGCGACACTCCTCGTCTGGAGATTTCTCTGGGGAAGCACCAGGGTGGAGCAGAGCTCATCCAGGCCATACAGAGCATCACGTACCTGGGAGGAAACACACAGGCAGGACACCATGTTTTTTTTTTATCTTTACAACTCTATCAATACTGATGTGCATGCAGGTATTATGAGAATATACAACACTGTGTGTTATTATCACACTGTATGTTCATGCTGAATATGTTAACACGACCATATACATCACAATATGAATAATAAACCAATGTCACACAGACAGGCAAAGCTAAAAGGTCAGGAAACTTTGGGAGTGCTGCTTGTGTTCCCCTAGGGGAAGTCAAATGCGCATAATTATATAAACTAGTAAATTACATTAATTTCACTATAGATATTAAAAAATAAGGAAACATGGAGTTTTACAGAGGGCGGGAAAATAATTATTAAAAAACTGATGTAGAATACACTGTCCATTAAAACGCAGCTTGGCAGTGTTCATTGGAAGCGGATGAGAGTTCATGACTGTGGAACCACAAAGTGTTCAATATTAAATGAATACATAATTATGAAACAAATATCTGTTTTTATTTCATTATAGGATTTTCCCCATGGACACTTAATGCATTAACATTCCACTTATTATTTTCATAATGTCAATTTTTTGTCATGTCACTTTTCATGACAGTGCTGTCACCAAGCCTGAGGCCCAAAGCAACTGCCATGGGCCAGGCTCTGACAGACTTACATTTAAAAATATATATTTTTATTAATAATGCATGCAACTGTAATTAATGAGTGACTTTGTTATTTATTAGTTTTGTTAATAATTTACGCTGAAAAATGCACAATGTAGTTTACTTTAGCTTGTAATAAATTATTCATTATTATTGATTTATCTTAAATTTGGGTTTGGATCAGGCTCAGGCCCAAAACTGCTTCTGCAGTTTGGGCTCAGTTGGGGCTCGCACAGAAGTTTTTCTGATGAAAGCTCTACAAGAATGTGCACAAGACCACGCTAAAGTTGCCCAAGCAACATTTGTTTTGTGCGTCTATGGCCATAATTACTGGTTCCATACACACCCGGCTCGCTGCACTAATGACTGCTACTGGTTTGATCGGGACACCTGCATTGCAGAGGAGCGGTGGAAGTATAAAACAGCCTTTACTCCTAAAATGTGCTATAAAATGTCCTATAAAATTTCTTCACTACTTCCAGTACTCCATCCAAAAACAAGAAACTAATAAAGTGGAGCAGGCTGTGGCTGGTTATGGAGAGGCAGACTGCACTTATGCAGGTCCAAGGGTGCCAACGTTCACTCACCACAGGTGCATCTGCAGCAACATGACCACACAGCAAGGCCACAAGCACAGAAATGGTCAATAAACATCCAGGCATGCTAAATTTGGTTGCTTTGCTTTACATCACATGTTCTTGGAATAGAAATACATTTTAAACAGTTTGCCTGCTGTATCCTTTTGTAATCTGATGCTATTCGCACCTGTTTTCCCATGGGGAAAATAAAGAAGATTTTGTTTGACAGCAATTGGGGCTGTCAATGGCTAGAAATCCTACAAGTTCACACATATGATTCCTCACAGCATCATGGCACTGTTTTCTGACTGTTTTGCAGACTGGCAGGGCCATCAAGTTTGCTGTGGACCACGTCTTCTCCTCATCCCAAAGAGCCAGCCAGGTCAAGAACCGCATTGCTGTGGTGGTTACTGATGGCAAATCTCAGGATGATGTGGTAAATGTTACTTTTGGCATGAGCGAAACCAAGTCAGGTTATTTGGGTGGCCCTAAATCATTGTGGTAGCGTCAAGGAACTTCTGAAGTATCACAGTGTGAAAAAAAATAATGTCAGGAGCTCCCCCATCCGTAGAACCTCAACAAGGAAACACTATTATTATTATTATTTCTTTTATTACAGCAAGGACAGTGCACAATAAAACATTAACCCTGTATATACAAGGAGAGATGCATTGCACCGGGTTTTAGCAAATTGCTATTTTCCACCCGTAGTCCCTGGGCAGGTAAATGGAACATACAATAAATTAAAAACAGTTACTAAATTCACAGTTGTGCAAAATTTCAATTACAAAGTTATGAATACACACATTCCCACATCATTAAAACAATTGAAAACAATTTACCCCCCTCCCGCCAACTTTTATAAATAAATATGACCCCCCCATCAAATACACACACACACACACACACACACACACACACACCGCACACTCACACAAATGTCTACAAGTTTGCTGTGACAGCATCCAACGTTTTGTGTGACATGAAAACTATCTGGCTTGGGATTACCACACTATAGCTGTTGGCTGTATGGGGTGCTCATTTTCACCACAGATAACCTTTGTATTTTTAGGTGGATGCCAGTATGGAGGCACGAGCTCAGGGCATTACAGTATTCGCCGTTGGAGTTGGCAGTGAGATCACCACCTCGGAGCTGGTATCCATCGCCAATAAACCATCAACCACCTATGTCCTGTATGCTGAAGATTACACCACCATTGACCGTATCCGAGACTCCATGGAACAAAAGCTCTGTGAAGGTATGTACACATGCTTGTACCATCAATTTCTGATCAAAGAGCCAGATGTTTCCTAACGCTGTTGTTAATACCTTGTACTGATGATTGAATTGATTGAGTTTCTTGCTGATCCAAGCCATAGAACTGTGAGCCACATAATATGGTCTATGGGAAAAAAAGAAATGGGACTTTTACTGCTGTAACCAGGGGAAATAATAGGATAAAATGCAGTTTTACAAAAGGTACACAAATCAATCAACAAATAAATGATTAAAAACGAACACAGAATACTTCATCATTAAAGCTTGCCAGTGTTCACTGTTGAGGATTCATGACTATGGAACCCCAATAAATAAATAAATAATTAGGAAATAAATAATAGTGAGCAGTGCCTGAAACTTGTAACCGACAGAGCTGGCATTGTTGAAAGGTGGCATTTTGCTAATGGAACCTAAGTCACAGGTATGGCGGAAGTTTCTTCTGACATAGCCTACTGGTCACTTTACTCATTTATGACAGCCAAAGCAAGATGATAGTAGAGCAAGATATTCTTAGGAATTGTTGGAGGCTAAAACATAGTTAAAACATGACTCCCACGGAATGCTAATGTTGTTCTGCTCATTGTGTAGGTAAATAGGCAATTGTCTGCCAACACATTGATCTTAATGGTATTATAAGGCAATAAAATGTCCTTTTGTTACCATTATATTTCAGTAATTACGTGTTATGTAGCTTGTCACAGTTGTCATTTCTCACTGAAAATGGTGAGACAGACTGGAAGGAAGAGCAGAAGGAAGCAGAGCAAAACGGCAGACATTTTGAGATGTGAGAGCAGAAAAATGACGGGCTGAGCCATTGTTAATGTTATTCAACCCGTTCTCATTCCCAACTCGTCAAAGACTGCCGCTTTGTCTCTTTCCTTTTGGCGTCCCATACAGCCGCATATGGTACCCTTCAGTGGCTGTATGGGATGCACCGGGCTCTCTATTGACTCTAATGTAAACCCATCCGCAGCACTTATAGACACTTACAGAAACTTCCATCACTACAATATTAAACTGATCGCAGAATCATGTTGCAACATTATTAGGACAAAAAAGTATAAAGTGAAGTTAGTTAGTTATGTTAGCTGCACAATTAGACATCGACACTGTCAAATTAGCAACAACACATATAGCTCCTCCAGTGACCGGCATGAGGCAAGATGTCTTGCAGCAGATAAACAGCCAACAAACCTTATTATATATCACAAAGAGTACATAAGCTAACTTATGTAAATATGACAATTATGAACGGTGGAAACGGGGCAAGTTTTGAAAGTTCCGTCTACAGGTAGCTGTACAGCTAGACGGCATTAATTTGTTCTGCCTGGGCGAAACTTTGAAAACTTGCCCGCGAAAGAGAAAGCCCATTCCACTGTGGTTGTCATAATTACATAAGTTAGCTTATGTACTCTTCTTGATGAGCAGCAATGAGGTTTGATGGCTGTTTATCTGCTGTGAAGGTGTAATTGATTATTGTGTTTACATGTGTCATTTTCGGTTTATTCAATCAAACTGTAAAGTGTCTAGCTGTATATATGCTTGGTTATAGCACAAGATGTATGAGACATGCATACAGCATTATTTTTGTTAATTTATTTTTTCTTTCTTGAACCCTCACGGACTGACCACCAATAAAGCCATGTATTTTAATGAAGACATCTTGCTTCATGCCGGTCACTGGAGGAGCTATATGTGTTGTTGCTAATTTGACAGTGTCGATGTCTAATTGTGCAGCTAACATAACTAACTAACTTCACTTTATATTTTTTTGTACTAATAATGTTGCAACATCATTCCGCGATCAGGTTGATATTGTAGTGATGGAAGTTTCTGTAAGTGTCTATACGATGGGTTTACATTAGAGTCAATAGAAAGCCCGGTGCGTCCCATACAGCCACTGATGGGTACCATATGCGGCTGTATGGGACACCAACAGGAAAGAGACAAAGCGTCAGTCTTCGACGAGTTGGGAATGAGAACGGGTTGTGTTATTAGATACACCTGTTTTTTTCCCTGGAAACAATGTATATATTGTATTGTTGTATGAGAATAAATTCAGTTGAATTGTGTTGTCCATAAAAATACAAATCAATATACCACCAAATAACACAACTGACTGACAGTTTTTGCATATCTATGTGGAGGTTTGCAGCTGTCTGAATAAGTAACCCTTTTCTTTTTAGAGTCTGTGTGTCCAACACGAATCCCAGTGGCATCTCGTGATGAGAAAGGCTTTGAGCTCATGTTGGGCATGAAGGTTCAGATGAAGGCCAAGAAGATCCCTGGCTCTCTGACCTCTGAGACAGCCTACGCTCTGACTGCCTCCATAGACGTAACTGAGAACACCAGGTAGAATACTGCCTGACGAGTGTAATGTTAAAGTTCTTAAAAATCTACTAATTACTTTTCAAATGTTTTGCTAGTTTATATTTAGTTTTTTTACTTCATCCTTATGCTAGGGAGATTTTCCCAGAGGGCCTCCCTCCATCCTACGTCTTCGTGGCCACCCTGCGTCTAAAGGGGTCTTCTAGCAGGCTCACCTTTGACCTTTGGAGGGTGCTGTCTAAGGATAAGAAGATCCAGGCTGCAGTGACACTAAGTGGGAAGGACAAAACTGTCATGTTCACCACCACCAGTATAACAGAAAAGGAGCAGAGAGTCACCTTTAAAACTGGCTTTGAGGTTGGTATTAGGATTAAAATTCATGTCTGTACCGATATGGGAAGAATTCTCACTTCATCCCCATGGTGACCAATGTGGCCCACTCCCCAACCCCCTGATTATTGGATTTATACAGTCTTGCAGGGGTATTTAGAGTCTTTTAGTTCAACAAGGCTCATTACAGTGAGAATCTTTCTGCCCTGCCCTCTAGGGGTCAAAAATCACTGGACGCAGCTTAAAAAAAAACTAATTTGATGCAGCTGCTTAAACTTGCGTTATTACTAATATTTTCATAATGAAACCTCAAGAAGTTGATGATGAATGTGAGCAATACATAAATATCACAATATAAAGAGTGTACTGTGCTGTGGTACTGTCATTTTCCTGCCCCTGAAAGAACATTTTGTGTTTCTGGAGAGTACTCTGTCCCTTCCAATCTCAGGTTTCCCTTCATGTTGGTTGCTGTGAATGAACATGACTGGGATGACTTGCAGAGAGCCAAACTAGCAGTTATTTAAACATCATCCCCTGTTCAGTTCAATACACAGCTGAACGGGTGAAGATATAATGTGATGGAGGGAGGCTCAAAGAAAACGTTTCCTACTCTAAACCAACTGTATTTCCCCAGTGGAAACTGTTTGGTAGATGTGTGGTTCTTGGAGCACATGCCTCTGTTTCCATGGCAGCACAAGGTAATAATACATCCAGTTGGACACGCCGGGTAGTTTTTTCCCAAAGACACCCACCACCCTCCATCCTAACACACCTAGACTTTAGAGTAGAGTGTTGACCAGGGTTGTAATTATGTTCATTTTATGTTTGCGCATGTTTGATTTGATTTGGTTTGATGTGGCACAAGGTAGAAGCCTGTGATTTGTCAATTGGAAAGGATGGCTGTGGCTCAGTCCCAATGAAACAATAGCTGCTCTGTTTCTCTCTCCTCCCTCTGTATGGTTTGAGCTTTCAAGAAAAAGACTGTGATGGAAAAAGGAAGGACTTCTTGGTCTTAATACCTTTCTGGTCAAACCCATTTGTGGAGCATTTAGCGAACACGCGTTTTTGGCCTTTTCGGGCAAAATTTGATTAGTTGAAACAAATGCACACATAAGATTGCCAACAGAAATGGAAGGCTGAGTGAAAGAAGATTTGACAATTTAATAATCGTTTCCAACTCTGCTCATGACTCAAAGCTTGAACAAAGATATGTTTCAGTCTCATAAATGAACAAGCTCTCAATACATATATCATTATATTTAAGATAACCTATTATTATTTATATCTATGAATCTCATATTTGTGCCTTCTCTCAGACTCTGTATGACGGAAAGTGGCATCAGCTCAAACTCCTGGTGAGGCCACACCAGGTCACCAGTTTCCTTGATGATCAAACAATCCAGGAAGTAAAGCTGGAACCGGTGGAGCCCATTTACATCAATGGGGAGACACAGTTGTCAAAGAGGCGTGGAACAGACATCACTGTGCCTGTAAGTACACCACAACTGAGAGGTCTAAGCATACCTTCAAAAACAAAGAAATGGCTATAATACATTTTGTCACCCAGTGCAGGAGGCACCTCATGAAGCAAAAAATATTTGTTGATCTGAGAAAGTTGGGTGGCTGTCTGCCTCGACTGACTGATAAAAATTATATTTATACAGTACCTTCACACAGTAAAAAAGAGCATATATACAATATTCTCAATATATTTAAAGAAAGGAAGGAAGTAAATTTTTATAATTTTACTTTCTAAATGAAGCAAAAGGTTGTTGGACGAATCAAAACTATAACTGAATACATCAATACAATACATCAATCAATAGATCAAATCTTTTACCTTTCCCACCAGTCAGTTGATAACATAAAGTAAAACGTAAATATTTGTATTGTTCTATTTCCTTTTACTGCAAACAACATTTCCCATTTTCCTCACCACATTTTCATTTGTCATTCAGGTGGAGATTCAGAAGCTGCGTCTGTACTGTGATCCTCATCAGAGTGAGAGAGAAACAGCTTGCGAGATCTACTCTGTGGTAAGGTCTCCACTGTCGCTTGTGTCTACTGTAATCTCTGTAATCTGTACTCCTTTAGCTGCATTTATCAGGCTACATAATAACTATTATTTTTTTCTCCTGTCCTTTTTCTCTTCTGCTGCACAGGATGATGAAAGGGTAAGTGCAGTTTCTATCCCGTTTCTTTTAATTAGACTTTGCTTAGAAGTATTTAGACACAGAGGTAATGCAAAGGTAACAATATCACACTACATCATTAAATAATACATAGTGGAAATCACTGGCTACGTTCATACCTCATGCTAAGAAGTCTTCTTTAGAGACTTTTGATTTAAACCATAACAAAACATCAACATCAAGGAAAAAAAAATATTATAAATGCTTAATCTTATTCTGGTTGGTGTTTTCTGTATAATAGGGAAGCTCCGAGTGTGTGTTGTATTGCAGACGTCAGTTTGTGCTTGTGTTTCCTCAGTGTCCTCTGGATCGAACAGCCACAGTCGAGGAAGAAGACTGCAACTGTGTGGTCGGACCACCAGGGCAGCGCGGCCTGCCAGGACGTATGGTAATACACCCACAACTCTTTGACTCAAAGAACGTTTGATATGACTTGTGTATTGCCCCTCTAGTGGTTTTGACACCAGGGCTATTAAGCACGATGTACAATTAAGTATTATTAAATCCTGCCCCTTTTTGATAAGCTATATTTTTTCCGGAACATTGACATTCTATGTAATAGTCTCGACTACGTTGAAAAGACAACCAAATTTTGAAGATGGTTAAAAGATGAAAGCAACATATACTGGTGGACAGTAGTATATATAGTCACATCTTAATGTTGGTAATGTTTTAGCTACGTCAGTGGTTAGCTAACTAAATCTATATCAGTTATTAGCAGGCTAGTTACATCTGAAAGCTGATGTTAGCAAAATGCAAGCTAACTAGCTAGGCCATCTACATAATTCATTTGCTAGACAGGTTGCGTTTTTGCTAACATCAACTTAAGATTTTACTATATAAAAGTCACTTTTATGAGCGCCATCTTGAAAATGTGGTTGTCTTTTCAACAAATGAGCCTAGCACATAGGTTATCTGAGTGCAGGAAAGGTGAAAGTTGACTGAGGTTCTGACCGAAGCTTACTCAACTATTTACTAAGTTACTGGAACACAAAAAGGGGGCGAGAGTTAAGGGTCAACAGCACCACATTGCTCAACTATGATATAACTGACTGTGCTGACGAGTGCGTGTAATCAATCTATAACACCAGCTTTACGACTTTACAACTTTATGATTATTTCAGGAGTTACAAAACAGACTTGGATCTCTGAATAGATGAAATATAAAATGCAATACTTGCTTACACACACTTTTTTTCTCTCTTCTCTCATACATCTGCTCCAATTGGAGTCAACACTATATCATTATAATGGAGGATCCACAGTGGTTTATGCTATATGGAAAAGGGAGGTGAGGCCACAACAGGCAAATTGGAAAGTACAAAACTAATTTGTACGTATTTTATGTGGAATTGGTGCATCATACCAAAAAAACACATATCCAGACCATAACTTGTGTCCTCCACTAATGACCTCTAATGACTTCTAGCTGTAGTGACTCACTTCTCATGAGTCACGGTAGAATTTGTTTACCCAGAGAGGTTTTTGGAATCTTTACATGTCCTTTTTGGAGAGCTGCCTAACCATGAAGTACTCATGAATAAAGAGGGGTTGACTTCTAATTTGACTTTTTTGGTTATATCATTTTATATATGTTTTGTTAAAGATAGTTTGGAATGTAAAAGATTAAAGCCAGAATGTGTTGCTTTTGAAAGAAGAAATAACACTTTATTGTTTAATTATTCACTGTTAAATTCAACACCCTCAGAACTTTTGCTGTTACAGTCTTGTGGTAGCTAGTGTTTGCTAATGTTAGAAAACTTTAGAGAGATGTTCACTGACTTTATGACTCTTCTCTAATAGTGGTACTGTTACATTATGTTGTTGTATTTACCTTTATTTTATTAATAAAATAAAATAATTTTCATTATATCATTATTATTATATTTTTGTCCAACCAAAGTATTTGACAAATTTGATGGAGCTAAAAAATTTCACCAAAGTTATTAAAATGAATTGTTAGGGGTCAGATTTCATGGCGATCCATCCAATAGTTGTTGAGACATTTCACTTAAAACTTCAAAAATTAACCTCATGGTGGCACTAAAGGAAAAGTCAGGAGATCACCAAAGTCATTGTGATGTAGCAACTGGAAACCATGACTGACCATCCGATAGTTGTTGAGATATTTCAGTCTGGACCAAAGTGGTGGACTGACCATCACCGCTGTCATCAACAGAGCCATAAATAAATTTGTATTTATTAGAGCCTATGCATTTCAAATAACTATTGAGCAATAAAATGTACTATATCAAAAGAATATGTTTCTGAGTGTCGTGATGAGGCTTGTTAATGCTACAGGGTTTCCGAGGGGAGAAAGGGAGGGAAGGACCCCCAGGACCTGATGGTAAGCCTGTAAGTGCTAATCAGTTTCTTCATCACTTTTTTTTATTTACACACTGTTGTCACCAGTCTTAAAGATACATTTTATCTGCATGATAGAATAAGTTAATGTTGTCTCTGTTCCCAGGGTAAAGATGGGATACCTGGGGAATCTGGCCCTCTTGGATTGCCAGGGATGAAGGTAAAGATTCTGTTGCATGAACACATTTGAGTAGCCACAATGAAAGTCCCAATTTCTAATTGAATTTTAGAAGAAAAAGTAGAATAAATAACAGAATCCTTTTAATTAAACTCAACTCTAGTCTTGCACGGCCTTAAAAAAAGTTGTATGCAACCAACTTCTAGAATTTCTAAAGGAAAACATTATTTATGAACTCATGTTAAAAGATGTTGTATGCATTATTGACAAACTGTCTGACTGTGCTTCTATGACCCCCTGGAGTACCTTGTCTTATTATCCCTTTACATGCTTTCTTTAAGGTACATGAGTCATCAATCTGGCTGTGTCTCTTGCTATGCAGATGATATCCTGATTTATGTCTTTGTGGAACCTGGGAAACTTTCAAATCTGGCTACTTTTACATAATTGACTTAAGGAGATAGATATCATAGTTTCTTGTAATAACATAACTTAGAAACCAACAAGAGTTTAGATTTGATGCTGGTTCAATTTTGAAATATTGATGTGTTAAGTCACTTTTACAAGGCTTCTTGTAATGCTTTGGTTTGAATTTCAAATCCATCTAATTACTTTTAAGCCGTTACACAACGTGGTTCCACTGCTAATGTTATATATCTAGGAATCATCTCAGGTAAGCGGAACAATATCTGCAGGTTGTGCCCAAAGGTCCGACTTGTACCTGGTCACCAAACTTTTGCTGACCTGGCTCACAGGTTATGGAAAGGTTTCCCTCTTAGATTTTGGTCAACAAATAAAATTGCTCTACACGTTATGGACAGCTAGACATTGCTGAAATGGTGTGCATGTATAATAAGCCACATAATGGACTTTTAAAGGTTCGATGCAGTTTATTCATTCACTGTAAAGTTTTGAAATAAACTAATAATAATGATAATTTACATTCCTTCTTTAGAAAAACACGAATGTTTAAGTTAAAAAAATAAAATCTGTATTCAAAAAATAGTTTAGAAAACTCAATAAAGTGAAAACCTTTTATATAATAATTCAATATTTTCAATTGCAACTATTTACTTTTCAAGCACCATAATAATGAAAAAAAAATGTTGTCAGCTGTTCATCTTTACAGTGTTTCAGGCAATGATAGTGATGAGCGAGTACGCCAATATCTGTATTTGTTCAGCAAGCTACATTATCTGTATTTGTATCTGTACTTGGTATGGGTGGGGCTTAAAGAAATGGGCAGAACTAACTGGAAGTTGTTGATTTAAGCCTGAAATTGATATGGGTCGATCAGAAATTGCTATATGTATTAGAATTACTATTTACAGAGCAACCTCAGAATTGAGTTTCAGACCAACATTTTTGGTCACAGGAGTAATGGAACTTAAAAAAAAAGTTGCTATATTTATGGATAATGTCACATTTTACTTAGATGATACTCATATTGTTTCAGCTGAGATCTCGCTCAATGCTAGTGAATACATTTCTGCCTTTGATTGCACGCTCTTACCTACTGCCTTCCCTTGGCTGGACAGGGTGAAGTCGGCTCAGTCGGACCAAAGGGGGAGCCCGGGGTAAAAGGTAGCATGGTAAGTCTTTAAAGAAGCAGTTGTATCAGTGTTGTGGCTTTACTAATCTGCCGCCTGTACTGATACTACCTGATTCTTCTGATACTGCCAAGGGAGACAGAGGGGAACCAGGGTTATCAGGAGAACCAGGACCCCCAGGAGCCAAGGTGAGACCATTTTAATGGGAAAATGCTTTTATGGCGGCAGGTGATGTTTTTGTTTGAGCTCTCTTCATATATCAATAGTTAAAACAATTAGTGAATGAATATTGAACATTTTATTCTTTATAAAAGGTGGTTACTGCTAACGTGACAAATACCCTGACATTTTACTTTAGTTACTGTTTGATTGGCTATTGTATTGAATCTCAGGTTAGGCTAAAACTGTTTCAAATGTACAAAACTAATGGTCATTGGAGATCTGTATAGTTTATATACAGTGTAGTGTATGGTTAACTCTTATGCATTTTTGAATTGGAAGTGTAGGTGAAAATTGCCTCCCAATTTCACATGCCAATCCTGATCAACCTGACAACAGTTGTCACTGTTGCTGTTTCTTCTAGTACTACTCCATCTTGTAACAATTTAAGTAGTGCTGTCCAATTCCATTGGTGGTGACAAGTACATGGCATTTCCTGTTGGTGCTACACAATAAAAGTAAAATGATTTTAGTTAGCAGCAGGAGGAAATGTCGTTTAGTTAATACAACATCGATATGTTTGTAAGAAAGTGATCAGTAAACAGTAAGAAGGCTGATATCTGGAGGATTGTGGTGGTAAGTCACAAAAGCACTGAGGACTGAACACAAGAAGATTTTCTCTAGTCACCAGCACAGACACACAGGTGTTGACTGTACCATTTTTGCAAGATGCAGCTTTGGTTTGAGGGAGCAGGCCGTCTCAGGTCAACCCCAGTTGGCCCTGCTAACTGGCAGAATCATAAAAAGACTCTTAATCCATTGTACATGAATAATGTTTCTGTATCCTGTCAAACTATAAATATTTCTGTTGATATTAATGTGTTCATATATGTCCATGTACAAAATGTGAAAGTGGAAATAAATCAGTTCTACCACACTACCACACCACACCCTAATGACAGGGGTAGGGCTCATATATACGTAGGGACCCTGAATTTATTTTAGTACCACTACTAGTGGCTAGAACTAGTGGCCTAATGTATAGGCTTATTGACCACAGACACACAAAGCATTCACTGTGATCATCTCACCAGGGTCTTCCTGGTGAGAGAGGTGAGCCGAGCCCTCCAGGAGAAGCCGGACCAATGGTAAGATCCAGTTCTGTTCAACAGTTAGAGGATGTGAAAGCATGCAATCTGCATTTTGGAGGTTTGGCTTCCACTGAGAATGTATGTGTTTGTGTGTTTGTGATTTCCTCCTGTCACACCAGTATTAGCAGTGTTTTGAGTGGGACAGATAATTACTGCAATGGTGTTGAATTTGGCCGCTGCTGCTCCACTTTGCCTCTCAGAGTGTGTTTACTGTCCAACCAGGGGGAGCCAGGACTACCAGGCACCAGCGGACTGGTTGGGCCACTAGGACCAAAGGTCAGTGCATGACTGTAGCTACTGGGAGATCAGGTGGGAGACACTGGCCCAAAGTATGCGGACATCCAGACATTACACTCCTTCATTACTGAACATTTAATTCCAAACCAAAGGGACTAATATTGTATGCTGCCTCCAGTCTTGTGGGCAAACTTTTCTCCAGATGTTGAACCTGGCTGCAAGGATTTGCTCCCATTCAGCCACAATTACTGAAGTGTAGCACCGATGTTAAGTGATAAGGCCTTGCTTATAATGTTGGAAGCACACTGTTGTCTAACAGTGTGTTCAGACTTGAAGTGAAGAGAATTTTCACCACATTGAATTCATAGGAATTAGACTGCAAGACTATTTATGAAGTCTAGGTTTATTTGCTCCAAATAACAAGTAAAACTGTACAGATATTAGCTGTAGTTAGCAACTGATTTCAGAACTCTCTAGAAACTCTGTTTTTTCCATTTGTGAAGTAGCTTTATAAAGACCTAGGAATAAGTGTGCATTTTTCACCCAAATTGTGTGGATGTATGTCTTTGCCCTCAGTATGAGCTGCCTTGAGTGAATTTGCATCTGTTAGTGCCACTTGCGTCTTTCCATGGACACTGTATGCAAAAATTGTAGATTTATTTGGGAACCACAGCAAAAAGTACACAAATGTACTCTAATACACATACTTTTGTTGATTTACCTCCACCCAGGCAACCATTTATTTCTATTAATTTTACCACACTATTAAAATCTACTTTGAGCAAGGTGAAACTTGCCTGAGATTGCCTCACAGAAATAACAAAACTAAATCAAAATCAAAGCAGACTTGATTCTTAATTACTCAATTAAAGAAAGTTTTGGCTGCTAGAAATAAATTAGTATGAACAAAACTAGATACCAAAGGCTGTTCCCAATTATTTTTCACAGCATAGCGTTGTTTGTAAGGTTTTTGGAAAAATGGTCAGCAGTAAATGCAAAACATACATGCTTTACATTAAATGGACTGTGTGCATGACAAGCTTTTTGTCATGTGGCATGCCTGCGAGAATATGAAGTTGTCCATTCAAGACATGAAGCAATTAAACGCAACACAATTGAATCTAAATGAGAGTGCTAGCCTTGCTGCAGCGACATCTCATTGCCTCACTGTACTGTATGTAGCCTACAAACCTTTTCCATGATGGTGCCAAGGACAAACTGTAGCACACTGAGTCACTGAGATCCAACTTTTCCACCAACTGGTACCACAAAGTGAAAGTAAGTAGCTTCCTGTGTGAAAGTGAAACAAACAATCTCTCAGTCCACATCTTTTCCCATGTTGGCCTTGAAAGTATTCTGTAAGTTTATCAAACAGAAGTACAAGCATCAGTGCAGAGTCATACAGTAAATCTGAAAACACTCTCCACTTCTGTCAGTTAATGAAATTAACACCATGGTGGGACCACATGCTACATACTGTATAGTGGGATGTTCCCTTGTGGTAACTTGAAAAGAACAAGTAGCTAAATGAAAGAGCACATGCACACATCTGCAAGCATGTGAGCACACCCACCAGCTTAGTGTGCAATGCTATTTTGGGTCCTCTCTGAACTCCTTTGAGTGTTCTCCCAGTTTTGACTCGCAGTCACCCTGCTCAGTAATTTGGGACTCTTCCTGTTATCACAATAAACTACTTTCCCCAAGAATCTGGAAGTTCTTGACAACAACTGGAGGGTGGTGGTACACTGGGCGCTGAAACAGGACACAGTTGGTGTCCATGTGTGGATGTCTGGGGGGGGGGGGGTGCGGTGAATGTGTTTAGGAAAGACAGGAAGTGGCTAACTTTTGAGTTACTTTACTTTTGAGTAACACAAACTCCAACCAGCTGCTAACCAAGCACTAACCAGTATGTTCATCTATCCAACCAATCCTCCTGACAATTATTATGTATTTTGAAAAGCCGCTTCTTTTTTTCTTATTTATTTGAGACTATGGGCAACAGGACAAGCTGAAAACACATTGTGCTAGCAAACAGTTACTTTTATATCTATAAATATCAACATCATATCATATAACATCTAATGGTCACAGGTTCCTACGGAGACCCTATGGGGATACATTTGCGTTCTTCCGAGAAAAATTTTTTCATTCTTTCGCAAAGCTTTTCAAGAGCACCTAGCTGCAGACAAAATGGCGGTTCTCCGCAAGAGCATGCTCAGGTGGCATCTCCGTTATCTCCGTTAGACACGCAGCTAGTCCACTTGTGCCGGAAAAGGCAAGAAGGCTGGGCCCTGTTGTACAAAAGCACAACTTTATTCACTAATTTTGGTGGAACTACAAGTGACATGGGGCACTGGATTTGATAAATGTACAGTTTGTCAGATCACTAACTTAAAACCGAAACTGAAAACCATACCTAGAACAGAGCACTGACTTTCTTTATATTTAGGTCAAAATCAAAATATATGAACTTAGTTTTGGTTTGCTGTTTCCCAAACGACACACATGTTGCAATGCCCTGGAAGTGCTTTTTTAACCCTCATCATGAGATAAATATCTGGGTCTTTGGCTGCTAAATGCTCCACTATGTTCACTAGCTAGTTTAACGTTATCTGTTTGCTGCTGGGCAGGTAGTGTACAGCGGGTGTATCATCAGCTTCATCAGTTTGTATCACTGAAAACAGCTGCATGCTGCTGGTAGGAACAGTGCAGATAAGAGCATTGAGAGTGAATTGAAGCGATAAAGTCGTTGGCTGTAAGACCAAAACAATGACCTGAAAGATGCTTAAAGGTTCTGTAGAGCTGAGAGGAAGTAGGTGATAGTTCTCTGTGGGTTCCAGGGTGATAACTACAGGGGAGCCAGGGGGAGCTAGACCCTGGAAAACATCATTTGTAAGATTTTGAAGGCTTTGGGTATTTTGGCCTTTGTCCAGGCAGACGACCACCCACCTAGAGCCGAAGGATCTGTCCTAGGTTTCTGCCTTTTAACAGGCAGTTTTTCCTTGCCCTTGTCGCCAAGTGCTTGCTCATGGTGGTACTGTTGGGTCTCTGTAAATAATGTTATAAAGAGTTCGGTCTAGACCTGCTCTATTTGAAAAGTGTCCTGAGATAACTTCTGTTATGAATTGGCGCTATACAAATAAAATTGAATTTAATTGAATTGTCCTAAAATGTCTGATTACATGGCAGCCTCTCTAGAAGAAAATTGCGATGCATGTTGTGATGTTTTTAAGCATTTTTTTCTCAATAAAATTGCAGGAGAAAGTGAAATAATGCATTAAGAACTGAAGGCAACAAGCAATAACTCTCACATTACACATGTTGTTTTAGCTATTGCTAGTATAAAAATATTGATTAGCGCACCTTTAAACACATACTTCATATTTCACAAAAAAGTACCAACCAAGAAAATGTTAATCTCCTCAGTTATTCAGAGGACTTTTAAGTACAGTCCTTGTATTTACACTCAGACTCAGCAAAAGCCAACTAGTACGTAGAGTGTACAAGCCCAACTGTGTGGTCAACAGCTTGATCACCAAAGGTCTGGTTCAGTGCATATAAGACTGGCTGGAATACCAGATGGTTAAGATTGCTGGAACAATCGGGTGTTTACCTGAGCTGTGCAACAAAACCAACAAACAGACAGAATTTCTTCCTGCAATGTCAGGGAACATTGAACGTCCTAATGATTAACAGGAAAAAGAACATGGCAGTGTGTTCTGTAAGTAGAACTAATTGCCTGTTGAACGTAATGTTGGGGTTAAAAGAGTTTAAAATGCAGACTTTTGCCTACATTGTCTTCTTCTGTTAGATGAAGTGGCTCTAGCTGCTAGAGTTAATGGAGAATACTGTGTGTACAAGTGTGTTGTTATTAATGTAGAATTAGATTCACAGCAGAGATATTTACTCACACTGATCTCTCTCATGTTTGACACAATGCAAATCATATGGCATGAGATCCAGTGTTTGTCATAAATTTACCCTTTTCCTTCCTGCTTGGACCAGACGGTCCAGTTATGAATCACTGAAGTAAACATATAAAGTATTTTGGCTGTACCTATTTGAAGAATTTTGGGTGCACATGTTAGTTTTGCTCTAATATTTGTTGAAGTCTGACAAGGACATTTATTTTGGAGCAGTATGAATATAAATACACCACAGGTGAGCAGAGAGCGTCACAGGTCTAACAAGGTTTCAATTCAGCTCCAGTACAAGAAATCAATTGAGCAGAGTAGTTACGTCTTTCTCAAGCTACAGCAAGGTACATTTGGATCCCTTTAGGTGGTTTTGAAAGAGGCAGAAACTCATCACATATGGCTCGATCAGAGAGCAACGTGCTGAACAATTAGCTGCGGTAAAAGAGCTGTGTTTGTCAGGTTGCTCTGGTGGAGATCTAGCTCTGGGCTGCACATGATTGCAGACTGTGCTGATACTAGTTTAAAAACACCAGTCCAGCAAAAGTCAATTTAGATGTGTTTTGTCTTTTGTTAAAGCTGTCATTTTTATACAAATATTTTTTTGTCATATTTGCTGAAACGTTCACTTTATCCTGACAGTAGTACACGAGACAGATAATCTGTGAGAAAATCAGGTTCCTGATGATAGCTTGGCTATTTAAAAATAAGGGTTTGTGCTGGATGTCCTGTGTTGTGCAGTCAATCAGTGGTCTGCAGTGGTTTTACCTTTTAGTGTCAGCTCAGGGCATTCAGAACCTCAACCTTGAGTTGAGGCGAACCATGCGGTGGAAAAGCAGCTACAGTGTGTAAGCAGAAGCCCGACTAGTTAAAAAAACAGCAGTAGTAACCTGAAGCATAAACACATAAAGCTTTTCTGTACATGGACTTTCATCCACAAAATTTTGTGAAAACAATCTAAGGTCCACTTTCTAATGATTTGGAGCTTTCAACTGCATCTTGTGGTCTTCATTCTGAGAGTCCTTTATTCACACCCCCACTTTGAAGGCTCAATTTTCTCCACCGCCAGGCCTTTGACTGTGCAACCTGTGAGTCAGGGCCACAGCTAAAGTCCCACTGAGGCCA